CTGGGAGTGAAAAGCTTTGCAACAACGAGTAAACAATGTTGAAGATCGATAAAAAGAATAAAAGTTGCTTATAAGTGCCCATTTCGACAGTTGTTTTATGACAAATGAAATGCAAAAGAATTCCATTTAAAAGAATTGTCAATGCTGAATTGAACAAAGCGAATGGTTCGTGAAGTCTAAAAGGTTGTGAATAATAGTAGTAGTATTAGTAGTGCACCTCTCTAATAGTAGTGCACCAGCCGAGTTGGTGACTATTTACGGCTTCCAAAGTTTTCCCAGAAGCTCAACACTCAAATCCCCCACTAGATCTCATCGTCAGCTACATTTTCCGACCCCACATCGATAGGTTCTGATAAGCGGTTCTCGAGATTTCGAGGAATTTAGACGACGCTCTGGGTGCACTACTAGTAGAGAAAATACGATATTCTGGCGCACTAGATTCAAGTCAAAAGGCTCTCTGGCAAAAGGCAAAAGCCTTGCTTGATTGAGCTTGAAGAATTTTGAATCGATTAATAAACCCGTATTTTCATCTAATAGTAAGTGCACCAGGATGTTAAGAATTAGCGAGCCGAGTTGATGACTATTTACGGCTTCCAAAGTTTTCCCAGAAGCTCAAAGCTCCAATCGCCCACTAGATCTCATCGTCAGCTACATTTTCCGACCCCACATCGATAGGTTCTGATAAGCGGTTCTCGAGATTTCGAGGAATTTAGGCAACGCTCAGGGAGCACTACTATTAAAGAGAATACTATACTAGAATACTACTATTAGGTATGTTCAATTCTGGCAGTGATTTGACTTCATCAGCACAAGACAGCTATGTTTTGAATGGGAATTAAACAAAACATATAAACTCATCTATAAATTAAACTCCAAATATCCATGGTTAAATTCAAATAGAAATTCAAATAGGAATTCAAATCTTGGAATCACTCTGAGAAGTTTCAGAAAAGGTCAGAACAAAAAAACACCTGGCAAATCAATGCAAATTGAGCTCTATACTTGTCCTTTTGATTTCGAAAGTACTTCCCTCTCAAATTGGAACTTTTATGCAATAGCTAGAAAAGGAAGAATGATTTCAGGAGTAAAATAAAATGAAATTTAACTTTTTAAGCAATTTTTAAGCAATAAGCGATTTTCTCACATTATTTAAACATTCGATCGCTGAAAAACTAAAAATTTTGTACCTTTTCCAATTTTCAAACCAATACATTGCAATAATTGCCAGTTTTTTTTCTCGAAAACAAATCGATCCCTATTTTTCCCGTGCTGCATTTCTCTTTTTTGATAAGCTCTTTTTTGATTTGAAATATCAGTGTGTGTTTTTCAATTCCACAAATGCGAGTCATCAAAAAAGCGGTCAGAAATTCTACCATTCTTACTAAATCTCCTAAAAAAATTCCGAAGCTGGCTGTGGAAATGAAATTGAAATCTTTGCGATGTCCTCTATGTTTTGGATATTGTAAGTTGTACATTAAATGTAGAATTAAACAGTAGAGTTTTTACTTGTCAAACTGTTTTGTAAGAAGTGTCAAGTGTTTGACAAACTATTAAGTGTTTTCTAACGAAAGACAGATCAGTTCTAATCACTTTCAGTTATCCCATCTTACAAAGATCCAAAGTGCCCAGTGATTACGAAATGTGGAATTCTGTTGTGCTTACAATGTTTGAAAAATGAACCCGACAAAACGAAAAGTAGTTTCCCTTGTAAATCGAATTGTGCTGATTGTTTGAGTGAAGTAGCGCCTGCACACTTCCTTTTTGGTAAGCTTTTCAATATCCAACTAAAGCTGAAGTTAACAGGTATTTTGAACGAAATTTTGAATTGTGTGAATGGGATTGAAGGATTTCTGAGTACTCCAATAGCTTATCGAGCGAAGGTTTTGAGCTTCAACGTCGCATAGGAATAGTAAAATTTAGATTAAAAGACAAATGGAATGTGAAATCTGTCATGATGGATGTGAGTTTAAAGAAATACTGAACTTTAATCAATTTATAAATAAATACGTTGTAGCAAAACTAACAAGTGTCTTGATTGTTTTGCTGTTTTGCTTTGAACTTTTGCTAATGAAAATACCCTTTCGAGTTCTTCTTGTAGATGAAATGGAGAAATCCGATAAAATGCCTCATCCACTCGACTGTGGACACACATTTTGTTATCGTTGTTGTCTGGAGCTCTCACAAATCGTAGGTTATGCCTTGAGAAAAGATGCTTTGAGAATAATCTCGTTGTAGACGATTCGCCCAAGCGCTTTCTTTCAAATCGCTGACAAGGAAAGGTTGGTGATTGGTTTTCATTGGTTTTCATTGATTTTGATTGGTTTTGATTGATTTTGATTGGCTGAATTTGAATTCTTGTTTTATCGATTTCTTTATTCTAGTTGCAACTTTCATTGCTCTCAAATCGATTCATTTAAATTCAAATCTCAACATAAACTTTATCTTTACACCATTCAAGTTGTCAATCGAAATTTGGGAGGACAAAAGAAAAAAGTGAGCTGATTAGGTGAAATTTCTGACTTCAGATTTCTTTTAAGATTTATGTCACGGTTAAACAAGAAGAAAAAGTGATTCGAAAAATTGCGGCAATGGTTGCAGGACCAGGACCAATGAATTTTCCATTGATTGTTCCGGTTGAGGTTTGGATATTTTAGAAATTTGATAAGCTTAATATACGATATTTTCTCTAATATTAGTGCACCGTGAGCGTTGCCTAAATTCCTCGAAATCTCGAGAACCGCTTATCAGAACCTGTCGATGTGGGGTCGGAGAATGTAGCTGACGATGAGATCTAGTGGGGGATTAGAGTGTTGAGCTTCTGGGAAAACTTTGGAAGCCGTAAATAGTCACCAACTCGGCTCGGCCGGGTGCACTACTATTAGAGAAAATACGGTAATCTAAGCCTCAAAGCTTTATACCCATTTTAGTTAACTCCCCAAACAATTTACGCAATAGGATTTGAACTTGAAGAAAACGGCGGAATCAATCATAATGGGCCTTTTCTCGTCTGTTTTACCTTTATTAGAAGCTATTATACTTCAGAATATAAGAAGATATTATAATATATTATACTTCAGGGATCACAGACTGTTGATGGGAACAAATATGAAATCAGCTTCTCAGATTACGGACACAAGAATTTGACTCAAGGTGCAGTGGGAAATGAATGAGATTTCTGTTAGAGATTGGCTGTTAGAGATAGAGCTAAGAGCCAATGAAATCTGATATTAGCATCTATTCCATTAGGTTGGCAAAAAAGAAATGCGCGTTTTCGTTAAAAGTTTATTTTATTATAAAAACAAGATAACAATACATTAATCCAAAAGGTATTCGCCATCTGCATCAATGACTTGTCGCCAACGTTCACGCAGAGAATGGATGCCCTTCTTGAAGAACTCGACCGGCTGCGACTCGAAGAAGTTGGACACCCAAATTTGGACCTCGTCGCCGTTCTTGAACTTTTTCTCGGCCAAGGAGTGGTGCATTGATCGGAACAGATGGTAGTCGGAAGGCGCCAAGTCTGGGCTGTATGGCGGATGAGGCAGGACTTCCCAGCCCATTTCTTCAATTTTCTGCTGGGTGATTTTTGCGACATGCGGCCGAGCGTTGTCGTGAAGGAATTTTGTCGACGCCGTATCCACACCTTGACGTCGCAGCGCCTGGTCCACGCGGTCCAATTGGCCTTGGTAGAGGTTCGCCGTAACTGTTTGACCCGAATCCAGAACCTCAAAGTACACCAGGCCTTTACTGTTCCACCAAACACAAAGCATCACCTTTTTTCCGTGGATGTCCGGTTTTGGAGCTTCACCGGGGTCCAACCACTGCCGCTTTCTTGCTGTGTTGCCGTATTGGATCCACTTCTTATCCGACATAACAATGGAGTCGAAAATCCCACTGTTCTTGGCGCGGTGAGTGAGAATTCCGTCGATTGCGATGCGTGTCGCCTTGTTTGCGTCGGATAGCTTATGCGGTACCCATTTTCCGCATCTATTCGTCTTGCCCATGCCATGCAGATGGTTCTCAATGGTGGCATGCGTGCAGCCGAACTGTTCTGCCAGGTCGCGAGTGGTTTGGCGTGGATCCGACTCAAAGGCTTCCTTCAATGCGTCATTGTCGATGATTTGAGGTCGACTCCCGTGTTTTTGGTCTTCCAAGCTTTCGTCGTCGTCTCGGAAGCGCTGGAATCATCGTTTACACTGACTTTCGGATAGAGCATCTTCGTCAAACACTTGCGATAGAGCGCCATGAGCTTCAGCAGCCGATTTGCATTGCTTAAATTCATACCACAAGCACGCCCGCAAACGAAATTTTTGGTCCGACATTTTCTAAACACTCTTTCTTGCAAAAAAACAAAGTAATCATAGACAAATTATATATCAAACGATGCGCAAGAACACGCTCTTTCCAATAGAATAAACTATTTTAAAAAATCTTTTACTGTGAATAAAATACAAATCAACAAACACGACGCTCATTTCTTTTTTGCCAACCTAATATTAGAGCTATTAGAGATAGAACTAGAGAATATTGGCATCTATTCTGTTAATTAATAGAACTCTTTAGATTATTAGAAGAAATATATATAAATACTGCAATACGAACAACATTTTCAGGCTGGCATTCATTTGTTCTGATTGTTGGAAAAGAGCGCTTCCATTCATATTTCAACGCTCCAAAGACTGAAGGTTTAGAGCTATTGGTGCTTTGAAAGCTATGAAAACGGTTTTCGAATTAAAGAATTTAGATTGACGAATGTTTTTTGCCGGACTATAATCCAAAGGTTTTCCAAATCCAAAGGTTTTCCCAAATATTTAAATTTCTGCAGAGTGAAATAATCAATTGTCCGCTTTGTTCAAATGTCTCCGATTTTATTCCAATTATTGATTCCAATCATCAAAAGGAACATTGTTTAAAAGGTTTTCATTTTGTTTTCGATAAAAAAACTTTAATAACTTTAAGAATTTATGATCGAATTCGAGGATTTACTTCAAAAAGCAAAAATGCTTTCTTGTGAATGTGGAAAATCGGTGAGTGGATCTCAAAGATCCCAAAGATTTCAGGAAAAGAAAGATCTACTGACAAAGATCTCAAAGATCTCAAAGATTTCAGGTTGATGTGGATGATCTTCTCACCTGTATCACTTGCAAAGCTGGAGAAAGCAATACTGTGAGAATCAAAGTGTAAATTGATGAAACTCTTTCAGAAATCCGTGCCCATTTGTGCAAAATGTTTTGTCGCAAACCACAACGGACATCAGTTTGAACCGGCTGCAAAACAGGAGGTGTATCCATTTGACACTTGTCTTGTCTTCTTGTCTTGTCTTCTTGTCTTGTCTTCTTGTCTTGTCTTCTTGTCTTGTCTTCTTGTCTTGTAACTCTTGTCTTGTCTTCCTGTCTTGTCTTCCTGTCTTGTCTTCTTGTCTTGTCCTCTTGTCTTCTTGTCTTGTCTTCTTGTCTTATCTTCTTGTCTTATCTTCTTGTCTTGTCACCCTTGTCTTGCCACTCTTGTCTTATCTTCTTGTCTTGTCCTCTTGTCTTGTCATTCTTGTCCTGCTACTCTTGTCTTGCCACCCTTGTCTTGTCTTCTTGTCATCTTTCATCTTGCCACTGTCAATTTTAGATTCTATCAATGAACAACCAAATGTCAACCTTTTTGCAAATGAATCTCAAGACATATGAAGTGATTATTCCAACATTGAGCGAAAAAGTGGCTGAATTGTTAGAAGTGATTCCAAAGGTTAACTTTTTAAGGAAAATTGATAAATTTTAACTTTAGAATTGTGAAGACTTTGAGGAGAAGATGCAGGCAAATGTCTCGTATGAAAAAGCTTTTGAAAAAGTGGCTGAATGCAGGTAGAAATCTTCAGAAAGACCAAGTCTTCAGAAATTCTATTATCTAAAAATGCAGAGAACTCGCGAAAAACTATGAAACAATTTGCGAAGATTTCGTCCCTCATCTTCGTGGTTTGGAAAAGAAATTGCAGGTGAAACATCTTGTTTAATTCAATTTCCGCTCTTTCAAAGAATCGAAGAAATTCCAGTGTACCCTGAAGTTTGCTGCTTTATTTTCTATTGACAATAAAATCTCTAAATTCCAGCAAATTGTCGTCAGTGTGGAGAAGCTGAAAACGCTCGGAACGGAAAGCTCAAAATGACTAGAATGAACTAGAGACTCTCAATAAAAGTTAGTTTTACTATTCTTGGCAAAGAATAAACAAAACTAGTGAGTTGATTTTTGGTGCATCTTGCACTCTAACTAGGGAAAGGCACGAAATTGAGGTGAGCTGGTTTGTCTGGACACTTAGTACACTTTATAAAATCGGGTATGTGGAATCCGAATCTCAAATTAAAATCTGTCGAATGATTTTCCAAATGACGCCAAATGACTGTAAAACTCAATTGAAAATTTGCTTTAAAAAATGGATGCTTCAATCGAGAAACGGATGCTTTAAAACGCTCCTTCCTAGGGGAGAAGAGAGACTTTGGTGGTGTAGTGGATAACGCATTAGGCTTCCTGACTCCCTTGGCATCAGGGTTGGGGCCCTGATGTCACTCTTTGTTTTTGTTCTTTTTTTCTCAACCTATAGCATCTTATCGAGCTAATCGATACCCGATTCTATAAAGTGCATTATCAAGACAAAAGCTCACCTTAAGTCCGTGCCTTTTCCTAGTAACACGTTTATATTAGTAACACGTAAGTAACCCATTTTTATAACTTTATTGTCACATTGTAACTGTTCAAACACGAAACATACACCACAAATCAAGTCCTCAAAAACGACCAGCCCTTCTGTCACCGATTGGTAGATCACTAAAGAAAAAAAGTACAGATTAGTCTTTATCTTTTTTAGAGAATCTTTTTAGAGAACCTTTTTGATGGATCTTGTCTCGCGAGTGCCAACTTCAGCTCGAAGATTCTCTCGAGTGATCGCCACATTTGCATTTGTTTCTTTGAATCGCTTCCTCCGCCCTAAATGAATCCTTAAATAATGGAAAACATCAGTTACTATCAGTTTAATCAGTACTATCAATTTAAACAATTGACTTGTAAATTGAAGAGATTCCCCTTTCCAACCTGCCCTCCTCCTCTTTGTTGAATTGTATCAGCTTCTTGTTGATATTTCTGCGTGAGATCCTCGATATCTTGAGTGATCTGTCCAATATTCCCAGATTCAATTTGTTCCAAATGAGCTTCAGCTACTTTTACCTAAACTTTTCCCCAACTCTTACCTAAATTTCTTTTCAATTCTGTACCTGAACCTCGGCCATTTTTGCTTTCAATTGTGCTGCCTCGTATTGACCTTCAAGGCGCTCGACGTTCTGAAAGATTAAGATGATGAAGCTACTTAAGATTTTAAAGCTATAGTTTTCAAATAAAGTTGATAATTTAACTGATCACAACTGCACAAACCCACATCTTGCAATCGAGTGAAATTGCTCTCCAAAGCGGCTCGCTGCCTTTCATAGTCTTTTCGTTGATTCCGCATACTTTCCAGAGTATCCTGAAATGAAATTGAAATCATTTTCATCTGAAAATTAACTTACATTCAATCTAGCTGAGATCTCATCTCTTTTCTCTTTCAGCGGTGCCACCAATGATCGCTTTTGATCGAGTTGCATATTCAAGTCATTGATCAGATTTCTGAAAGAAACAATTTGGCTTAGTCTATTCAAATTCAAATTAGTCTACCGTAGACTAGAGGTAGACTTACCGTAATTCAAATAAGTCTACCGTAATTCATCGATATCATCAGTTTTTGGAGCAGCAGTCTTTGGCCTTTCCATTCTTGTCGGTACTTCAATCGTCTCCATCACTAACATTCCCATCCCTTCCTAAAAGATGCATTTGTTTTTTCTAAAACATAAAACAAACCATTTTATCTTTGAGCTCTTGATATTGTTTCCCCAAAATCTCACAAGTTCTTGTCAAAATGAGATTCTCTGACTGAAATCGAGTACTGTAGAAAGTTTCCAATGCAAATTCCTCACCTTAATATCCTCCAATTCTCCTCTTTTCTTTTTGTAAGTGATCGTCATTCCCCGAAGTTTGTTCACGTAGTTTTTAAACTGAAATTTATTGTCGATCTTTGACCTTTCCATTTATTTCTATTAGGTGTGTGAAAAAGTAATCCACGTTTTTTATTTTTATCTGATGACCAAATAAGAAGCTGTCTTCTCGAAAACCCTCGTTCAACCTCTTCAGAAATAGGCTTTACATTAAATTGTGATGGGTCAACCGTAAGGAAACGCTTGAATGCCATGAATTTTATCAAAAAGTTGGACAAATGGATACCGCGTGAATTGAGCGAAGAAAACAAAACAATGCGCCTTACAATCGCCAATTCTTTGATTAGTAAACATCAACTTGAGCCATTTATTGATCGAATTGTTACGTGTGATGAAAAATGGTTTGATTACGATAATTCTAGAAGGTCTGGACAGTGGGTGGAACGTGGTAAACCTGCTGGGACAATACCCAAAAAAAGCCTCTATCCTAAAAAAATTTAATGACAGTTTGGTGGACTGCACGTGGTATTATGCACATAGACTATTTATCACGTGGCCAAACGATATTGTGCCGAGATTGATGCAGTCCAACAAAAACTCACTGAGAGACGCGCATCATTGGTAAATAGGAAAGGTGTCCTGTTGCTCCATGATAACGCGCGACCACATGTCTCTTTACAGACTCGACAAAAAATCCAGAGTGTTGGATGGGAGGCTTTACCAGATCCACCTTATAGTCCAGACCTTTCTCCATCTGATTATTATTTATTTTTGTCTCTGTCTAACTTTTTGGCCAATAAATGGTTCAATTCCGAAGAAGATGTCAAAACCGAGGTTGATCTTTTCTTCGCCTCTAAGGACCAAGATTTTTATTATCGTGGAATGTCTTTACTTGTAGAACGTTGGCAAAAGGTTGTTCTTTCGAATGGTGATTACTTCGTTGAATAAAAATTATTTTAACGAAACTTATGGTCTTTTATATTTAAACGTTTAAAACGTGGATTACTTTTTCACACATCTAATATTTCTATAAACCATGACTAGATTATTACAGTTTTTCTGTAGACTCTTGAACGCAAAAACTAAAAAAACCTGCAAAGAAGTGACAACATCCTCTCCACCATTATTAGTTCGCATTTCATCTTTTCTTTGAGCCAAACGACGATGCATTTCATCAAGATCATTCCTGAATAAATTCTGTAATTCATCGGACATTCATTCTGCATCATTCATCAAATTCTGCAAATCTGAACTTCTAATCCGTGTTGCTTTACTCTAAAATTGCCTACTTAAACGTTAAGTTGTCTATCTTCTTTTGCCCATTTTCTTTTACTCTTTTCCTTACCTTCCTTCTTGTAATTGTGAAGCGGCAGCATTTTTCTTCCTCTCCACCGTCGCTGCTTGATGTCGATAAATGGAGAAATTCTCATCATATCCTTCCTCTCGTTTATCCCGATCCTCTTCGAGAACGATTAGACGAGCATTCACTGCATCTACCTTGACAAGAAGCCATCTTGAAATGAGCCATCACCAAACAAACCTCTCTTTTCAGATCGTCAACTTCTGACTGATCAATTGTCGGTAGATTGGACACTCTTGCCAACTCAATCACCACTCCTTTCTTCGTTCGAATCTCTCGTTCTAATTTCTGCATTAAGAAACCATTTGTTTCCATCTCTTCCTGTAATTTCTCTTATTATCTGTCTCTTTTTCATTTCCCTACATCCAATTGTGCGATTAGATCACTTGGATCAAGTGTCTCTGCTTGTTGCCTCACTTCTTTCAATTGACTCTCCAATCGTTGAATCTTTTGATCAGCATTGATTACCTAAACTTATTCAAGAACATGGCTTTGAATCTAATAGATCTAACAGACTATTAAACAAATCGTCAACTTCTGACTGTTTTTTCTAGAAAGTCTTTCCATTCCTTTTCGTACTTCCCTTTAAAACCAATGCACTCATCAAATTTGCTTGAAAGTGAACCCACATTGACTTAAAAAGAAGGGAAATTAAACAGTAAATACTTTTTATTTAGAGCAAATGATAAATTAATTGGTGAATTTATTATTTTTCAACGAAGGTATGAAAAAAACGAAAAGACTTTTTGAACAGCCATTTCTTTCCATCTCTTCCCGTAACGTCTCTTATTATCTGTCTCTAAAACTTCTCAAAACCCACAGCATTTCTTTGTTCTTGTCTCTGAACATTCAATGTCTCAAATCGTTCCAATTCTCGCCGATGAGCTTCTGCACCGGAAATAATTCTAAAATTTCCTCAAGATTCGAAAAACGGTAACTTTGCTAATTACCGATCCAAGTTGGGCATATTGACGACTTTTCGTCGAATCTTTTCGATTCGACGATTGAGTTGTTCCTTTTCCTGAAACTTTGAGTAAGAATTTCAAAGCTCTGAAAGCATTTGAAAAGCTGAAAAGCTGATGAACTAATCCTTTACAGTCTTTAAAGTCTTTACAGTTTATTCTTGGGTAACCTGTTCCATCTGTCTCAAATCAGCCTTGATATCTTCAATGAGCATCGAATCACCACGCACTTGAACGACTTTTTGATGAATTTCCTAGCATAAAGCCTTTCCAAAATATAAAATACTTCCAAATACCGAACCTTGAATCTCTCCATACATGTAATGATGTCATTTTGGAGTTGCACAGTATCCGCATCGTGAATTTCACTTGGCACTTCGACTTTTACGAGAAATTTTGCCAAGTAAGCTCTTTCTGAAAAGGTATTGATTTTCATTTCAAGTTAAAGCAAAACACCTTTTAACATTTCAACGTTAGAGAACAAATAGAAGAGAACTGGGTAGATTGAGGCTTTTGAGCCCTCGACCATTCCAATACGCCATTCTTCGCTCAAACAGAATTTACATGGAAATTTCTTCATTTCTTCATTTTACTTACAGTTGTTCAATATCGGATGGTGGTCTAAATTTCAAGATTTTCAAATTGTTGAAAACTCTCAGCGCCGTTTGATCTGGAGCCTCATTTCGGATGTCAATTTGATCGGTTTGAGTCACCCAACTGGAATTTTTAAATTCAAAATCACCTTGGAATAAAGTTTTGAATTTAAAATCTCGATTAGCTTTTTCAAATTGCTTCAAACTGCAACTTGTTCAACTTTCCAAAAGTTGAAACTAAGGCAGATCAAAAAGTGACGCGCCACCGGGACTCGAACCCCCGACCATTCGTGTACCGGCCAATGTGCTAACCACTACACTACAACGCGCTTCATCACCCTTACTCCAGAGGGAGTTAAGTTCCCTCCTCTCTGAACGAGAAGGTTCCCACACGTCTCGATTTATAGGCCTGAGGGTGCGCTCGAAACTAGGTATGAAGACCTTAGCCAACATCGCAAAGCCCATCCATCCGTGGTCAGTTGGAACTATGGCAGATCAAAAACTTATGCACCACCGGGACTCAAACCCGCGACCTTTCTTTTACTGGGCAAATGTGCAACCATTACACCCCAATGCACTTAAACGCCCTTACTCCAGAGGGAGTTAACTCAAACTCACCACAGCACATCACTCAACACTTGCAGTAAACGATTCGGTGAAAAATTATCGAAAGCAATTAATGTTGTCGATAAATTGAAGGGATCTTTATTTAGAGAATCAACAATTAAACGGACAGATTCGGCAGACATTTTTAAGATTTGGGCGATTTTGATAATGAATAGAATACTAATACTCAGTGTTCACTGCAGTTGCCTAGCAACTGGGAAAGCTCTCCTAAACTCTTTTATTTTCTACTCAAAAACAAAATAATGTAATATTAATATTTAAATATGTAAATTTAAAGGTTTTTCTTAAACATTTTAGCTGAAAAGTTTAGTTTTAGCAAAAAGATAAACGAGCAATTTACTCGCCACTTTTGAGCCCTATATTGTGCTCATTTTTTGACTAATCTCGGCCTTACTTTCTGCATTTAAGCAGTACAATATGTTATTTATTTAATTCCATTCAAAAATACACAATTTTTACATATCTTTCATTTTAAATAAGAACTGAAACATTCATTTCCCCTTTAACCAGCGAATTGCTCCATTCTAAAACTCGCTCCTCGCCTCCGCGTCGATAGTATCGCCCCGTTTTTCTCTCCCGGTGATTTCATCGCATTCACTCTGCCAGCTTTTTCGAAAACAAGCTTTTTTCATGATTTTTGGTTTGTTTTTATTGTATTCGGTTTATTTTCAGACTTTAATTCTTTGATTTTAGATCTCCCACTTCCACGATTCGTGAAGATGCGAAATCTCGAGGAGAACGAAGTGATCAAGCAGGATTTCAATGAACAAAATTCCGCCGATCGCCTCAATTTGAACGATCCAACTTTTTGGAGCGCATTTGCTAGGAATTTTCGAGCACAAGTGGATGACGATGATGAGAAACAGACGAGCTCCCGGATCTTTTGTGATGTTCAAAATTGTGACGCGAGTTTCGAGGAAATTGCTGACTACGAGGATCACTATGAACGAAAACACAAACACCAGTGCTTAATCTGCCAAAAATCGTTCACAAATGCGCACGGATTGGAGATTCATTTTGATGAGAATCACTCGGTTCTGTTCAAGGTGAATTTGACAAGGGAAACGGGATTTCCGCGTTATCGATGTCTATCTGATAAGTGTGAGCAAAGGTTTTTGACGTTCACTGAAAGGAATGAACATTCGGCGATGGAGCACGGGATTGAGACTGGAGAAATGATGGATGTGAAGAGAAAAATGAGAAGAAGGGTTGAACATGAAGCGGTGAGGGATTTTGAAGTGCTGTCGTTGAATCCAAATCGAGTATATCCATCTTCATCGGACTTTCGTTTCACCGATGAATAGAATCACTAAAATTTGAGCTTTTTAAACGTGTTAAGTTTAAAATGTTTACCTTTGTGATGTTTACTTTGATGATTTTCTAGAAAAAGCTCATGTGCAAAGATCGTTAGTTATGTTTAGTTGAAATTGCGGTGCTATAGTAGTTGGGGGGCAGTGTACATTCTCTTTTGAGCCAGAACCCACGAATTTTTGCTTCTAGGGTTTTTAATGGCGTAGATTCTTAATTTGTTATTTATTTAAGCTTTAGTTAATGTTTTCTGCTATTTCAAGCATTTACTGAGGTTTTAAGCCTCTTATTTCGGTCCCCCACCTCTAAACCCAGTAGAAAGAGAGCCACTTTTGAAGGCTCGGAATTGTTGCTCAAACTGGCATAAAAGTTGTTCAGAATGGTTTCTAATTGCTCCAATGGATTCAGTGCAATTAATTACCCCAGAAAAAGTTTTTAAAACTAGTGGCAAGTTCGAAAAAACCGGTGTTTACAAACTGGTCCCCCCAACTACTAAAGCACCGAAATTGCTACCTTTGTTGATATCCCTTGAATTTAAGAATAGAAATTCTTTGTTGATCTCAGAAGTTTCCGTTGTTGTTTGTTTTTATAAATGTTTATTATGAAAATTTAGACATGTCCGGGTACAAATATACGGCGCTGAATTTCGATGAAGATGATGAAGGCCCGTCGACGAGTGCTGCTCGAAACAATCAACCGGAGAACAATTTCGAGGAGATTCTCTTCAAACAAAAAGTTGGTTTAGAAGAAACGTAGGGTCAAATATCATTGAGCAGTTCTGGTACTAATAAAGGTGGGGGGAACTTTGATCTGATTTGGTCGGATCGTATTTTTTGACCGTTTTACCAACGTTATTTAATTTTTTCTGGGCTCATCAAACATGCTGAATCAATTGGTGATATTTTTAGAAAGTTTTGAATAATCTTTGTGAATGTGATGTTGAGTTAGCTGAAGTGTAACTGTTGCAGTGCCGCAGCACTAGAAAATGAGGGTGAGATACAAAGGGAAAACTATTCGAAAAACTAAAAATATCACCAACAGATTAAGCATATTTGATTACCTCAGAAAATGCAAAAAAAAGACTAGAAAAAACCGTAAAATAGATTCTGGCCGGGTCAAGTCAAAGTGCCCCCCTCCCGAACTTTATTAGTACCGCAATTCTATTAAAACGAACGGCTAAATTTAAAGAATTCTAGTTTTGCATTCCATTTAGGGTTAATTTATGTAGATCAAAAAGAGAGAAAGGCAAACAAACTTTAGCAAATCATCAGAGATCAAGATGATGACCTTGACTTGGTCAGCAAATCGGTGGGCACATTGAAGAATATGAGCTACAAGATTCACGATGAATTGGAAGAACAGAATATGTAAGTTGAAAAGAGTTGTAACTATCAAAAAATAGGAGAGCTGTTCGCATACAAAAATTTTTAGAATGTTGGACGAGTTGGGGAATGAGATGGAACGAGTTGATACGAAGCTTGATGGAGTGATGAAGAAGATTGCAAAATTGACGAATCTGGATGACGGTTTGTGAAAGCTCTACCAATGAAAAGATATTAAAATTGAATGTATAGGAATTAATTCAAATGATACTGTAATACGCTAATTGCACTCGGCTTCAAGGACAATATTTTTTCCACCTCTTTCACAAGACATTATTAAACATTCCGTAAGCTAAGCTATTCTTTTCAAAGCATCCAGCCAGTGAAAATCGATCCAAAAACGACAGAACTCCCTTTTCAGATAAACGCCAATGCAAGATGATTCTCATCCTCAGCTGTCTATTATTTTTCCTCGTATTGATTTTGATCATTATCTAAGTGAGTCAAATTGTGATATCTTCCTAAATTCAGAGATTTTTGACGCTACTTGCTTGTAAGTCTTCTTCATAACACCTGCTGGACAATCCTTGAAAGACAAATTTACATTGTAGTCCAGAAATTACAGTTTACGTGCTTTTTTTTCCTTATCCATGTGAAATATTTCATTTCTATGCAAACAGTGATAGTCTCTCTTGCTATTCAATGAACGGGTTTCTTGAATAAAATTGCTTCTGAACTCAATACTATATCGAAAAACGATTTTCACTCATCAAAGTTGATTTTTCAGACAAAAATGGAGCAATTACATTGAATATTTTGGCATTCTGCATGATTGCAAAGAAACTTTTCCACCATTTTAACTGGATAATTGCAAAAGGGCTTCCAAAAGCATTCAATTCTCGATTTACATATCTTTCCCATTGAACACTATTTCCAAATGCGAACACGCCCTCTTTTCCCCTTTCCCTTGCCCTGTTAACCACTTTGTGAGTCAATTAAATGATCGGCTTATCAGTTTTTAGACGTGTCTTTCTTTCTCTCGCCGATTCTTTCCCTGAATCTTATGGAAATCTGTCTCGATGTGGATTCTTTCGTTTCTTCTATTCGGTAGTATTCTATCAAGAAGTGATGCGGCGGAGATTGATCCAAAAGGATATGTCATCTATTGTCCTTGTATGGGTGAGTTATTTTGAAAGACTTTGATAAAAGCTTAAAGCTCTTAAAATTGAATGCCTTGACACTGTGAGGTTGAAGATAAATGTACGAAATTTGTAGGCCGATTCGGGAATCAAGTAGACCAACTCTTGGGAACAATCTCTTTTGCAAAGGGCCTCGATCGAACCCTTGTCTTACCACCATTCATCGACTTTGCCAAACCGGGAAAAGCGGTAATTTTGTTCGTTAAAACTTTTTTGAATCCAATATTATTTGTGATTCGTATTCATTTCAGCAAATGATTCCCTTTGAAGATGTCTATCAACCGAAATTCCTCTCTCAATATCTCAAAGTGATCACTCTGACCGAATTTAAACGAGATATTGCTCCAACGGTTTGGCCGAAAGAAAGCAGAAAAGGTATTTTAAAAGATTTCAAATACAATTTACTAGAAAAACTATAATTCAGCTCTTTGTTGGAGCCCACGAGAATCTTTCTATGAAAAGAATGCTCCGTCGGGATGTCACGCAAAAGAAGGGAATCCTTTTGGACCATTTTGGGATTATGCTGGAGTTGATTTTGTTGATGATGAATTTTATGGGAAGATTGAGGCAAGCTCTTGTAAATGAGCATAAAACTAACTGACTTTTTAGGGTGGCTATGATCTTTCGACACGAGGCGCGAAGAGTGCATGGAATGAGCTGTGAGTTTTGTCTGCGTTTTCTGTCTGCTATGAGTTTGTCTGCGTTTTGTCTGCGTTAAATTGCGTTGTATCTCCAAAGAGATTCAAATGATAAAGAATTAATGTATGTAAATTCAAAGACAATGCTAGAATTTAATCTAAGATTAAGTTCTACGTCTGTAGCTGATCTGATCTACGTCTATAGTTTCTTCTCCAGATATTATTTTTTTTTTTTTTTTTTTTTTTGTGTTTGTTTTTTTTTTTTTTTTTTTTTTTTTTTTTTTTTTGGGGGTTGGGGGGTTTTTTTTCTTTTTTTTTTTTTTTTTTTTTTTTTTTTTTTTTTTTTTTTTTTTTTTTTTTTTTTTTTTTTTTTTTTTTTTTTTTTTTTTTATTTTATATTTATTATTTTTTTTTTTTTTTTTTTCTTTTTTTTTTAATTTTTTTTTTTTTTTTTTTTTTTTTTTTTTTTTTTTTTTTTTTTTTTTTTTTTTTTTTTTTTTATATATTATATTTATATTTTTTTTTTTTTTTTTTTTTTTTTTTTTTTTTTTTTTTTTTTTTTATTAAAAAAAACTCTTTTTTGTTCTTTTTTTGTTTTTTTTTTTTAGATATTCATCATCCGATCATCCAGTTCTCGCTTTCACCGGCGCTCCCGGCGCTTTCCCGTCGAAGAGAAAGGATTGGGAAACGCAAAAGTTTTTGAGGTTGAAGCTTGCTTGCTTGCTGCTGCTTTGCTTGCTGCTTTGCTTTTCAAGAGTCAATTTTTTAGATGGAATGGAAAAATCCTTCGATCTGCTCGAAAATTCATCAACGAGACCCTTCAGAGGCCATTTGTTGGCATTCATTTGAGGAACAATGTTGATTGGGTAAGCGAGTCAAAGAATATGGAAAGAGAATTGTCAAACTCAAAAGTTTATCAACAAATCTAGCGCTTCAACTTTCAGAAAGGCGTCTGCGAACACATTCATTCCGATCGAAAAGATCATTTATTTGCCTCGGCTCAATGTTTGGGTGATCATCCACAAAAGGGAGATTTCACGAAAGAGATCTGTGCCCCATCGGAGAAAACTGTCATTGAGGCGGTGCGTGAAGGGAAATCAGTAAAGATCTACAGTAGAATAAGAATAAGCGATAGATATACAGTACTGGACAATGAAATATCATATTTGAAAAACGATCGTCACTTTCGCGCGTCTGTAACTCCCTTGTCTTTGAGTTTAAACTATTAGTGTTATACATTTTCTGAAAGCTCTTTTCAAGGGCTACACAATGGTAATATTAATATTTAGAAATACGATAAAGACAAGGGAGTTACAGACGCACGAAAGTGACGATCGTTTTTCAAATATGATATTTAATTGTCCAGTAGTGTATGTAAAGCTTAAAATTCAACTTGAAAGTGTTAAATGAAGTGTTTGTTTAAGTTTAATGAAGTTTAGTTGTTTAGATTTGTTGTTGTTTTGTTGTTGTTGTCAAAGTTGTTTAGATTTCAATTTCTCTCCATTTCCAGGTTGTCGACAAAGTGGGCAGTATCGGTGCTCGATCGGTTTTCGTGACGAGTGACAAGGATTATATGATGATCCCAATTGGAGAAGCTCTGACTGCGTATGATGTAAGCAATAACCACAAAAATATCCCAACAAAACTATTTACAGGTGAAAGTGTTCACTCTAAAAGATGAAGATCCATTCATTGCATTGGCCGTCCTTCAGGAATCCGATCACTTCATCGGGAATTGTGTCTCCACTTTTTCATGTAAGTAATTGACCAAATTTCGATAACAATACCAATCGTTAAACCTCCGTATCTTCATAATCTATTCATTTTCAGCGATCGTCACCCGTCATCGTCAATATTCCTATTCTCAGCCAAGGCCTTCTTCATATTTTGGCCACCATCCACGTCCGGATCAATATATTCCATCAAAGAAAATCGAGCTTTAGATTCTAACTTTACTTTTAAGTTATTCACTTGTTATTTCTCATTGATGATTCTCCACTTTTACATTGTTCACTTAATTCTAAGATTGTGATCTCAAAGATTGTCTGATAAATTCAATAAGCTTGAATTTTATTAGTTGCCAATTGATTTAACAATTTATTCAAAAAGACGAAATATTAGGCAATCCTTTTAAAACAAAAGTTCGACAACGAATTTGACCAAAAAGAAACAATTCTGTGAAATGGCGGACGAATGGCGGTACGGTAGAAATTCTGCACTTTAGAAAGCACTAAAATATCTACCGACGGTTGAATGAGTAGACAAAGAGCTGCTCAAATCTCAAATTTGATCTCAAAGCCGATCTCTCAACGTGTTCTCTGTACTTGAATGCATCTTTGTGTACATGAGCTTTATAGGATAATAGGATTTATAGGATTTATTAGAATCTGTTCCTCAAAACTAATCAAATCTTTTCCTGATCCCAATTGGGGAGATTCGGTTCATATTCGACCTCACAATACCCCGGGCCGTATCCTGGTTGAGCTGGGTATCCACGACGAACCATTCGACATTGCATCTCTGACAGTCTTGGCCAAATGATCTCTGGCTAAAGTCTTGTAATTTTGATTAACTTTGGAAAGTTCGAATTTGGATGTTGGATAAGCAATATTGAAAGATGTAAATCTTAGGTCCGAATCCGGTTCAGATGTCCGAATCCGGTTCAGATGTCCGAATCTATCCTTTAGATTGAAGCTGTAAGCTGTAAGCTTTAGGTGTAAGCTGTAAGCTTTAGATGTAAGCTGTAAGCTTTTTAAATTGATGCAAAGATGGGCCCGTAGTACATAGTATTGGAGTAAAACGATAAATGCTTTTTGTTATAAAGTCATACAACTTACATAGATAGAAATAGCTTTTTATCGAATTAGCATATTTGCATCAAATTAAATACAGCTTGCATCGGATTGAGTCAAAGGACAGATTCGGACGTTCGAACCTAGCTCGAACGCGAACGCGGATTCGGACGTAACATATACTCAAACAACTCACGTCTTGCTTCGTGAACTCTCCATTGCTCCACAACTTTTCAGCCACAGCCGACGTTCTTGGGAAGATTCTGGAAACAATTGTGTATCCTTAATCAGGAATATATCTGCTTATTTGTTTTCTTTTTTTATACCTTTGAATAGCATTTGTTGCATCAACCATTTCTCCCCACATCGCCGCTTCTCCACCTAAAACCATGCGTTTTTGAGCGTCACTTCCGTCGAAATCCTGTGGATCGCACTTGTAGTACGATTGATAATCAATATCCCAAGAAATGTGATCAAGATACCTAAAATTCCCCCTATTTATTAAAAGTCCCTTTTCCAAACCAGCATTCCGACAAAATAGTATAGAATCCTTGTGATGTTAGATTTTTCGCGAGTTCCGATCGATTTCCAGTCCAAATATGAGCCACAACTCCTTTTGGAAGCTTGATCCCCATATTGACTACTTCCTGATAAGCTTAAGGTTCTTTTTCTATTTCCTTCTCAAACCTGCCAAACGATGAACTTCTTCTTGGGCATATCGCGAAGAGAAAAATGCATGAAGAGTTGATCAAAATACCATTGCTCCAAATCGACCGCTGTTTTCAAATTCCATGACTAAAAATTGCTTCTTCGAAAGCTTACAAACACTATTTTCTCATCTTCTGACTACCTATTGGGTTGGCCAGTAAGTAATGAATCACGACAAAGAAAGGAAATTTTTCCGTTAAGTTTAAGTTGATCCAGTGTTTACCACTAAACGAGACAACAGACTTCCCCCATTATAAAACACTTTCATTGATGGGGCATTTCCTATTTCCTTAATAACTACTTCTTTTGCTGATCAGAGCAAATTTGCCAAATGGGCATAGTCAGCAGGTTATGCTATTTGATTTCAACTTCAAGCCTAGCCCTAGGCAACTAAACAAAACTATCTAAACATCACTTCCTCTCCAAGATTACATGTGCTCGATGGTTTAACAAGTTTAAAAACGGGGACTAGTCTTTGATCGAAAGTGAATGCCCCTAATTCTTAACATGCCTAGGTATTTATGTACTTTAAAAATCACCAAAGACCAAGGGTGAGAGTCAAATCCAAGCAATCACGGAAGGTTATATAGTACCATTTGGAAAAAGATATTCAGCTAAACAGCTAACAGCTCAAATTGACCAGACAGTGTCGGCTTACGGTGTTGGCGAGGACAAAGAAATTTTTTTCATTTGTTCATTTGCAAACTTCGAGCGGTTCCGAAGGTTTCGCAAAGTTAACGGGGTTTTAATGGTGTCTTCTATATTTTATATTTACTTCAATGTATTCGAAATTAAAAGGCTTATCGTCAACCAACCATTTATGTTCTTTCATTTTGCTAAAGCTTTTGGAGCAGTTAACTATTTGATCGTTTAGGTATATTCTCCAAACAGTGCTTTGTGCAGAACAGTGCAAAAATGACCGATTCAGCTGACAACTACAAGGTATAAATTTATTTTTTTAATGTTTGAGGATGAAAAGTTGTCCCTCGGCGACTTAATTTGCACGTACAACAGTAGTCAACTTGTATCTTACTATTAGCTAGTATTACTTGGTGTGGATGACAGATTATGATAGAGAGGGGGTTAGAATGCTTACAGTCATCGTTCTAATTCTTTGTTTTAGCTCATCACCAACGACGGCAAGGTTTTGGAAATTTCCAAGCAAGCAGCAGATCGATCGGGAATGCTTGTCGAATTGCTCAAGGTTAGCTTTTTCTTTTTGAATTGATGGTTGATATTTTAATCTCTAATCTTTTCATTTTAGAATTGTCCAATTGATGATGTGAAGAGCATGGATCCAATTGTGCTTGCCGAGGTCAACGAAACCATTGCCAAAATGGTACTTTAATTTATAACGACTTAATTAGCTATTTAGTTTTCAAGAGAGAGAGGACCTGGATTCGTAAAGACCTAGTATTTCATATTTTAGGTTATCAAATGGTGTGAGGATCACAGGGATCTTCCAATTCTGACGGATGACAAGTCAATTACTCCGTTGGTCGTTATCTGGTAACGTTAAATAGTTTTTGTTTAGCCCTGAACCCAGCGAAGAAATCAAGAACATGGAAAAAGAGCTGCTGCAAGATTTGGATGGAAATCAGCTTTGTGCTCTCTATCAGGTTTGTTTATTTCAATTGTAACATGCCAGTGTGGGTTTAGGCTTCCAATTGGATGGATGTTCGCTGCTTGCGCCTGGAGATTTCAAAGATTCTTGCTGCAATGGTCTCGGTGAGATTTTCAAATAAGCTAAGCCATTTTCTTATTCAGGGGAAAAAATACACGGAGATTCGCACTCTCTGGCAACTCGAGGGTGATTTTACGGCCGAGGAGGAAGCTAAACTCAGGTAAAAGTTTTTATTCTCAAGCTAACAATTATGCAAGATCACTTCTTGCTACTTTCGAAGCCAGTATTAGCTTTTAAGACCGGTATTAAATGCTATATTATTTCTTTTTAGCACGGTGGATTCCTTGGAGTACTTGACCGAGTTAATTACAAAGCACGAGGCTGAGGAAGTGGCCGCTATCAGCGTCAATGAGTAGTTAGTGTTCCTCTCTGTGTTTCCATATTATGTTTTGCAATTCATTTTTCTGGTTACTCCCCCTTGTATAATGTTTCACTCCTTTGCAATTGATTGAATAAATGTTTCATTGCTAAAACCACCAAGATTTTGAATGATTATCATTTTCAGTTTCGGTGTCGGATGTTGCATTGAACCCGAAATAAATGGGACCAAGGGTTGACAGACTTTACCCAACAGATAGGGTAGTCGATTGATTGGTCGAGGGAGGTTATTGGACCTTTTCTTTCACGCGTCCGTACTGACCACTATAAAGAAGAACAAAAACCGATCGACTGACCCGCTAGTTGTGCGGATTGATAGTCTTGCAGACTTCACTTTTAACTTCACTTCACGTCATCCCAAAGCTCCAAGACGGTATCCGGGAACCTTCACTTTCCGGTCCATCATTGATCCACTTTGGAGTTTTTGGGTCGCTATTCTACTGGAATAGCCGCCCAGCCCCATATTTGTATGAATACAAGCAGACACTTAATCCTTTAATCTTGCGACATATCTAGACCTATGAATGGATGAAAAGTTGTCTCTCGGCGACTTGATTTCCACGCGCAACAGTAGTCAACTTGTATCTTACTATTAGCCATTATTACTTGGTGTGGATGACAAATTATGATAAAGTTTACAGTTATCTTTCTAATTCTTTGTTTTAGCTCATGACCAACGACGGCAAGATTTTGGAAATTTCCAAGCAAGCAGCAGATCGATCGGGAATGTTTGTCGGATTGCTCAAGGTGAGCTTTTTCTTTTTGAATTGGTGGTTGATATTGTAATCTGTAATCTTTTCATTTTTAGAATTGTCCAATTGATGATGTGAAGAGCATGGATCCAATTGTGCTTGCCGAGGTCAACGAAAGCATTGTCAAAATGGTATAAGATGAAAGTTGTCTCTCGGCGACTTAAATTGCACGTACAACAGTAGTCAACTTGTACCTTACTATTAGCTAGTATTACTTTGTGTGGATGACAAATTATGATAAAGAGGGGATTATAGTTCTTACAGTGCTTCATCATTCGAATTCTTTGTTTTAGATCACGACCAAGGATGGCAAGGTTTTGGAAATTTCCAAGCGAGCAGCAGATCGATCGGGAATAAGGTTGCTCAGGGTGAGCTTTTTAATTTTTCAATTGATAGTTGATATTGTATGTAATCTTTTCATCTTTAGAATTGTCCAAGGGATGATGTGAAGAACATGGATCCAATTGTGCTTGACAGGGTCAAGGGAACCATTGTCAAAATGGTACTTTAATTTATAACTACTTAATTAGCTATTTAGTTTTCAAGAGAGAGAGGACGTGGTAGCTTTCCTGAAGACTTAGTATTTCTTATTTTAGGTTATCAAATGGTGTGAGGATCACAAGGATCTTCCAATTCTTACAGATGACAGATCGATACTGGGTTGGTTAAACATTATCTCGTAACGTTAAATAGTTTTTGTTTAGCCCCGAAGCCAGCGACGAAATCAAGAACAAGGAAATGTTTCTGCTGTAAGATTTGGTTGGAAAACACTTTGGGATCCCTATCAGGTTGGTTTATTTAAATTGTAACATACAAGTGTGGGTTTGGGCTGCCATGTGGTTGGATGTTCGCTGCTTGCTACTAAAGATTTGGAGCCTGGAACCTCTTGACCAATGAAGCTACAAAGTGCAAGGCTGAGAAAGTGACCGAAAATGCTGCTGCCATCAGTGTCAATAGGTAATTAATGTTCGTCTTTCTATATTTATCTGCTTTGCAATTCAGTTTTATGGTTGCTGCTCCTTGTATAATGTTGCACTTCTTTACCACTGGTTAAATAAATGTGTCATTGCTAAAGCCTAGCTCTAGACCATATAACAAAAGTATATGGGCATGACTTCCTCTCCGAGACTACAGGTGGTGGATAGTTTCGCAAGTTTAAAAATGAGGACAAATCTGATCGAAAGTGAGTGCCCCGTAAGACTGGTTGAAGGGGTTATTGGGAGTTATCGGATATTGAGAGTGCTGAGAGTTACTGGATAGCAAGCAAAGACTTAACTCTCAACTATACAGCAATCAACTGCAGATTCTGGGCAAAGTCCTCGAGACAATAAAACCAAATCTGAAAAAGATCATTGGCAGCATGATAATGCCCGTCTACACTGCTAAAGTCGCTCTATAATCAAGAGTCTGAACTGGAACTTCTCCCCCATCCAGCATATTCCCCAGACATAGCTTCATCAGATTACCAATTATTTCGATCAATGGAAAACGCACTAGACGGAGAGCACTTTGAAGATGAAAAAGATACCAAAAAATGGGTACACAGCTACTTTGACCGAAAATTAAAGACTTTTAAGAGAGCGGAATTCGCCTTCTACCAGTAAAATGCGGGTACTTATGGGTTATCCCCCCACTCAAAAATTGGGATTTATCAATTTGCATAATCTAATTTTCGGAGCGGGGTTCACATCTCTCCATAGATAGTATTAACAATAAAATTTGGATAAAAAACAGAACGATGGCAATATTTTTTTAAATATTAGGTTGGTGAATTGAAAACTGCCGGCTATTGTCATATGTGACAGTTTGAGCACTTTCTTCAAAAGAAACCCATTTTGGTGTCAATGGAAAAGTTGTAGAGAATCAAAAATCAAGCTTATATCCAAATTTTCAGAACGATTCAAAAACTGGTTTTCAATAAATGCCAAATTTACGAAACTTTCGGGGTAGGCTACTTTCCGCCATTTTATTTGCGCAACAGGGTCATTTGCGCAACTTTTTTTGGGCAACAGGGTCATTTGCGCAACTTTTTTTGACGTTTTTAAGGGACTGGCGCAAAAGCAGAGCGGTGTGCTTTCTAAAGCGTGGATGCGCTACCGTATCCCGCACAAAAATTTGCGCAAGTACGTTTGCGCAACTTTTTTTGCTATGTTTTTGTAGTGCGTTTTTAAAGTACTCTCTCCCCTCGTTCGTTCCCTCCTTTTTATATTGTTTGCTCATAGTTTGTTGTTTAAAATTCTAGTACGGTTTTCATCGTTTTCATCGGCTATCAATCTCACTGTTGGACAAAACCACACACGGAAGAAAACTGTATTGTCTCGACAAAAGCAACGTTTTACTGCTATTTCTAATGGTCGCTTGCCCGGTTGCGATTTTGTGCAACATCTTTCTCAGCTTTTGACTTATATTTAAAAAATTTGATTTTTATTGTTGTCCTAAATTTCATTGTTATCGGTTGCACTTTTTTGTTAAAGCGATAAAATATTTTACTAATGGTTATTAGCTCTTAGAAAGGACTAATTTAGATAAATATTGGAAGATTGTGCAAAAAATTGGAAGATTTCATAAAAAATAGAAGAAAATAAAAAAAAGCTCAAAAATGAAAATAGTGATTAAAAATTCGAGTGCTTAATACAGTGTTAAAGTTGCGCAAATGACCCTTTTTGTGCAAAAAAAAGTTGCGCAAATGACCCTTGTTGCGCAAATGACCCTGTTGCGCAAATAAAATGGCGGAAAGTAGCCTACCCCAAACTTTCACAAAACTTGCATTTTAAGTGAAACTACTAAGTGTATCTTTTTGGAAATTTGGCTATAAGCCTAATTTTTGATTCTCTACAACTTTTCTATTGACACCAAAATGGGTTTCTTTTGAAGAAAGTGCTCAAACTGAGCTGACAGCTGACATCTCCAGTCCTCCATTTTTGAGTCTCACACTTGTCTCACACACAAACCAAAATCCTACTACGAAAGAGAAATCCGCAAATTGTCTGTAAAATAGGCCGTTAATGCCGTTAATGTCGACCGTTAATGCAATCAAATACAGTGAACAGTTGGAAAAGTTGAATGAATCCCTGAAGAAGAATAGGCCCTCCATGTCAAAGTTCTCATCCACGGCAACACGCGCCCTCATGTTGCAAAACTGACTCGCTTTAAAATAAATAGCCTTGTTTGGGAACTTTTGGCGCATTCCCCATACAGTCTGGACCTCGCCCCTTTTGATTACTATTTATTCCGGATCATGAGTAATGAGTTTGCGGGAGAACACTTCGATTCGGAAGAAGCAGTCAAAAATTGACTTTGAAAGTTCTTTGCTTCAAAACCAAAATCCTACTACGAAAGAGGAATCCGCAAATTGCCTGTAAAATGGGCAGAAGTCGTCAATAATGATGGAAATTATTTGGAATGAATTCATGGTTTTATGTTGAATAAATTTGAGTTCAAAGTCCCGCAGTTTTCAATTCACCAACCTAATAGAAACATTTTCGATATTTACTATATTGTCTAAAACAATCTAAACAGGCAATGTGAAACCAGAATCAAATTAGCATATGCGCGAAATTAGCATTTAATTGCACCAGCGCAACGGAGCATTGGTGGGAAGGTGGGTGGGGAAAATTTCAGTCCGCTGAATGGTGGATTTCTTTTTTTTGGGCGGGGGGATAACCCATAAGTACCAAAAAGGCTCACGTTATCGAAAAAAATGGAAACGTTTTTGATTGATTTAAATGACTTTATTGAATAAATATTTCTGTTTGAAATTGACTCATTACTTAGCAACCCAATAAAAACTACCTTCATGAAAGTCGTGATATTCGCATTGTTCATCCAACAATTCTCCATCCAGAAATCCGTCTCATCACCGCCCAAATGAAAGTATTTATCCGGAAACAGGCTCATCAATTCCTGAAATGATTTTTAATTCGAAAGGATTTGTTCGAAACCTTGAACAAAGCCACAAGAGCACTCCACATTTTTTTATTCGACACATCCAACATTCCTCTATCCAAATCGCTCATTTCCTTGCCCGTCTTATCAAAACATCTAGAATAGAACATCTAGAAATCTTAAAGAAAAAGATTCTTTTACTCACCTCGAAGTCATAAATGGTAAAGCTCTTCCCCAAGAAGCTACATGACCAGGTGTATCCAATTCGGGTAACACTCGGATTCCATGAAGTCTCGCAAAATCGATGATCTCCTGAAAAGCATCTTCTAGCTATTAACTGGTACGATATCAAACCTTGACTTGTGCGCTTGTGTAAGTGTGATTGCTGCCATAGGCTCCTTGACCAAACTCTGGGTAAACCTGAAGAAGCGATTTGTCTACTAATGTTTATAATTTGAGTCTTACTTTTGAAACATATGGAAAAGCTTCCATATCAACAAGATGCCAATGAAAGACATTCAGTTTGTTCATTGCCATCAACTCGATGATAGCCTTGATCACTTTCATCGAGTAGAAATGCCGAGATGTGTCCAGCAAAAGACCACGATGAGGAAATCTGGAATTGGAGAAGAAATAAAGATTTTGAAGAGAATTTAATGAACTTGCCTTGGATAATCATTAGAAATAATGGCTGTTTGGAAGAATTGATCATTTCCCTTATAGAAGAAGAGTTGAGAGAACGATTCGAGTCCTCTCAATGCGCCCCAAACCTGGAAATGGAATTGCTTTGGAAGAATAAGGAAAGGAAAGGAAGAATACCTGATTTGAAGACCTTTGAAAGGAAAGATACCTGATTAGCTTTTATGTAAACATTTGTTGTATTAGCATCAAGAGTGTACGATTCATCAACACCAAGACTTGGATAACCGGGACAATCTGTCTCTGCCACGTCGACATGAAGCGAGGTGAGGGGATCCTCGTTTGCAAATCCATACAAGAGTGAACGAGAGGAAGCCTTGAATGTTAATGTAATCTTCTGTATCTAATACGAAGCTCAAAGATCGGCAGCTGATTAAAAAAGCACCCAACGAAACAACGCCATTGTACAAACAGCGCCAAAAACAAAATCTTTCACTATTAGAATCTCTAATCATCCAGCAAATTTTTTAAGTATCTGGTTCTCTAGGTTTCTTAAATGACTCTCTCTCTCTCAAAAGGGAAAGGAGCTGCTTTGCGATGATGAGGACTATGAATACTAGAGTGTGTTCCTCGCGAGTAAGCAATTACTCGAGTCAATTTGCATGAGTAATTGTCGAGTAATGCGTTTTCTAAAAAGTGCGCCTGCGCGAAAAAAATATAAAACCAATTTTTTGCGCAGGTTTTTTCAAGAAAAATGGGGGTGGGACAAATGCGACTTTTTTTTGCTGGAAAAGGCCTTAGGAAAAGTCGTAGAGCTTCGAAAATATTTCCATATAAGGGAATCGTATGCGTAGATTCCGAATTTCGACAAATCAGACCTCGCTGACACGTCAAATTTGGGCTAAAAGGAAAAAACTGCGGAAAAACGTTAAGTTGCGTCGTTTTTGCCTTTTAGCCCAAATTTGACGTGTCAGCGAGGTCTGATTTGTCGAAATTCGGAATCTACGCACACGATTCCCTTCTATGAAAACATTTTCCAAGCTCTACGACCTTTCCTAAGGCCTTTTCCAGCAAAAAAAGGTGCGCAAATGTCCAGGTGCGCAAAAAAAAGGTCGCATTTGTCCCACCCCCCAGGTTTTCTCAAGAAAAATCATTTTTTACACCGGAAGGGAATTTCCCACCAAATCAGTTAAACGGCTGAGTATCTTTAAAAAGTGTCATATATAATGCGGGGCTCGTGATTTTTGCGTCATTTTTTTGCAATAATTTTTGCTAAAAGTACGGTACTTTTTTTCCAAGTGTGCGTTTTAAAAAACGCATTACTGTTTAAAAAGATGTTAAAAAACGCGAGGAACACACTCGAATGAATACTGGCGTGACAAACCAATTAAAGGAGGCAATCAAGTATCTTATCAGTAAGTTTCAAAAATTTAAAACGATTAAACGATTTTATGTAGTTGTACAAAAACGGGATGCCATGCCCGAATACATAGCAAAGTTGCTAATAATGCGATTCTTTTTATAAGATAAATTGTTGGAAAATTATGCACCTTATAGCAATGCAAAGCAGCAATGCAATGCTTTTGTCTTAGAGTAAATTTTGAAATTTTAATAACAATGTTTCAATAATATCAAGAGTATGAAAAGAAAAAAAGAAAAGAAACGCTGGTACGATAGTCGCTCACTTTTTGTATCGTATTCGTTTTAGGCGCTGCTTGTACATAGCGCTGTTTTGATCAGCTCCAGAGATCAAAGATCAAAGGCCACTGTACTCTTGTATTCCTTTTACCAAAGCTATGCTTCGTTTTTGTTCATTGAATTCAAATCGGCCTAAAGTTGTCTACAACTCACCATTTCAAAAGTCAATCCCAGCATTTTCTCATATCTTTTCAGTGCTTTGTCAAGTATATCACAGTCGATATTCTTTGTGACAACGACTTTTTTTGCTGCTTGACGAACAGCATCTGAAAAGGATTGTTTAGATCCAGAATTCTTTTAGCCCGTGATTAAGTTCACGCGATTTTTCTTTGGTTTCTTTAATTACTTAATTCGATTTCTTTAATTACTTTCCATTGAACTCACGTAAATATTGAATATTCTGTGGTTGAGGCCAGATTTGTCCTTTCGTTCTCAATTTCGGATCGGGCCAAGCCAAGGCTGTGGCGCAAAATAGGCAAAAGAGAGAAATTATTTGTAGAATCATTCTGAAATTTTGAGCGCTTTCAACCGAGAAGATTTCCAAAAGCAATGAGAATTAAAAATGAACTCTTTAATGTTTGAAAAAAATCGTACATTTAACGAGCTTTTAAGAAGAATGTGAAGAATGAATTGAATCGAGCCTTCTTTGCTAAATAAACAATTAAAACCAAAGAATTCTGTTAGTTGAAACTGAATCATTTTTTGGGTGAATCAACATTCACATTTCTTTTTTTCTTTTCTCAAAATCAACTGTGATTTTGGGAAAAGAAATGTTACTGAATTGTTGAAGTTAGGATGTTTTTCGAGAGATCACGTTGATCCTCTTATCTAGGTGCCCGGAATCATGAACGCAGCAATCTATCGAGACATTTTAAACTCAAATCTACTTCGACATGCTCGCAACAATTTGGAGGATCACTGGCTTTTCATGCAAGACAATGACCCAAAATACACTTCTCGGCTCGTTCAAAAATCGTCAGAAGAGCAAGAAATTGAGATATTGAAGTGGCCAGCTCATATGATTCAAGAAAGAAATGAGAAAAATGATGTTCGAGCAAAGCCTTCCGATTCTATGTTTACAATTTATGGTTCTAGTCAAGTTTTGAAAAAGTTTATTCATTGTAAATTTTGTTTTCAAAGAATACAAACACAGTTATTCCTTAAGGAAAAAGGAATCGTAAGGAAAAGTAACACTCGCCTTGCACCATCCTTGTTGATATGGACAATAAAGCTTTTGAGGTGCCTAAATGGTCAAACTTTATCGTAAATAACACCAGCAGCAGCCTTGTAGTTATGTTCTGGAGGAAATTTGATTTTCGAAAAATGAACAATTAAAACCAAAGAATTCTGTTAGTTGAAACTGAATCATTTTTTGGAAGAATCAACAGTCACATTTCTTTTCCCAAAATGAACTGTGATTTTCGTTCAAAAAAGCTAACCAAAAGGGTCATCATTGAAAAATGGCTGGCCTTTCTGAATGGATTTATGAATTCTAACTTTTTCAATACCCCGGCCTTTTATAGAAGGCAGCGATTTGATTGGAAGGCATTTAAAATATGAAATTTCCTGTATCAAAATGGATTCGAATGAGAAAAGGTTTCAATTTTTGAGTCTACCGCTGAATGTAAATGCCAAAACTATGATACCAACCGCAAATGCTGCAATACTGCATTAATAAACAGTACTGATTTCTTGGATCTAAAAAGTAGTGCTTGCTTCGTTACAAGGCATTCTCCAATCAGAGAAAGACTTGTTCCTTGTTTAAACCAAAACACAGATAAAGCCTTTTTTCTGAACGAGAAGACTCATCTCTCGTGTAATCAGCAATAAATGAAACATAAAACGACAAAGAATTGATAAGATTTTATATAGCAAAGCCTACGTTCTCCGGAAACCTAGTGTCAAAAAGGCGATGCTCTAAATGACAGACTTCAACTCCTGGAGAATCGAATCGCCAAAGATTGGGAACAAACACAAATGAAGTCCACTTAAAAGTAAACTGTGGAAGACTATCAATCCGCACAACTAGCGGGTCAGTCGATCGGTTTTTGTTCTTCTTTATAGTGGTCAGCACGGATGTGTGAAAGAGAACGGCCAACAGCACATTACACTTCATTTATCACTCCCTCGACCAATCAACCGACAATCCTATCTGCTGGGCAATGTCTGTCAACTCGTGGTCCCATTTATTTCCGGTTCAATGGAAAATTCGACAACCCAAACTGAAAATAACAACCATCTTGCTCAATGCTCAAAATCAGAATCATTTAAAATCTTGCTGGTTTTAGCAACGAAACATTTATTTAACCAATTGCACAGGACTGAAAGATTATACAAGGGGCAGTAATGAATTGCAAAGTAGAAAACATGCAAATAAAGAGAGGAACACTAACTACTCATTGCCGTTGATAGCGGCCACTTTGTCGGTCACTTCCTCAGCCTCGTGCTTTGTAATTAAATCGGTCTCCAAGTAGTCAAGTTCATTGACCAAGATTTCCAAGGCATTTTCCGTACTAAAATAATTAATACAACATAGAATACCGGTCTTAAAAGTCAACACTGATTTCTAAACTAGCAAGAAGTGCTGCTTAATTGCTTGCTCAAAAATATGAAACTTTACCTGTTTCTAGCTTCCTCCTCGGCTGTAAAATCGCCCTCGAGTCGCCAGAGAGTGCGAATCTCAGTGTATTTTTTTCCCTGAATAAGAAAATGGCTTAGCTTATTTGAAAATCTCACCCTGATCATTGCAGCAAGAATCTTTGAAATCATCTGGCGCAAGCAGCGAACATCCATCCAATTGGAAGCCTAAACCCACACCTGTATGTCACAATTGAAATAAACAAACCTCAAATAGATCGAAAAGCTGATCTCCGTCCAAGTCCAGCAGTTTACTTTCCTTTTTTTGGAGCCTTTGGCTTTTCCTTTTGGTTTCGGTATCGGTATCGGTATCGGGACCCCACCTAAACAAAAACTATTTAAGATCACAAGATAATCATTCACGAAGTAAACCTCACAAACCTCACATCCTTCACAATTGGACGATTCTTGTGATCTTCACACCATTGGATAATCTAAAATACAACATGGTCAAATGCTAGATCTTTACAAAAACTCATCTCTTAAAAAACTAAACAGCTAATTAAGTAGTAATATAATTAAAGTACCATTTTGACAATGGTTCCTTTGGCCCTGTCAAGCACAATTGGATCCATGTTCTTCACATCATCCATTGGACAATTCTAAAGATGAAAAGATTACAGATTACAATATCAGCCATCAATTCAAAAATGATGAAGCTCACCCTGAGCAATTCGACGAGCATTCCCGATCGATCCGCTGCTTGCTTGGAAATTTTCAAAACCTCGCCGTCGATGGTCTTGACCTAAAATTACGAATTAGAATAATGAAGCAGTGTAAGAATTCTAATCTCCTCTTTATCATAATTTGTCGTCCACACTAAGTAATACTAGCTAATAGTAAGATACAAGTTGACTACTGTTGTACGTGCAATTTAAGTCGCCGAGAGACAACTTTCATCTTAAAACATTAAAACAAATAAAGTTATACCTTGTAGAAGACACCTGAACCAGTCATTTTTGCACTGTTCTGCACAAAGCACCACAAAGCACAGGATATACCTAAACGACCAACGGGCTACCTGCTCTCAAAGGTTTAGTAAAGTGAAAGAAGATAAATGGTGATACTTTGGTGGTTGAGAGGTGCCGCTTTTATCCTGGCTTAGTTGGATCTAATGTTTTGAGTGGTTGTATTAATACCCTTTATCTAACTATTCTAGGGTGATCAAATCAAAAATTAAATGTTTATACTTTTGAAGCATTTACAACATGTTTCAAGTTTTATATTGCCGCTTTTATTTGATTTTCAAGTGTAAGCAGCTTTGGGGTAACATTTGGTGGTTAAAGTACATGAAACTAGGCTAGAATTGCAAAAAACTTGCTAAAATAGTCACCAATCGATTAAGCATACTTGGTTAAATTAGAATAGATAAAAAGTACCAATACAACCACTCAAAACATTAGGTCCATCTAAACCAGGATATAAGTAGCTGCTCCAAACCACTAAAGTACCTAAATGGTTGACGATAAGCTTTTCATTGCTAGTACTTTAAAGTAAATCAACAAACCGTAGAAGAAGCTATTTAAAACCCTCTAACTTTGATAAACCTCCCGAACTGCTCGAAGTTTGCAACAAATTACGGGAAATTCTTTGCCCTCACCGTCACCATAAGTCGACTCTATATACCCTTTATAGCCGATTTGGGCTATTAGCTGAATATCTTTTTTCCAAAGAGACTCTATATAACCTTTCGCTCTCTTCTCTCGCTAAACATTCGTGGTTTTCAAATTTCATTTTCTTCGGTTTTTTTCCAACTTGACGCTCCAAATATTTATTTTGATCGAATCCGAGTTTAAAGCTCTTTTCCAATTCATAACAAGCACATGGGCAGGCGTCAAAAAGAGAGATTTCGGGGCTGAATTTACGATGATCTCGCATTCCGACACACCCAAATCCTCCGAATTCTGGATGTTTTGCCTTTTCAAACGTTAAAAATATAGATTTGCTTGTGTAAGGGCAACTTTTTTTTGTAAACTCAATCTTCTTAGGTTAAATTCACTGCTAAACTAAAAGTTGCATCCAAAAGATTTTGCGAACAAGTCTGAATTGCGGATCTGACTCTCATTCTTAGCCTTGAGTGACTTCTAAAGTACATAAATACCAAGATATGTTAAGAACTAGTTCTTATAAATGTAAAACTCCATTTAACAGCCACCGTACAGGGCTAATAGACTAGAGATTTAGTTTTTCGGTCTTACGATAGCTCTATCTAATACTTGTTTTCCTCGCAAAGCTCTCTTAAACCATATCGCCACAAATCTCGTTTATGTATTGTTTGAAGATGTTTGAGATGAGATGAGATGTGACGGAATGGATAGAGTAGATGGAATGGATGGAGGTGATGGAATGGATGGAGGTGATGGAAGGGCGGGACTTGTCCCCTCTCTTTTGGGGTCTCGAATTCCCGTGTTGGTCCCTCCCACCCCTTCCCTCCCCTCAACATCCACTATGGATAGCGCTGAACCTTTTCCTTTCTTTTCCCTTCTTTTTCTCATTCAACAACCTGTAGATAGTCCTGCTAGACAGTGAGCTAGTTCCCCTTCTTTCCCCTTCTTTCCCCTTCTTTCCCCTTCTTTCCCCTTCTTTCCCCTTTCCTTACCCTCCCTTGTTACCTCTTTTTCTTTCACTTTCCTCCAATTCTTTGTGCCTCAATAAGGGATCTACAAAATCCGTTCTTCTTTAGCTTTTTCTTGGTTTCTACTTGCTACAATTGGTTTCTACTTGTGTTTTTGATTTGTAAGATGTTCGATCTCGTTTTAAATTTCAGACAAACAAGGAAATTTTGAGCTTTAATGGTTTGCTCATGGTCAGAGCCCGGATTGTTGAGAAGAATTGGGTTATGGTGCCTTACTATGCCTTGATTCCAGTTTTTACTATCAAATACTTTCTAGTTTTGTTTCCTGGCAATTTCAACGCATCAAGCTTTTTGGCTTATGTTCTTTTTGTGGATCAGAAAACTCTTTCAAGCTATCGCCGACGCTTTTCGGGGGATTAGATTGTTTGAAAAAGGCCGTACACCCTCACACAAATGTTCCCCCGATTTGGATTTTTTTTAACTGAGATTGTTTCTTTTTATTCTTAATGCTTACTCTTGCAAGTTCATTTTCAGAAAAGAGCCAAAGATTTGACGTTTTCATCGATCATTTCTATTCATTCCACACAAAATGTGGGAATGGTCAAGGAGAATGATCTGTAGACCATTCTCTTCACATTTTCTTCTTTTTGTTCAACTCCTATTATTTTCTCCTTTTGTCTCCCCTTCGTGTCTTTTGGAGAATGGCCGATCATCCGTTTATCTCTCCGTTTTTGAGGATCTTCGACCAGGTGAGTTTATAGAAAAGTTTCGAGATCTGAAAAGTCTTTCGATAAAATATTGTTAGATCTAGCTATTTGGCCCAAAGAAATCACCATTACTTGTTTTTTTTTGGAAAATGCTAAAGACTAGAAATCTAAGAAGCTGGGAAATTTGGTGAACCAAATAGGGAAAACGAGAGCTGGCTAGGTTTGCATTAAACCTTGCAAAGTTCAACATTTTCCTAATCCTCTTGAAATGGAGTGATCTTCTTTTTCTTCGTTTCTTTTCAGATATCTCATATGGTTGAGTACCAATAATGGTAGGGTGGATGAAGGGAGATCCGTTCATTTGAATCCCTTTTACTCTGTTGGGTCACCCCTTTACCCCGACAAAGCTAATTATTCGAGCTCACTATAGAAGATTTTAATTGGAATCCGGTAGTAATCCCCTTTAGGTTAACAATGTTTGCAACATGTTAGCGGGTTTATAAAAGGATTTTTTTCTTTGAAAATTTCAATACAGTTAAGGAGATCGACGGTTTTCTTAACTCTTAACGAGTTTCTTAACTCGATTGACTATTGACTTTTCTTAACTCTACGAATAGCTTCTGATCTTAACCATAAGATAAAGAACATTAAGACAAGCTTAGAAGAGCTTAGAAGAGTTTAGAAGAGCTTAGAAGAGCTTAGAAGAGCTTAGAAAAAACTTAAATCTGATTCTTCTAACAATTAGATCATCCTTTACCTTACAAAACCTAGAGTCTAGAATTAGCGATACCAAAAATTGCATCCAATAATTGCATCCCATTAACTACCCCACTCATTCCAGTTATTTCCAAGCAGTTATTTGTGCAGTAACTCCCCTGTTTACCCAAATCGGCTATACTGAAATGAGCCAAAGACCCTAAGAAAAGAAAGGGTCAAGATCTCGCTTTCCTTTTGCACTCTTTTGGTGGAACTTCACCCCATAAAGAGAGCTTCTCCCCAAGATCGGCTGTCATCCCTTTCCTTTTCCCACCCATCCAACACCTTTAGGCTAATTGAGAAACGCACCAATTTAGTGGAATTTTAGTGGAAATTCTTTAACGTTCAAGGTCCAAGCAGTTTCAACAAAAAAAGCTAAAAGGGCACTTGGTCAGAAGCAAATCGCAAGAGAAAATCCTCAAAGCTAAAGTCAATTTCCGGGCTATCCTGAAAACGAAGTGTTTTAAAAAGTTGAGAACTGCGCTCTTGTTCAGATAATGTTAAGAAATAAAGAAAATTCTGAAATTTGTTTAACTTATTACTTTTAGGAGAGGTCGTCGGGAAAATTCCATTAGAAAACTTCAAGCCAAATGGTGGAATTGAACTGAAAGTTGTGAAGGGATTCGATTTTGTCGATATTGAGCCAGGAAGCAATTTGATGAAGCTGACAAATCCGCTCGATCGAGATGAGGTTTGATTTAAACCCTTTCAATAACCGCTGAGAATTTTTGAATTCTCTACTCCAATTTCCTTTATTTTGAATTGATCTCGAGGCTCGAGGCTCGAGGCTTTCGCGAGTCCATTTCTGTATGACCTTCCCAAGTCTATTCCCATCAAAGTTTCCCCAGTTTTTCTCAAAGTCTTTCTCCCTTTTCACGAGAATTATCCCCACATCACTAACTACCACAAAAAGGATTCAAAAAAGATTCTTTCCATCAAATCACTCGTTTACCTCAAAATTTGGCGTAATCCGAAAACACCTTGACCCAAAAAGAAGATGATTATTGGATTCAAAGTGAAAGCCCTTCAGTACCCCTATTCCGAATGACACGTCGTCATCTTCCGGAGCCTGCAGGACCTTATCGAGTACATCAAAAATGTACTGCTCGATCGGGATCACCGGCACAACGACGCCCGCATCAATTTGAAGCGCCACGTCGTCGATGCTGGCCTGTAGTTCGCAGAATGCGGCGAATTCCATCGCTGAAATCACAATATATCACAAACAATTTTCGATCTTTTGACCATTCGACCGTTCCTTTGATCTTGCCGCCTTTTGATCTCTTGCCTTTTGATCTTTCTCTCTCATTCCTCTCTTTATAAACCTCCTCAAATTAGCCCTTTCTCAAAAGATTCACGGAAACTGAACCAGATGTGGTCTAAATGTTACCAAAACAAAGTTTTATAAAGATCAGAAATAGGTCTGGGATAGTTAGACAATTCTCAGAGCACTTTTAGAAGCCTTCAGGGTTGAGTAATTAAACCTATCATACCAGATTTCTCTGAAATCGATATCCTACGTGTTTCACACGTTTTCACGTATCCCGTTTGCGTACATCAACACCCGGATATGGATCTGATTTCTTCAGATCGCGGGGCTGTACGGAAAAACGAGGCCACGTTCTGTGGAATGGTGTCCACGAGAGGTGGATGGATGTTTGTGTCGCACATCGTCTCTTCTCATCTTTTCCCATCTCTTTCATCCTTTCTTCTCCTTCTTCTTCTTCTTCTTCTTCTTCTCCTTCTTCTTCTTCTTCTTCTTCAAAATCTTTCCCTTCAGGGCTCTTGTTGATGGGATGTTTGTGATGTCCAGCTGAGAGAGTCAAATGAAAGAAAGAAAAGGGATATCGAGTGAACAGAAGAGTGCCTAGAAGATGTCCCAAAGGGAAAAGAATGCATCTAACAGCTAGCTTTCGAGAGGCATCTAGGAGGTACAAGGAATGGGAACATTTTGAGATCTTCATATTGAAAAATTGAAGATCTCAAAATTGAAATATTGAGTGGAAAGTTGAATGACCTGAATTTTTAGGAGTTCCAGCTGTCAGCTGTCAGTTCCAGCTGTCAATTCAATTTGAACTTATTTAAGAAATACTTTGGTTACTTTACTAGGAATCAGCTTGAACCTTGAATGAGAGAAAAACAATCTTGTAATTGTTCAGTGTTGGGCTAGGCTAGGCAGGCTAGGCTTCAGGCTAGGCAGGCTAGGCTTCAGGCTAGGCAGGCTAGGCTTCAGGCTAGGCAGGCTAGGCTTCAGGCTAGGCAGGCTAGGCTTCAGGCTAGGCAGGCTAGGCTTCAGGCTAGGCAGGCTAGGCTTCAGGCTAGGCAGGCTAGGCTTCAGGCTAGGCAGGCTAGGCATTGTTCAGGCTAGGCATTGTTCAGGCTAAGCATTGTTTAGTGTTGTCTTTGCCTTCTTGAACAAGCCGGTCACATATCTAATCCACGAAAAAGTCTAATTCAGCTAATGAAATCTGTTTTTGTTACTCGTAGATTCAAATAAGAGTATCTCCGGAAATACGACAGAATTTCCCCGAGTGAAATTGGTTTCTCTTTGTAGCTTTTTCAATTCTCTTTGTAGCCTTTTCAATTCTCTTTGCTTACTACTTTAGTTGATTTCTCTTCGACGATTTCCCTTCCAATTGCCACCAAAAGGGTGCTAGTGAAATCACAAAATGGACATTCTTCTCCTCTTTGTCTTTTCTCATTCTTCATCTCTTTCTCCTTTCTCTGAATCGAATTAGCATCGGTTTTTGCTTTTCGGAGAGATGTCGAAGTCAGGGATAAACAAAACCAATCAAAAAAAGAAATGGACAAAATCTCAAAAAAAAAAAATTCTCTAAATCCAGTGATTTTAGGGCAACTCAAAAATCGAAGCAGTTGTCGAGTGCAAATCCACCGTTGATCCTGTATCGGATTTCAATCAGGTAACATTTTAAACCAAATTTACATATTGTTGAATAAAGAACGCTATAATAACCTTTATAATAACCTTCATAATAACCTCTTTATTCCAGTTAAATATCACTGTTTTCATCACGGTGAAAGACGTGAATGACAACTCGCCTCAATTTGAACAAAGCGAATACCACGTGAACATTAGTGAAGAATTGCCAATTGGTGAGAGAAGATTAGTGTTATTTCATTGTCAATAGCAATTGTCAATTGCTAATTGTCAATAGCAATTGCCAATTATCAATAGCAATTGCCAATTGCCAATTATCAATAGCTTTCATCATTGATTTCTCATTTTCTAGGCACAATTGTCTTTACCGGAATCTCTGCAACAGACAAAGATCAACCTGGACCAAATTCTTTCCTTCAATATTCCATTCTTCCTTCTGAATTTTCTAATCTTTTAGATATAGAAGATCCATTTAAACCAGTGATTACTGTAAAGGTAATCCTTATAAAAAAGCTTATTTATTAGCAAAGCACAGAATCGGATCGATTACGAGAAAGTAAAGAAATTCACTGTACAAATCGAGGCTCGAGATCAAGGAGAGCCAAATCGGGCATCTGTTGTGCCACTTCATGTCATGGTTGAGGTTTGTTTTGATGATTTAAATTGATGATTTGATGATCATCCATTTGATGATGACATCCATTTGATGACATCATCCATTTGATAATGACACCATCCATTACTCATTATTTCACTCATTTCACTCCAGGATCAAAACGATTTGAATCCTCACTTCGAGCGTGACTACTATTTGGCGAAACGCATCAAGGTGAGCGTAATTTGAGAGAATTCTTACAAGCAAATATGTTTATAAACAAATATGTTTGAATCAAGGTAAACTGTTCGTTATTTGATACGGTTTAAATTAGAAGAAGCCTGTCAAAAAGAAAAGAGCATTTTGAACAAACAAATGCATGAAAAAAGAATAGAAGAAAGATCGACTGGGGAAAAGGACCAAAAGAGCTTGCTGAAGAAGTGAAGAAAATGTGAAGAACCCTTGAATGAACACGCTTCAAACCCTGGCCTCTTTTCAGTTTAGATATTCTTCTTTGAAATTATTATTTTGTAATTTGAGATGAGTTGTATAGCAGAAGAAATGGTTAGAGAAAGAAAAACAAACAAATTGTACAAGCAGGAAGTTTTCTAGGATGGTCTTCTCGTCGTTGAACCATTTCCAATCAAAGCCGTTGATGGAGATGCCCTAAATGCGAATATTGTTTACAGCTTGAATGGAGGTTTGTTAGAGTTTGTTAGAGCGGAAATCTGGTTAGAATTCTGTGGATTTACTAAACAAATTGAGTATCCAATTACATCACTCACTCAAACATACAAAAAGTGTTCTCAAGAAGTTCTCATCCAACGGTTGATCTCATCCAACCTCAGATTTCTTGAGAATAAACAATAAATCCGGTTTCACTTAGAAGATTTCACTAATTCCGTTTCATTTTCACTTAAAGTTACAGCAATAGCACAATTGTTGTGATTCTATCCTAAATATTATCAAGATTAGACTAGTGAACAATCTATGTTATCTGCTGTTATCTGAACAATGTTATCTGCTGCAACATGTAACCAAACGATTGGGTTGGTGAATTGAAAACTGCCGGCTATTGTCATATGTCACAGTTTGAGCACTTTCTTCAAAAGAAACCCATTGGCAGCAGCTAATGGCCACATTACCTAGAAAAACTTGTACAGGGTGCTTCAGAATATAGGCGACAAGAAGCGCTAGCCTTGTTTTTATGAGATTTTCTTTGTTACGATTCCAATACGGTTCCTATTTTATTCCAATACGATTCCAATACGTTTCCAATATGGTTCCTATTTTATTCCAATACGATTCCAATACGGTTCCTATTGGGTTGGTGAATTGAAAACTGCCGGCTATTGTCATATGCGACAATTTGAGCACTTTCTTCAAAAGAAACCCATTTTGGTGTCAATGGGAAAGTTGTAGAAAATCAAAAATCAAGCGTATATCCAAATTTTCAGAACGATTCAAAAACTGGTTTTCAAGAAATGCCAAATTTTCACAAAACTTGCATTTTAAGCGAAACTACTAAGTGTATCTGTTTGGAAATTTGGCTATAAGCCTAATTTTTGATTCTCTACAACTTTTCTATTGACACCAAAATGGGTTTCTTTTGAAGAAAGGGCTCAAACTGGGACATCTCCAGTCCTCCATTCTTGAGTCTCACACTTGTCTCACACACAAACCAAAATCCTATTACGAAAGAGAAATCCGCAAATTGCCTGTAAAATGGGCAGAAGTCGTCAATAATAATGGAAATTATTTGGAATGAAACTTCATGGTTTTATGTTGAATAAATTTTAGTTCAAAGTCCTGCAGTTTTCAATTCACCAACCCAATAGATTTCCAAGGTTACTGTGCAAGGATTAGAGCTTTACAAGTACGATAAATGACAACTTATAAAGAATACCGTACCGTTTCTGTACTCTCCTGCACTCGTTTTCTTTTCTATACTCGTTTTCTGCACTCTTTCCCCATCCCACCTACAGCTTCTCTCCAATAAAGAAAAACACTTGTTGTCCTTCTTGACTTCTCCCCTCAATTTTCTCTCTTTTCTTTTTTTCTTTGAGTGTCCAAACATGGTCGAGCACTTCTCCTTTCTTTTCTCCTTTCTTTTCTCCATCAAATTACCCCATTCACATCCAAACACCTCGAAAATCGACAAGAACGGGTCACGCTTTTCAGTCTATCACTGAAATAAAGTAAACAGTTGTGTTGTAAGATTGAAATGGACTAAAAGTTAAGACCAAAAGGGGATTATCTTTCAAAAACTAGCTTTAAGGCAATAAATTGATGAATTAAATGTCTTGATCAATTTAGAGTTGAGCTCTCACTTTGCCATTGATCAAAATGGTCAAATCCGAGTCCGAAGCAATCCACCACCGCCATTCGCCGTCTTTTTCGTTCATGTAAGTAATGGAAAATGACAAAGATGTGAAGCCAGTTGTCACTAATTTTATATGCAAATTTTCGTCTCTTTAAAAGGAGGCCAAATTATCCCTTTTCTCCTTGGGGGATTCTTTGTCGGATTGCTTCAAAAAGGCGACAATATGGCGAGAATATGGCGACACTATGGCGCCAAGATTTCTTTGCGCTGAAAGATCTCTTTGCTTGGGATCAATTTAAAAGGATTTCAAGAAATAAAACATGGAAAAGCACTCAAATACTTAATCAATAACAAATTTTTAGGCTCACGAGGAGAAAAATCGAGATCGCAACGCCACGGCGATCCTTAAAGTGCAATTGGGAGCGAATATTCATTTTGAGAACGATCTCTATAATTTAAAGGTAAAAAGATAAATGATTAGTGGGTTTTTTTTATAACTAATCAAATGTTTTGCTAAAATATTAGTTGAAAGCTTGTATTTTAGCTCTCTAGCAACACCCCACAAGGAACTATTTTGACTCGAATCAAGGCTTATACAGAATCGGTGAGTCACGACAATTTAGCTTTTTTCAATGATGAAATTTGAGAATAACCAAATCAAATATCGCCTTCAAAGCCCAGAAGTGACAATGCTGAGGGTGGATCCCCATTCAGGAAATGTTATTATGGGAAAAATACCTATTCAATTGAAAGTCTTCTATGAATTCAATATCACAGCAACTGACGGAAATGAGGTAAAATTAAAAATTAGAATAAAAAGGGATGGTCAATTGGATAGGTTGGTGAAATGACATGAGCCATAGAGCATTCTAAGTGACCATTCAACCCATTCTAAGTGACCATTCGATCCATTCTAAGTGACCATTCGACCCATTCTAAGTACAGAGTTAATATAAATGTGAGCTATATTTCTAAACTCTTAGGAAGCTCTCGCTCGAATCCATGTCTTTCTCGATGCAGTAACTGATTGTTCTGAGGGACCGAGATTTGAACGAGTTGAGAGTACGGTAAGTGTGGAAATAAGGAAACAGAAGGAAACAGAAGGAAACCCAATCAACAAAAACAATCAACAAAAACAATGAACAAGTTCAGGCCGATTCCCCGGAAGGTCTCGCCTTGATTGGACCGCTGAAGACAAATACCGAGCATGTCTCCTATGAGTTGCTGAATATGAAAAAGTAAGAGATAGATTTCGTAAACAATCAGTTTCACTCAATTTACAGAGATTTCCATATATCTGGAGATGGAGTGGTGAGTATGAGACAAGGAGCTTCTCCACAATGTGTTGTCTGTGAATTGGTTGTCTTGGCAAAAGATCAACAAGGGAGAATTGGGCATACAAAGGTTTTATCTATATAATCTAATCTTAATCTATCTAAATTTATCTAAATCTAAATTCAAAGATTATCTACAGGGTGACCAAGAATTACCGCAAACCGCAAAAACGTCGTTTTATGTTATGAGCCCCATTTCACTTTTTGTTTACCTGTTTTTATGGTTTTTGGTGTATTTTTCTTATTTTATTGTATGATTACTAACTTTCAATATTCAATTTCAATTAGTATGGTTCTTTTCAGGAATGGTGAAAGCGTCTCCACATCAACAATCGATCCTTGAGCTCAAGCGGCAGCGTGTTCAGGCGGCTGTTCAGGCGAGCGAGATCTCAAAGCGCCTGAATGTCCCCAGAAGCCTCGTTTCTCAAACCATTCAACGTTATGAAACTCTGGGCACAGTTTCTGATCGATCCAGGGATCTGATCGCCCTGGAAGAGGTGCAAAGCGAAAAGCGGTTACTCCGGCTAATGTCAAGAAAGTGCGCGATCGTCTAAGATTAAACCCAAACCAATCGGCTCGAGGAATGGCACAGAAAATGGGTCTGAAAAGAAGCTCCGTCAACACAATCATCAAGAAAAAGCTGAAAATGAAGCCGTACAAGAAGAACAAATCTCAATTACTATCAGTTTTGTTCAAAGACCTTCCCGAACTTCATCTCGTTTTCTGAGTGGCCACCCAGCTCACCCGATCTTAACCCATTGGATTACTCAGTCTGGAGTGTTCTTGAAGCCAGGGCATGTGCAAAACCATATAAAAATATGGAAAGTTTGAAGAAGGCACTGATCAAAGCATGGGATACCCTCGATGATGCCTATTTGCTCGCCACGTCGATGATGCCTATATGCTCGATGATGCCTATATGCTATGTGAACGCGTTTCCCAAACGTTTGCAGGCCTGTCTGAATGCCGATGAAGGCAAATTTGAATTTAATTGTTAATTTGTTACTGTTATTTGTTGAATAAAGATATTTAAGTTAACTTTTCGAGATGGGTTGCTTTGGTTAATGGCTAATTTGGTTAAAAGCCAGGCCTTTTGTGTGTTGCGGTAATTCTTGGTCACCCTGTACCTTGGTCACCATAATACATCGTATTTTCCAGGTGATCCTCCGCAATCCCGGCTTGGTCATGTCAGCCTCATCAGCTCTTACTTTTCTTGTCTTGACCATTTTTGCTCTAATCATGATTATGATGATCGTTTTTGTTTGTAAGAAAGTCTCTTATGTGTAAGTGATCAATTAAAGATCATTCTTTTATCCAAATGGTTTAGATGGAGACAAAATAAACGTCAACGAATGTGTTGGTTGAATCGATCAACCGATAGTGGAGTGATCATTACGGGAACGATGCCATCAAGTACAACGAGGTAGACCAATTTCTAGTTTCCTTTCTGAATCCCTTTCACCAAAATTCACCTAAGACTTGCACTTCCTGCAGAGCAAAGACTGCCTCGATCTCTCTCTTCTGAGTAGGTTCAATGGAAATTCGTTGTGTAGAAAAGAATCACTATCTGTTGTTTATGTTATTTTGATTTACGTATTGTGTTTGAGGATTACGGTAGATCTCTATATGATCTCTATATGATCTCTAGATGATCTCTATATGATCTCTATATGATCTCTAGATGATCTCTATATGATCTCTAATGATCTCTAAACTTAAAAATTCTATAGAGTCATATAGAGATCTCTTTTCCCAATCATTTCCCAATCATTCCCCACAAATTTCAATGCATTTCAGATATGTCGTCAATCCCGAGAAGGGAATTGACAATCGAATCTCCGATATTGGCGGCCAAATCACACAAACCAAATCCCCGGCTCCAGTTCGAACCTCGGGCGCTCATCTTGTGCCTGTGACTGTCTCGAATCGAGATGGAGCACCCACTGTGTATTTCTGAACCATGATACCTGAGATAATCTGTCTCAAGTATTACGGTAATTCATAAACTCTCTAGACTTGCTTATCGATAAAGTGCAAAATAAAAAGGGGAATGTCAATGCGGACAATGACTTTATCGGTAATACCTTACCGATAAAGTCATTGTCCGTATTGACATTCCCCTTTGACTGCATTGGCTTGCTATCCGATCGAAATTCTGTTGAATCGGATTGAATCGGATTTAATCTCATAGAGGCTTTTATTGGATCGGATTCAATCCGATGGATGTGGTCATCGGATCGGATCATCATCCGAGGCAATTCGATCCGATGTACCGGATTCGATCCATCGGATGGCAAGTCTAGTAAGTTGACATCAAACAATTACTTTTCACATAGCAAACTACACGCAAACTCCCAAGTACCCATTGAATTTCTACTACTTAACCTAGACCAAAACTGGACTAAAGCTGGTTGCCAAACTTTAAAACTGACCAAATGCTTTCTAAACCTTAATCTTACTTTTCATTTAATCATTACAAACTCGTCAATTGCATAGTCATGACTTGATCCCAGTGCTCCATATAATTTGCAATGTTTCTTTTTCATTTTAGCATAAACACACTCCACTTGGCACACGATTCCTTACTAATCAGTGTGCTAGGTGACTTGTGTTTACCCAAATATCGAAATTTTCTAAAACCCAATGTGCCTCTCAGTGTTGCGTGCTCATTTTATAGAAATTTTGTAAATGACAATCTATTGACATATTTTATATTTCCTCTTGTACCTCCTCATCTTTTCCAAAGTTGTCCCTCCTTTTCTCTTGATTCATTCAGCTGTCAAATGATCTCATTTTTGTGTCTCGCTTGAATAAAATATTTTGCTTTAGAAACAAAAACGCTAACGAAAATAAAGAGTGGGAGATTATCCTCTTCCTCCCTTCTTCGGCCTTCTTTCTCATACAAGAAGGCGCTTCTAGCACAGTGGGTGGAGCATTTGGCTTGAAGCAGAAAGTCCCTTCTGCTTCAATTCCTCTCGGATTCAAGGATTCGAGGGTTCAATTCCTCTCGGATTTCGTTTTTTTGTCAAATTGTTTTGAAAATGAAAGTTTAGAGAGGCAAGGAGAGGAAGAGGAAGAGGAGAAGAGGAAGAGGAGAAGAGGAAGAGGAGAGGAGAAGAGGAAGAGGAGAAGAGGAAGAGAGGAGAAGAGGAAGAGGAGAAGAGGAAGAGGAGAAGAGAAGAGGAGGAGAGGAAGAGGAGAAGAGGAAGAGGTGAAGGGAAGAGGAGAAGAGGAAGAGGAGAAGAGGAAGAGGAGAAGGGAAGAGGAAGAGGCTCTTCAACAAATTTTGGCTCACAATTGAACTATTCACTGTTTTTTGTTAAAGGTAAAAGCAAAATGAAAGATAAACAGTAATGTTTTGTTTCCAAAAGTTTCCTTTTAAAAATAAGGTGGGAATTTGCATTCAACATACACATAAAGCTGCGGCATTACTCTAATTTCTCATTTCTTTTTCTAATCTCCTTTCAGGTTGGTTGATCTTTCAAGTTTTTACTATTAGTCATTTTAAATCCACAATCATCCATCATTATCTTTTTCAGTAAATCAAATGGATACAGTTCAAACTCGCACAGGAATGATGGCGGTGAAAGACGGTGAGATTTTGAAATAGTAACTTCTCTGCCCGGAAAAAATTCGATTAGTTGCCGTCGGATTCGACTTTTACACGTCTCCCCTTTTAGTTAAACCACGAAAGAGTGAATCGAAGACCCGAAAACGCGCAAAGACAAATCCAAGAAAGATGATTAAAGATGTAAGTGTTTTAGATTTGAAAAGTCATTGCTACTCACTTACCTGGCTCATTTTAGTTAAAAGAAAACGATCCCAACAAGCAATCGTCCGCTGCCGGTATTCAAAATCTCTTTCAAGAGTGGGTTTCTTTAAATTTCTAAACTTTTTTCATTTTAGCCACCTCAAATTCTTTTGCCCAGTTTTTTTCGCCTTCACAAAACCGGAAAATCAAGAACGTCATAGAAGTCAAGGTCGGGTTTTCCTTTTTTTAACATTTCTTCGGTCTTCTAACATTTTTAGTGTTTCTAAACAACTTGCCAAGTCAACTCTGTTGTTTTAGAAGTGTTTCTTCTCGATTCGTCTCGTGTGCAACTTCGGGAATGGCCACATGATTACATTCACGCGAGTTGGGTGGATGGATTCGAGAAGAAACGTGAGATCTTAAAAAAGTTGAAAATCTACAGCAATCAGAGTATAGTAATCAGTAGCTTTTTGCATCTAATTGTACTTTAAGCACTTTTCAATAAGCTGTTCTATTTTAGGTCAATACATCGCAAGCGCCACTCCCCATAACGCTTCAATGGTTGCCGCGTTCTGGCGAATGTGTGTTCAAGAAAAGATTGAGGTGATCGCCCTGTTGATGAAGCCCGATGATGAGGATGCAACGTATCAAAACTTGTTAAACAAATTTATTTTCTTAAGGTTATTAACTACAACGACGAAAGCCGGCGACTACAACGTGGAAATCGAGACGAAAGCCGAGAAATCGTTTGATGTGCTCAGTGTGTCGATTAGTGGAAAAGCCAAGCACAGTCTCAAGGTAAGCTTCCTTTGTTAGATAATAAACCCCAAACCGTATTTTACTTAATAGTATGACATGCCCAGAGGAGCGTCGCGTAGTTGTTTAGTTGTTTTTCCCGCACTAAATCATTTTTAGACCTCTAGACCGATTTTGTTCAGGTTTTTTCCAAAAAATCGCTGCCTCATCTCTCTATTTTCTCTAAAAACAACTAAACAACTAAGCGACACTCCTCTGGGCATGTCATACTATTAGGAAAAATACGATACTTGCTATTTTTCAGATTCTTGCTCTCAACGGATGGACTGTAGATGAAAAGCCTCCACTTGATGTCTTTGAAAAACTCCGAGAAGCGGTAGCTGTCTTTTTTTACTTCTAGATGTCCAACTTACTTTTAGATTGTGGAAAATAACCCATCAGAGGGTCCATTCATCATCTCTTGCAAACATGGCATCTTTCGGACAGGTACCATTTAAATCAGATATAACTTTATGCTTTTAGGCCTTTTTCTTCTCTATGACATTGAATATAAAGAACTTGCCAAGAAAAATACGATTCGAATCTATGATGTTATTCAGGATTTGCGGTTAGTTGCAAATTGTGTCTCATATTTAAAGCTTTAGACTTCAACGAGTGCAATTTTTCGAGTCAAGGAAGTGCTTCGATTTGATCTATGACGTCAGTGTGGAGGCTTGCAAGAAGTTTATCGATGCTTAATGACCGAGTTTTGTGCTTTAGATAATAAAGAGTTTTACATGACCACAAGTAAAAAGCCTTAGGCTTAGGCTTAGTAAAAAGTTGCATTAGACGGACAGACACTGCTCTTTTATATATAGTAAATTTCCTTTTCTAAATGCACAAAAAATAAAAGAACACCAGAAAAAGCTTTGCGAAATGAAATGTTGGGTAGATTTTTGCTTGAATTCCCTCTAAAGAGTACATGGATTATGCATGCATTAACTAGCATTAACCTATACATTAACTGAGTAATTTGGCGCCTCTTTGTGTTTTTAACCATTCATGTGTTTTATCAAAATGACATTTCTTTATTGGTTTACAGAAAAATATAGAAAATTGGACAAATTTTCACAACACAAAATGACCTGAGAATTCACGGCTAGAAACATTTTTTTTTGATAAGGGGTGCTAAATGAAATCTCTCGGATGAAATGGACAATTCGGAATTGTACAAACAAAAGAGGGACTTGGTGATTTTTGAATGGTTTTCCTGACATCTAGTAGACCTGAGTTTTTGTATCGATTCATAAGGGAGGCGAGATCCATTGAAGATAGCCGTGTCTGAAATCATGAATGCAAACTTTTGAGCCACTTCACTTTGTGCTCATTGGCATTGGCAATTCCACTTTGACCTCAAATATCTTGGTGTTGAGTTGTTCAATTTAAATAGTTTTTGTATCAATCGACAGAGAAAAATTTGGCGTATCCAATGATACCAAGAACATATAAATTGGATTGCACAAAACCAAGATATTTCAGCTCAAAGTTAGACTGCCAAGGGAAAAAGGGGCGGACGTGTATCGAATATCCGATAACCCCGGCAATACACTCACATCATCCAAACTCGGCTCCCTTAAGCTCACAAAAAAGAATTGCTGCTCGATGTGTAGGGTGATGGGGTAAGAATGGCGCGAGCTGATCGCAATCGAGCATCCAATTCAGCGATCAACCTCTGTACCTCGGACGGTTGTTGAACGTGTGGCTAAAAGTGGTATTTTCGAGATTGGCATAGTAGACAAGTGTAAAGTTTTTTTAAACCTTAAACTTGAACCTAAACTGATACCTGGCTGGAGTGAAATGTCGGAGGAACGATCAAACCACGCGGTGCTCCACGTGGCGCCTGAGAACATTATTTGTAAAAAATCTACTCTAACACAAACCTTTCCAGTCTCAACGAAGGTCCATCTTCGATTTGGATCAAAATTTGGCGGAAAAATAACACCACCTGGGCCAACCGAGCTCCCAGGCATTGGCTCAGAAAGTACAGAGTTCGAAATTGATCGAGAGATCGCCGAAAGCTCATTGCTACTACCATTACTACTTCTAGGAATGATTATTTTTTAGAATAAACTTTTCACAAACGCGGGCAAAGGAGAACCCTCTCGTGAGGGCGTTGGTTGAAGGGAGGTGAGGACTGAAAGCACTTCGGGTTGAGCACGAGCAGGAGAACGAGATAAACGAGACCAGCTGAAAGATATCGATGTTTTCACAAGTAAACTTGATAAAGTTATCGCTTTCAACTTACGGTGGAGGAGAGGGTCTTCTCGGAGTTGGTGGAGAGCTAAGACTAGATGTTTCTGTATACGGCTCTTCGAAGACCGGAGCCAAATACCATGGGATATCCGTTTGAGTGGCTTTGTGCTTCTGAAAAAAAGAGTGGGTAACTAAAGATGCTTTACAAGATCTCTAGATGTTTTACAAGTTGGTTGAGTTATTTACAGAACAAAGTCTTACTTGTCTCAATCGATGACTGATCTGCTCAATGATCACTTGTCGCTCTCGTCTCCTCATGAAAGGAAATACCTAAATTGCAATTTCAAAGGATAATCTCCATCTTCCTTTTCAAACCCTCGCCAAATTCTCTCCCGCTTTACTGGCCGCATCTCTTGCTGCTGTGGCTGCATTTGTTGCCTTCGATAGATCAAATTTAGCTCTCCCCCTTCCTTCTTTTTCCTCTTTTTGCATTCTCTCTTTTCTTCTTCTCCACACTCGCCACATATCCATCATACCTAATTATAATATACTAAATATACAAATATTAGGCTGTCCAGAAAGTGGCTATCAAAGCTAGAGTGAAAACTGACTAATCCTCTCTCCTCTGAGCGGCCTCGCTTCCGGATCGGCACTATATTCTTCCATTAACATCAAAAGAATCTCTTCAAAGAGTTTCTCCAATTTCAATTGTATCACATTAATGCACATTGACACCAGTGAAAGGCCAATCAAAATGAAGACAAAGATTGTGAACATATCCTCGGATTTTGTCGGTGTCACATCACCTGTTCAACTGTTGTTTTCAAAAAAGTACCCTTATTTACCGTATCCAATCGTTGTTAGAGAACAAAAGAAGAAGTAGAAACTCTTGAAATAATCCCAATCTTCTTCAAAATAAAGGAAAATCCCGGCACAGAAGAACATGTAACCGAAAGCGACACCTGAATAACTTTTAGAATAGTTGCAAGACAAGTATTTGACTTACCAAGTACAACTTTTATCTAAAAAACTAGTCCAACTCACCAATCGCCAATATCAATGGCATTTCTGTAATCCGATCTTGATCACTATTCTTTTGACGGAACGAGTATCCCGTGCAAAAGATGAAATCAAAAGCTCTAAAACGGGGATTTTGCTAAACACACGCAAATTCTTTACCTCAAACAGTAATCCCAAAACTTGTCCAAACAATTCAAACAAATTCTTCCCAATTTGTGGAGAATCTAAAACAAATAAGCCTTAAAGGTCACGAAATACAAACCATGAGCATCAACGGGATCCCAATCACCGCATAAACCATTGCCGCCAATCGACCCAAACGGGTTTTCGCTGTGATATTACCATAGCCGATCGTCGTGTATGTCGTGACTAGAGTCATTAAATAATTAAAAATAAAACAAATTTTGGGAGTGGGACAAATGCGACCTTTTTTTGCGCACCCGGACATTTGCGCACCTTTTTTTCCGCACCTTGCCCATTAGCGCACATTTTTTCACGTTTTAAAAAAGCTCTAAAAAGCTAATATTAACCAATTTCTATTCCAAAAGTGGTTTTTCTAGGTAATTTTAGGGCGTAGAATCGAAATTTTGACATATCAGAGCTTGTGGAAGCGAACGGACGGAGTTATACAAAGAGAAAAATCAACAATTTTTTGTAATTTGACCTAGCCGTTTTGTCTTTCAAATTGGTTCCACAAGCTCTGATATGTCAAAATTTCGATTCTACGCCCTAAAATTACCTAGAAAAACCACATTTGGTTGCGCACCTGGAAATTTGCAGCTACTTAGAGCTTCAAAAAGTTTTCAAGGGAAGCGTAGATTCCGAATTTCGACAAACCAGGTTTCGCTGACAATGGGCAAATTTGGGGCTAAAGGCAAAAACACGCCCCCCCAAAAAAGGTGCGCAAATGTCAGCGAAAAAGGTCGAGCGGCAAAAAAAGGTCGCATTTGTCCCACTCCCCAAATTTTAAATCAATTAAGTCAATTAAGCAAGATTTTTGTTAAATAATGCCTCAGTTAAACAAATTGGTGCATAGGCAATTAATAGGCTGAATATCTTTTCCGTCCGAATTGCACTATATAGTGACCGAGTCAACGTTTTTTTACTTTTTCTTTTTCATTAACGTTTTCCAAGTTTTTCTGAACGCTTCTTACTATTATTTCGTTTTCTTTATGCTTCTTTCTTTTTTACTCTTTCTTTTCAATTCAATAATTTCCATTTTAGATTAACTTCTGCTCCAAAAAACAGCTGAGATTTAAACTCTGATAATTTTATTATAAAGAAGATTCCCCTACGTCATTATACTAATTTTAAATAGCTTTTCTGCGAATTTTCTCGAATCTAAATCTAAATCCGAAAAATATTTAGCAAGAATGTTAGAAAAGATGCGGATTCTTGCACTAATGAGAAAAAACACCTGTAAAAGATGAAAGTTTAAATCTTCATTAAGAAATTTGCATAACTACGATAGCCTTTTTGAAGCGCACACGTTAGAAAGCGCATTAATCACGGGGAACACACTCTAGTCGTGACTAAATGTGGTGGATTAGGTTGATTCTTTCAGTAACTTTTCAAGTGTCACCTACCAGCCAAGAACATAGCATTCCAAAAGGTCCACACCGGTGAGAGAACGTGCTGAAGGCCGGTCAACACTTCGAATCTGAAGGTTTAACTAAGATTTCTTTGGTTTTATCTGTTCATAAGGCTGTTTATTGCTTGCTTGCTTGCATTGCTTGTTCATAAGTCTATTATTCTGATTCTCTAATATATTCTCTTTCTATCTCTATTATCTCTAAATCTTTCTCACTGAATGACCTCATCTCCATTCTCTTTTCCACCCACTCTTTGGCGTCTTTTCGATATGAATTCTTGAATTCTAATGTGGGCACTTTGTGGGCAAAAGATTGATTCATTTTCAGCAAATAAAGAGAAAGAGTTCTGATAAAAGTGGGCCATTCAGTCAAAACTATTCATTACGTTTGCTATAGTAACTTTTAGCGCACCAAAATCTCACTCAATGCGCCAGCTCACTCTCGTTTCTCTCATTTTTGTTTCCTTGTTGTCTTCCCCTTCCTCATTCATTTTTCCTAGTAAAACCTGACATTTAATGGGGATTTTTTTGATCAAGGGAGTGTTTCCCCCTCTTCAAAACCATAAATTCTTCTCCTTTTCTACAGTGATCAATGGACGATCGAACTGGAAAATGATATCATTCTAAATAAGAAAAAAAGAAACGAAAAGTGATGGGTTCTTTCTTTTTCCTGTTCATTTTATTACTCATTTGTGGAAATTTTTCCAGAGAGTCTTGATTTTGTCTTATTTTGAATGATTTTTTTGTAAATACATCTTACTGTACTCGTTTATAGTACAATAACAGTTAGAGATCAAAATGTTACCTTGAACTACTTGAACTTTCTATCAATAAGTCGCTAAAAACATTGATAGAAAGGTGTAAAATATGGACTTTTGAAAGAGAGTGAGAGTTATTTATTAAGTTAAGCTTATTTTAACTTTAGCTTTAAGCTACGCTGCACTCGGAAACCTTTGTGTGGCGTTGTTCACGAAATTCTTCAATTTCTCATCCACATTCTCTTGTGTCGCATTCAGAAATGACTCTTCACCCAACTCCCAGCATCGCTTCGCTAACTAAAATAGAATTTTCTTTTACAAAGCTATCTTTACAAAGCTTACAAAGCATTTTATTCTTTCAACAACCCTCTCTTTGTCATTCTCATTTCTTTGTCATTGTTTAGACTCGTGTAGAAATTGTGGGCAAAAGATCGTGACATCAGCTTTATGTTTATGAAAAGGAAAATGCCCCATGATACGAATCTTAGTTTCTTTTTGAGAGAGTTTTTTGAAAATTCATCTCATTCCCAAGTCAGACGAAAACGCAGCTGGGAATCTTTTGAAAAAGTTTAACATCAAAAAACTTCTTCAGGACCAAGCTGCCAAAATTTAGCTTTGCTCCTTCCTTTTCTTTAGCTTCTCTTCTTTATTCTTTAGCAAAATTCTTTAAAATTTTACAATTTCTACAAATTCTTCTCGGAAATCCGGATCTTTTGCCTAAATACGGGTCTTTTCATTGTGAAAAGCTATTACCGTATTTCTTCGAATAGAAGACCGGGTAAAGAGTATCATCGCGTACTCCTGCGTAGCAGCCCTTTTTAAAATTTCTTTTCTGCATAAAAGCTTTCAATCAAGTGCTATAGAGCTGGAAAATGGCTCAAAAATCTGTTAGCTCATGTGGTATTTTTGAGCGATTTTCCAGCCCTATAGCACTTCATTGAAAGCTTTTATGCAGAAAAGAAATTGTAAAAAGGGCTGCTACGCAGGAGTACGCGATGATACTCTTTACCCGGTCTTCTATTCGAAGAAATACGGTATATACAAAACCCAAAGCCAAGTCGATTCTCTTGGAGCTTTTCTTGGAAAAAAAGGGTTAAAATCCATTCTTGAAAACCCGGGGGCACAAATCTTTAACATTAAATCTTATTTGGGAATCATTTACAGAACAAAAGTCGCTGTGCTAAGTGACAGTGAGGTGTTCTTCGTACGGCCGCGTCATCGCCCGTCGTCTGGCTAACGGCTTCCCCATATAGTCCGGGAAAGTCTTGGAAATGTAACTACGGGTTGGAAGTGTCCCAATACAAACCTCAGATGAAAGAAAAACTTTTGGAGAACTTTTTCGATACCTTGGAACGAGAATACAGATGTGAAAAGGAATTCAATTGGCTTTGGGCTTTGTACATGATAGCTTTTGGCAACGAAAAGACCTACCGTAAATACTGTAATAGTACCCCACCCCCATAATGACGGTGCGGAGTGTTGTGTAGTCTAGCTTTGGATGCGTTTTTCTCGACACTGGTTTATGCTACAATGCTCGTTTAGGTATCAAAAAATAGCTGAGATTCAGGGCTATTTTTTGATACCAAAGACGCATTTTTTGAAAGTACGGGCGTTTTGAAAAAAATGAAATACTAAAAAGCTTTTGCGACTACGCGACTGTACGAGGGGGTTGGGGTACTATTACAGTATTTACGGTATATTTTATTAAAAGACTCGGATTTCCGAAAAGAACCCTACATTCTCTTCCATTTCTATCTCAAAACTTGCAGCCCTCCACTGCAAATCACCCAATCCACTGCCATTCCACTAATCTTGGCCCTCCTCTCCAACTTGATCTCTGCGTCATCAATCGGTCATTTCTTTGCAAGAACTCATCTCCAATCCCCCATTCCCTTTTTCCTTTCCTTTTTCATTCTTCCGGTCATTCAATCTTCGTTCTCCACTTGTTACTAAATTCTCCTCCTCTTGACAAGACGAAGATTGATGATCGCTTATGATTCACTCAAAAAAACTAAAGCTGATCACAGATCGGAATTTCCGGTTTAAAACCCCAACTCTTGACCTCTTTCGTCTTGAATTCTCTTATTATTCTATAAAATCATTTTTCATTTCCAAAACCCAATAAACAATTCAAGATCTTAAATCTCCTGCCCACTTTTTATAAACCAATCAATCATCTTTCAATGACTGATTTTGGAAAAAAAATTTTCGCTGGTTTTCGCTGGCTCAAATGATGAGTGAATTGAAGAAGGGATCAATTGAATGAATGACCTTGTTGAGATCAAAAAAGAAAGATGAGAAATTTTTGAAAGATAATCTCTTTTAAAGGTTTTTTTGTTTCTTATAGTGGTTTTAAATGGATGAGCTGTTAGTTTTAAAGCTGTTCTGAAAGCTGTTCTTAAAGCTGTTCTGAAAGCTGTTCTTAAAGCTGTTCTTAAAGCTGTTCTGAAAGCTGTTCTTAAAGCTGTTCATTTCATTTTCCCCATTTCATTTCCTTTCTCACATGATATTTTTAAAAATCTTTGCAATCACGAGGGAAATCTCAAAAAATCAAAGCTTCTTTTCCTTTTCCATCATTTTTCTTAAATTTCAATCATCGACTTTTAAATGATTCATTTTGTCGTTTCTTTTTTGGTTTCTTTTTGTTTTGTTTTGTTTCTTTTTCTATGATTCCCGAAAAAACAATGAAAACAAATGTCTTTCTGGTTGTACAATTGAATGATTAAAATGAGAATTGCTAGTTTTTAAAATCAAAATCAAGTTACCCAATTCTTTTCCCTCCACTCCCTCCACTGACCTGTTCTGTATAATTTCTCAAAGCGTGTATCCTTCCATAATTATTCGAGAAATATTCCTTCCAAAGTGTCTCGGGATTTCTCGGTCTTAATGCCAATGCCTTGTGTGCTTCGTGTTCAGTCAAATAATACATACTCAATGTGTACCAATAAACATTCTAAATTTTCTTTAAATCCAAAATTTCTCTTCTAAATTTGCTTTAAATCCAAAATCTCTTTCTATCCACCGTTCTCAATCGATTCATCGCCCAATGTCGATAGCTCCTTTTGTGAATGTTGTACTTCCGAGTGTTGTACCTTAAAATAGAAATTTGCAATATCTTCTTGATATCTTCTTGATATCTTCTTGATTGATAGCTTTCCCTTACCCATAAGAAGCATTGAGTACAGCTAGATGTTCTCTGATATGAGTGACGATTGAGAAAAGTTCATCTTTCTCTCTTTCAATGAAGTTACTCTAAACTTTGTCTCTATTTTTAACTTAATTCTTACTTATCACTTTTTTCCCCACCTTTTCTTGAATAAGAATCACTTCATTTGGGTGTTCGATTGTGTAGAAAATGTATCCACCAAGAACAGAGTATCCAGTCAAAAGAATGATTGGAACCAAGTAGTGAAGGCGGGATTTCTCGTAAATCCACTGAATAAACATTAGAATAAATGTCAGCTTATGAAAATCTTTCACCTGTAGATATAAAGTGAATATCCCAAGTTTTGAGGGTTTCGGCGTTCGATTTCCACTTCCATTTGTTGAGGTGATGCCCCGGAGGAAAGCTGACTGCCAAGTGGATTCATTTAGGAGAACGTGATGCAGCTAGGTAAAAACTAATCATTCGCTTGTGCACTCAGAAATTCTGTTTTAAAATCTAACTTAGACTTCAACTCGTGTTCTAGGTTAGACTAAAATTTGATCAAAAAGTATTAGATTTTGTCATTTACCAAAGAAAAGTTCAAATAAATACAATTTTCCCCTTTTAGAACAACATTTATTTGTTCTTGTTTTATAAATTCTTTGAGATTGTTTCCTTATCCTTGATGTTTCCTTATCCTTAATGTTTCCTTATCCTTATCCTGAGTCCGAGACAGACCTGGATCAAACCAGGACCTGAGCCTGAGCCCGAGACAGACCTGGATCAAACCAGGACCTGAGCCTGAGCCCGAGACAGACCTGGATCAAACCAGGACCTGAGCCTGAGCCCGAGACAGACCTGGATCAAACTAGGACCTGAGCCTGAGCCCGTATGCTATGCTTCGGGAAAGTTTCCGCCGGAAAGTGATTTGCTATCCCTATCTCTCTAAATTTGGTTCCTTATCTCTCTAATTTGGTTCCTTATCTCGAAATCTTGAATTAATCTACCTGAAAAGAATTCTCGGATATCGATGATCTTCTGCTTCGATCTCGATCTCTCAAATAGGCGATCGAGGCTGCATTCATCTTTCAAATTAAGTAATCATAGTGCTCTTTTTCTTGTAAAGTGAAGATGTTCAATCAAAGTGAAGATGTTCAATGTAGTATTCAAGGATTAAAATGTCTATAAAATTTTCTTCTGAATGGATGCCAGATCTGCTCCTCCTTGCTAACCAAATTACTTCCAAAAGCTCGCTTATTGAGAGCGGTTGGGTCGACAAATCCTTGGATCTTTTGTTTAGAGCAGATGGGTTTTCATATAGCTCAATAGAAAAAGGGAATTTGGAAAAATATTATAATATTCAAAGACAAAACAACTTTGTTTCTGTACAATTCACTGTGAAATGGAAAAGGATCAGAAGAGTTGGACTAGTTTATGGTTTTTAGGTCATAGAAATTCTCTATATCGCACTCAGGATCCCTCTACAAGCTAATAATGAGTTCAATAGTATAGTACGGAGTAGTACAGTACAATAGTACAGAGTAGTACAGTACAAGCGTACAGGAAACTATTCATACCTGGAAAACGTTCCGTACTTTTTGCTTTCTTTTGCTTTTGTAATCGTCAACTTTCTGACACACTTGTCTTTAAATGTTGATGAAACTGGCATTCTCCATAATTTTTCCGAACTCTCATTCACTTTTATTACCTTCATACTTCCTCGATTTTCAAAAGTTCCTCTATTTTAAGTAGAATATTTGTTCAAGAGTTATTTTCAGCTCTCTCATCTCATCACTTCTTCACTCACTCATTGCCACTTCACATCATCATTTGATCAACGAGACACCCCACGTGATGCTCTGTAAATACTGTAAAAAGCTTCAAAAGTAAGTGAGAATAAATGGGAAAATAGGACAGGAATCTTTCAAAGACAGGAATCTTTCAAAGACAGGAATCTTTCTTTTTTATTTTACATCATTTTCTGTAATCATATAGATTCTTGAGAGCATTAACAATTACAATTACATTTTTTTTGATTACCCAATTGGACATCTGCCACACCTATATTGATTAAGGAATTCTTTGATAAAGAGCCACTTTAAAAGTTTTGACTCAAAATTTAGCCACTTAGCTTAGCCACTTAGCTTGCTTAGCCACTTAGCTTGCTTAGCCACTTAGCTTGCTTAGCCACTTAGCTTGCTTAGCCACTTAGCTTGAGCCACTTGCTTGCTAGCCACTTGCTTGAGCCTTGCGTAGCCACTTAGCTGGCGCCACTTAGCTTGCTTAGCCACTGGCTTGCTAGCCCTTAGCTTGTTAGCCACTTAGCTTGTAGCCACTTGCTTGTAGCCACTTGCTTGTTAGCCACTTAGCGTAGCCACTTGCTTAGCCACTTAGCCACTTAGCTTAGCCACTTAGCTTAGCCACTTAGCTATCATCTTTGAAATGCAAAACTTTTGTGCCTTTCAATTTCGAAAGAATTTCCTCCCCGTCACTCATTCATTTAGCAACATTTCCCTAGCGGCGCTTTTGTTGACTCATCGATATTGTTTCGTTACAAAAACCCCCTCTAGACCCAATGCACATCATTCGAAAGAGGGTTTGTGTTCTCCTCGACATCCAAATATAGCCTCAATCATTGCAATCTCTTTTTTTCTTTTCTCTGTCTGTCTGTGCATGTATCTGTCACTTTTTCCCCGAAACGAGCAATCCTTGAAGGGGGAATGGAGGGGAGGAAGGGATGGCCGTCGCCTCGTACAGAGAACGCGCGCGTCGCGTGTCCCCGGGGGTGTTGCGCGTCGCGGTCCTACGCACTGAAACCCCCCTTTTCCCCTATTTCAAAGCCGCTTCCCCCCTCGATCTCATTGTGTCTCTTTTGCCCTCTTTTTACAGCTTTTCCCTATCTCTCCATTTTCTTTATTTAATCCCATTCTATCATCGCTTTCTCTATCTCTACTCTCCCAATCTCCTTTTATCAACACTACTCTTTTCCCTTTCCCGTTTACAGCTTTTTCCTTAACTCTATCCGTTCTCATTCTCCATTTCCCCTTTTCTACAGCTCCATCCTTCCCCTATCACTCCCCATTTCTCATTCCACCCTTCTTCTCCTTTTCCATCCCGATTTCCCCTTCTCTACCCTCTCTTTTCATCATTGCGCTCTCTCATTGCCCGCCGGGCCCTCTTTTCCTTCATAGAGAATGTTAGAAACGCTTGAAAGGCCAATCTCTTCTTTTCTTCTTTTCCCTTTCTCTTTCCTGCTCCTTTCTTTCTATTCTTTGCAAAAGCGTTAGCGAATTTTTTAATGTCTCTGGCCAAGTTTGCCGTTTTCTTCGACACTATGTCATCAAGGGTTTTAGGAATTTTCCTCTTTGAGTCATTCTTTTTGTTATCAACTTTTTTTCAAGATTCAGCTAGGCACAAGACTGCCCAGGATTAGCTCTTTACCTGTTTTTCTGGCCTTTTTAATATTTCAACAGCCTCCTCCCCCTTTAGCATAATATTTCGTTAGACACAAACAAATTTTCGTCATTTCATTTCATATCATATTTTGTTTTTCTTTCAGAAGTCTCGTTCACAGACTTTTATTAAGAAAAAGAAAATGACGTTCATCGATGGATTCAGGTTTTGACATTTTAACATTAAATTTACAGGATTTTGAGGAGAATTTGAAAGTTTTTAATCAAAAAAATCCCCGATTTCCTGTAACTTTAAGTTTTTTTCTAAATTATGCTAGGCTTCTCTAGAAATTGTTATAATTTTTATGTTTTATATAAATTGGAATTATTCTTCTTATTTCAGAATGCCGTTGCCCATTTTCGGCAAATCCCACAAGTCGCCGGCTGATGTGGTGAAAAATCTGAAAGAAGCACTAGTTCAAATCGAGAAAGGCGACAAGAAAAGTGACAAGGCGATAGAAGAGGTAAAGATTTTTGCGGGCAAAACGTCTAATGAGCACTTTGAAAATCGTTAGTGCCATTCAGTGAGCTTTCCCCTGATTCAATGATCAAAAAATTGAGAAATTAGCAGCTCAATGTGGTCATTTTTATCAGAAAAGGCTCATTAGATTTGTCTTTGTAAATATTTGAGTGGCTTTAAGTCAATAAAAGCGCTGATTTAAAAGCTTTTACTGCTAAATTTGTTACTTTTAGGTAAACAAATGGCTACAGACAGTAAAGGGGATCATTTATGGACAAGAAGGACAAGAACCGAACTCGGAACAAGTAAGATTTAAATATTATTAAATGTTTTGAGGTATTACAGTGTTAATCTATTTTCTTCAGGTGGCTCAACTCGCCCAAGAAACTTACAACGCAAATGTGCTCCCGATGCTCATCAAAAATCTCGCAAAATTGGAGTTCGAGAGCAAAAAAGTAAGGCTGTTTAGGTTAATTGTTCTTTTAAGGCTAAAGGCTTTTAAGGCTTTTTAAGTGTTCTATGTTTTAGTTTAAAAGATAGAAGAAATTTGTGCTGATCAAATTTATAAAATTTTATGATTCAGGATGTGGCCCAAATCTTCAACAACTTGTTACGTCGACAAATCGGTACACGATCGCCCACCGTTGAATATTTGTGTGCAAGACCCGAGATTCTGATCACACTAGTCAAGGGGTTTGTTTTTACAAAGCTGACGTTAACTTAACTTTTACGTGTTTAACTTACGTTTCCTAATCTAGTCTTATTTTATCTTTATCATTCGTAAATTAATGGTTTTGTTTAGATACGAAATGCCGGAAATCGCAGTGACATGTGGCTCAATGTTACGGGAATGCATACGACACGATCATCTAGCCAAAGTTCGTTTTTAGATTTTATCAGCTCTTTTTAAACCGCCTAATACACCTAAAAACATTCTAATCATCTTCAGGTTTTGTTACATCACGAATCTTTCTACCATTTCTTCACATATGTCGAAGTGTCGTCATTTGATATAGCGTCGGATGCGTTTTCCACTTTCAAAGTAAGAATTTGATTCTTTTCATTCTATGATCTAATTTAGGATTTGATAACAAAACACAAGACGATATGCGCCGAGTTCTTGGACACGAATTACGACAAATTCTTCGGCGAGTACCAGAAATTGCTCAACTCAGAAAATTATGTAACAAGGAGACAATCGTTAAAGGTTTGTACATTTGTGATTTGTGTGTTAGATTAAATCAATCACATTTGTGTGTTAGATTAAATCAATCTGTTATAGCAAAAGCTGGTACAAATGTTGCCAAGTGCTAATACAGTGTGTGAAAAATAATTATCGTATATCTTCACTTTAGTTACTTGGTGAACTGTTGTTGGATCGGCACAATTTCAACGTGATGACTCGATATATTTCAAACCCGGACAATCTGAAGCTGATGATGAACCTCTTAAGGGAAAAGTCAAAAAGCATCCAATTCGAGGCCTTCCATGTGTTCAAGGTTATTTTGTGTTATTTAAAGCTTAAACTCTAGAATAATTTAATGTTAACGTTTTTTGTTGCAGCTTTTCCCAATCCATTGTTCCATTCAAAAAAGTGAAGCTTCGAGGGTTGACGCTAAGGTACTATTTTTAAGCTCTAGCTTGATTTGGAATTATTTTTGAATTTGACAAATGACAAATTTATGCACGAAGCAAACTTTGATCTAATAATCATGATCTTTTACATGGGAATTGGGTATTGCTGATCTCGCTTTTTGTGATTTAACTTCAAAACCTCCAAAATTCCACTCTATTCTTGGCAATACCTGATCCAATATTATTTTATATATTTTCAAAACTTCCTTTTAGGTTTTTGTCGCCAATCCGAACAAGCCTCGCCCAATTGCCGACATTTTGCTTCGAAATCGAGAACGACTGGTGGACTTCCTCTCAAATTTCCACAACGATCGCACCGAGGACGAGCAGTTCAACGATGAGAAAGCCTATCTGATCAAACAGATTCAGGAAATGAGGGCTTAAAGAAAGGTGGACAGTTTTTAAAGGTACTTATGCGGTTTAGTTCCTCAAAACTGAACATTTACTGATTTTAATGGATATTGAGTAAAATGGAATGGAAATTGTTATCTTGATAGTTTTTTGGACTAAACACCATAAGTATCGCTTTAAATGGGTAAACACGGTTGGAATTTTCTTTTGAGAATTTTGTGAGCAAAAATGATTCATTCACCTTGTTTCCCCACATTCTTTTGAGTACAATCGGGTTTCATCACCCATTCATACACGATTCGTTTCGGCTACTCATCACTATTAACTATTGTTCTTCAATTTTGGGTATCACTACTTGTCTCTGATCAATCAAACTTATCCATTAGTGACTTTTAACGACTGTGTGAAATTTTTATTAGTCTTTTGATCTTTTAACTTTATCGAAATCAAAAAATCGTCCCGAAATTTTGAAATCTTTGTAATCTCTACTGGTTAAATGACGTTCAGTGCTCTTAGCAAATACCCGTTTGCCTTTTTAATTTTGTTTTTATTCGGGAAAGCTGGGTATTTTACAAGATGTTGTTGGTACCGTAATACCTGTACAAAGGTTTTCCCAACTTTCTCCAATTGTTCACTATTTTTATCACGGCTATAACTCACCATTGTTTTTTGATGTTTTGTTAGGGCGATTTTCTCATCGATTGTGTCAAATTTGTCGACGACCCTAGTGTTTTTCAAATAGCTCAACAATTTATTAGGTATGTGCTTCCTTTTAAACAACTAAAAATCTGATCGATCACCAAACGTCTTCTTACATCTTACGGTTAGCCGAGTTTCAATCGATTGTGATGCTCATTATTTTCTTGTTTTACTCTCTCCCCTTTTTTTTGCGCAACAATAGATTTATCAATTCTCTTCGATCATCATCCAGAGCCAGCTACGTTTTTTATGTTTTATATCTATCCGTTCCCGTTTTATCCAAAATTGTACATTTCTTCACGCCACTTTTTATCTTTCCGTGAAACTCACCACTGATTATTTTATGATTGTTATTGATGAATATTTACTGATCGTAGTTTCTGTATGGAATCTAGTGACACCACCACACATTTCAGATTTCAAAAAGGTTCAATCAAACGATTGTTGGCACTGTTTCAAACCTTACCCCATAAACTCATTGATCACGTTGAAATGCAAATCGCATACGCCGAATGTGTGTCGATTTTGAAAAATCATGTCGGGAAAAGAACTTTGACGCATTATATTGTGGGAGAATCGATACTCGAAACGGTTCAATCCTTCTCCACACATAACATGTGATCTCTTTTTCTTTTCCCTCAATCGTCTCTCTATTCCTCTTCCCAACACGGGTCCTTATTTGACATTTCGCCTGTTCTCCACACATTCACATATTTCAAGGGGTTGAAAGTTTTGACTGACTGTGTGGAGAATTAAAGACCGTGCAAGTACTTGAATGAGTAGGAAAAGTGGTGGTCAATATTGAGAAATCATTTTCAAAAACTGCCTAACTGTTAGAATGAAAATCGTCTGTGCAATATTGTTGTTTTACTTGTCGCAGAATGTCTTTGCGAAACCCGGGCAAGTGTGAGTCTTTCAATTTTATGAGCTAATTCAAAAGGTTTGTTTGAATTTCGACAAACCTAGTGGAAAACTGCCGAGTGGCCCCATTCCGCAGGCCTGTTGTACCCTGATGTGTCCACCTCACGATGTCTGCATTTGTTGCTTTTTGGTGAGTCAAGAAAATTACTGATCTGAACCTCTAAAGCTTACTTTAATAATATTCGGCGGAAGCAAAGTTTAATAATTTAATATCTGACGTTGTAACTGCTTTCTATCTACTGGCCCAAATCTAACGAGAGTTGATCTAGGATTACGATTACTGGGATGGCCAAAAGATGGTGAAGTCCAATGGTGTTCCTGAATGGTTATCTAAAAATCAGCCTCGATCTTCCATGGATTTTGATTAATTTCGTAAAAATTTTACAATTTACTCTGCATCACTTCAAAAACAATGTAAGAAAACTTTTGGCATGCCTGAAAACAGAGTTGAAAAGAAAATTGATACTTACTAATCTCTCATAATAATAAAAATATCACATAGGAAAAAATTGCTGGAATTTTGAAGCAAAGAGCTAACCCAAGGATTTTACAGGAAATTTAATGGTAAAATGATACACGTGATTTGAGACAAGATCTGAAGTCAAAAAAAGAGTTGTGCGACGGAAAAATCATTTGTGAGCAATAATTCAACTGAATAACCACCAATTTCAAGAGTAACTTACAAACATTGGTATTTATTGAACTTTTTCGAATCCTTGCGAGAAGCTGCCCGTCGAAGATGGAATCAATCCTTGAAGTTCGAGCTGAGAATCAATCATCTAAATATTTAAAATATGTATGGTAGCATGATGATTTAAATGATGATGACTTAGGTAGCATGATGATTTAAAAATTTAAACTAATAAATTAAAGTCTACCTGCATAAGTTCGGCTGGAGCTGGCACTCGTCCGCTTTCCAATTTTGACCATAGAAGTTCCTAAAATGCACATTTTATTTCAAAAGTATTTTTTGCATGTTTCTAATAAGTTTGATAAACAAACCTTTCCAAGATAAACTTCAAAGGCACCAGATGAGAGCAATGAAGATTCAACCATATTCGAAAGCAAGAAAGCCATCATACACGAGGAAAGCTGAAAAATCTATTTCTTAAAGATTTTATTTCTAACTTACTTTATTGTTGTGAGCCCATTGAAGAATTGTTGGATATCCGAAGCCAAGTCGTTCAAATGGATTCGACCCAGAAATGACTGAAGCGATCAACGCCAGCTTGAAGATACCCAAAAACTAAAAAGGTCAAGGTAATTAGCGATAATTTAAAATAAACTAACCTGTGCGAGATAACTTTTCCATGGTGCGGTTGGGTAGTTTTGACCCTCGACTTGCATATTTGGGTACTTCTCGTGAATGAATTGCGAATATTGATCAAACGCCTGTCGGTAGCCACATGAGACACTAGAATGTTAGGCTTCAATCGTTACATCTGCGAAGTAAAGTTATGCCAAATAGTAAGAGTAAAAAAAGAAAAATGTTAAAATATACCAGAAATCGAAGCGAATAGGTGGCAAATCTTTAGTCGTGATGACCGGTTGTTGTGGTTTGCCGAAATGCGATTGTTCCCTCACTTCAATGTGCTCGTCTTCGGTTCCTTCAGAAAATCCTTTGTCGGCGTCCTAAACAGAACAACTTTAATGCAAATAAATTTAACTATGCCCATCCACCTAGGTAGGTGTGTTATCTGTAAAGTGACTAGTCTAGAATGGGGTTATCACTTTGCGCTCAAAACTAACCTCATCTCCAAATTCTTTCTTGAAATCCTCTTCATCGTGCGCATCCTCGGAGTGCTCTCGTGTGAAGACATCCTTCAACGAAAGAGCGAAGAGCGCAAGAACGAGCATCCATCCCACTTTTGTCATCATTCGGTTCGATCTGAATTTAAAAATTAAAATGAAAGGTACCCGATAAAATTGACACGTAATAGAAGATCAATAGCTTTAAAAACTCAACAACACAAAAACAAACATAAGCTTGGTAGCCCTAAATACCTAGAGATAAAAAAATTAAACATGACTAGCAAAGGAATTCTTTCACATAATTTTCTGTCATTTCCATCGATGAAATCAAAAGATTGAGATTTGATGTATCATAGTCTGGAACCGCAAAATTTTTAACATCAGGCTTGTCCTTTTGACGTCTCTTGATAAGTTCAACAAAATCGGAGAGCTGTTGATGAACCGGTTTCAGCCAATCTATTTCAATAATCTTCATAAGCCCAGGATTGCATTTCATCAACGCTTGTTGCTGCGCCAAACAATAGACTGCCACATAAAATGAGGTCGCTTCGATCATTTCATGGTATCGCAGTGGGAAGAGCAAGCTCCAAATCGATCCCAATTCAGCTTTAAACTCATCACTTCGTAAATCTCGACGATATAAATCGATCATCCATGCTATCACCAACGCTTCTTTGTCTAACTTCAATTCTTGAGTCGATAGTAATGCTATCAATCGTTTCAGAATAAGAACTTTTGGCGAGAAGTCAAAGCTATCCAAGATTTTCGCGAAGTATCTCATTACTTTCACTCTTTTCTCATTAAGTTCAAAGTCTTGACAGATTTTCAGCAAATTTCCAAAGAGCTTCGTGTAAGTTGGGATGAAGCTTGCATCCAAATGATCGAATCCAATGTGATTCGTTAGAGATTGCAGCGCTGAAATTGTGACATCGACCATCAACATCTGTTCGCCGCCTTGAAACACTTCTAAGTATTCACCCAATTCCAAAGCCAAATTTTTCTGAAGGATTCTTTTTGAAAATACTTGCGGAACAACAGTCAATTCCTTTGGTTGAATGGCCATCACATGTTGGAGAACTGGGTGAAATGGACGCCTCTCGGAAAGATGAATCAGTAACGTGGCCATACTTGGTGTAGTTGGCGGCAACGCTCTTACTAATGTCCCAACGATATCAGCAAAATCATATCTTGCACACGTGTAATTGCTGAATGTGAACAGATGGGCACACAAAGCGGCCACTTCATCAATCTGCTCTTCGTTTTGTTCCAAAATTTTCAAAACGTTTTCTTCAATTAGTTGGGGCAAATCTTTCCTCAAATTGTTCTTCATTTCATCGGGTAGTGCATCAAAATCGACAACAAATCCGGCAAGAAGTATTCGGTAGAGATGAATTGAATGATTTGACCGAATCAGTTGTTCTCCAATCGCGACTCTCTCTGTTGGGTACCCGAAGCGAAGCACGGTTTGCATCAACTCCTCGAGATCTTTTCGTTTCTCATGTCCAAAACAACTTCCAATCCGTAGAAGCAAATCCGCAGCGATCAAATCGATTTCATTCTGTTTTCCATCCTCAATTTTCTCTTTCGCTTTGCTGTATTTCTCGGCTTCAATCAAATCGAGTAACTCCAATGAAAAGCTCGACATCAGCCTGAAAATAACAAACATTATTTGCCACGTAAGCATAAAAAACAAGAAAACAAGCAAAACCTTATAAAAGCCGTATCATGATATTTCTCTATTTGAATCGGAAAAAGAATGTATTAGAAAAAAGACAGAGATGAAAGAGGAAAGGGTACGGTAACTGGACCACGAAAAAGAGTTACCAATTTGTAAAATACAAATTCAAAAAATTGGTTGAAGTTTGAACGTTTTTTTGTGAAAGTGTTAGGAAACTTAGAATTTCTAGTTCGAATTTTTGAATCAATCTACTATATATAAAGCAGAAGAGACGTGTGTCCGTCCGTCTGTGCGCAGCCATTGGCAAAAAGGGGCGAGGCTTAGATTGCGTAGAAAACGTGGATCTTCCCAGTGGAAAACACGAAAGTTAGTGAGCGTTCGTGAGCGCTTTCCGCAACAAATAAGATGCAGAGATATTTTGATACCTAAACTAACACTCCAAACAGCTTAAAACACTCAGAACTAGAGTGTGCTCCTTGTTGACAGACAATTTGTCAGACAAATTTGTCTTGACAACTTTTTTATCGGACAATTGATCCGACAAACTTCCGACAACGCGTTTTCTAAAAGGTGCGCTTTTTAAGCAAAGCTATAAAGGCCGCGCGAAAAAATGTGCAAAATTTTCTTAAAATGTAGTAATGGATAGTTTTATTTAAGTTTTATTTAGGTTTTTTAGGGCGTGGAATTTGTTTTTGAATAGTTCTAGTGCAAATGTAGACAATAGGCCTGGAAAAAACGTAAATAATATAATTTTTTAATAGTGTTTCTTAACTTTTTCCGTTTTAAATATGTTTTCTTTAATTTTACATAGCATTTTAAAATTTTTAAGTTTTAGCGAGCTTTTGACATGAGCTGCGACGAAAATCAAGTCTTTCGCGTGGTGTCCGATCTCAAGGAATGCGGAGGACGACCATTTTAAGGTATTTTTTTTGCTCCTCTTTAGACTTTTAAAAACAAATTAAACAAAATTGTTTTAAGGTTTTTGATGTGGACTCTCTTACGCTCGTCGACTTTCAAGAAGACTAGAATAACAAGCAACGGGGCAGCTTTACGAGGACGGTTTTTTTTCTTGTATAGTTTCCGTAATTTTAACAAAATACCGGGGTTAATTTTGCTTTTTTAGTCAAGAAGAAAAGAAATGGAGGAACAACAATGATTTAACAACAAATTAACAAAGATCAACAACTATAACAAGGTAAACTTTCTTTATAATTCCATAGATATAAAATCTTCCTCATCACTAGATTCTCCCTCAGACAGTGATTCAGCCTCCAATGAGCATCCCGCTAGAGCCATTTCCGTTAGGGCTAACTGCTTTTCTTCGTACAAAATAGATGGGGAATTCTTGATGATAATGCTAAATTTTTTTTAAACTCAAACTGCGTAAAGTAAGACCTAGCGAAATTTGTAAGGGCCGTAGCGAGGAACAGCAATCGCCCAGAGTCGGCTGTCAATCTGCTTTTTCGAGAATCGGAGAGGATTCGTGTGACTTTGCTGAAAGCCCGCTCGGCATCGATTGAAGTAATCGGTGTAAGGAGGTACTTTGATGCTATTTTGTAAAGCTATAACCATACGGGGTTTTATATATGTTATAGGTAAGACAAGGGTACCGTAGGGAACTCGAAGCGATTTTTATGCCAAAACTCGTGGATGCTCATTGTAACTAGATGGGGATTGCTTTTCACCATAGCTACATAGGAGTCAATTTCTTGCTAAACAAAGGGGTAACGGGATATCTTTTTAAGAATACCTCTATACCCGATTTTTCTTTAGGCTTGGCAAGTAGAAAGAAATCAAGGGCGGTCTTTTTTGAGCTTTCTGTTGTATCTATCATAGGTCGCGTAGGCCTCGGTACTAAAATACCAAGTTTTATAAATAGGCTCTAACAACCATTATATCTTTGCTTTAGCTCATCAGCACATTTGTTCCATTCAGTTTCGTCTTTAGCCATTGGATTGAATAGTATTTGATGATCGAAGAATGATGCCTCCTATAATAGGTTTTTGTCAAAAATTAGCTAATTTTTTTACGTCTATTATCGAGTTATAACAAAGTCTTTAGCTTGTAGAATAAGCTCAAGAAATTTCGTAGCTAAGGGGCTTGCGTTGTTCTCTAGTTCGATTTCCGCTGATCGCCACAGGCGGTAAGATTGAACAAGGCAGATTTCTTCTTTACAGGCCTTAAAACGAGTAAATTTAGGTATGTCTTTACTTAATTTTCTACCTCTAAGGTGACTCGGTAGGGAACCGCCAAGACTTCGCAGAACTCAATTATTTTTTGTTCCTCGTCCTTGTTAATGATATTTTGGCTTAACTTCACAAGAATCTCGTTGAGAAATTCAAGCTAAGCTTTTTTGTTTAACTATAATTAGAAAGTAGAACAAACATTTTTTAGGCTGTTTTTAAGCATATCAAAAGTGGATCCCCAGCGCGTCACAACATCTAACTGTGGCCTAGTTGAGGTTGGGAATCTTCGTTTAAATTCTTCTTTTAGAACGATGCTTTTGGATAGAGCCGCGACCGCGTTTCTAAGTTTTTCCACCGATTGTGACATGTCTACCTCTTCTTTAAATTTCTTGACTACATTGTGAATGAGGTGAGCAAAGCAATGTATGCTAAAATAAGATAGAGTCACTAATTGCTTTGGCTAATTCAACCGTGGAGTATTCATGTTTATGGCTGCGTTTGTGTTGGCTCCGGCACCGTCTGCTACAAAGAATTGAACTTTGTCTGCTAAGCCATAAGATTCAAGAACGCCGCTAACATCTTTAGTGATTACATAAGCCGTGTGTGTGGATTCTAAGCGTTAATATTAGGGACGATTTGAAAAGTTAAACCTTGCAAATTATTTAGCGCCAGGATGACATCTCGCTTCTTGCCATTTGCGTCAAGAAAGTGGGCAAGAGTGATGTTGTAATTCAAAGGATTTCTTTGAGCTGTGTATGCGTCACTTGAAATCTTGAAACAATTTCTTTTAGGCTTTCCCTTATTTGGTCTTCGAGTCTACCGATCGTTGAATTTTTTATGGTGTCGATCCTATACTTTTTTGTAGTAAATAAATTTTTATAAACCTTTTTCGACCAGGCATTTTGATATTTTGCGCATTAAACCATGCTTTCCACCTTTTGCTACGACTAAGCTGAGTAATGGAGATATTAGTTTCGGCCATAGCTAGTGTCAAAAGCGTATCGTTTTTCCTAGAAAAGGCGGCCATTTAAAAAATTTATATCACTAACAATGCCATCACATTTGCATCTGCACCTTCAGTCATTTCTACAACTTTTGCGATAGTGTTATCGCGGTGAATTTCTGCCGCTGTCCACTCCACCGGATGCTCTGACTGGCTTAAGGTTTGCAAAAATAAAGTAAATCTACTTTTAGATGATGTTTCATGGCGTAGAGGGCGCCAATGGCATAGTTTGCAACTGCGTTTCTGGGGCATAGATTGCATTGTGCTCGAGTCTCTTTACTGCTCACATCTACATACTTTGTCATAAAATCCCAGGCTAGTGAGGGTATTTTAGGTTTACGCGAAGAGGTTGCGGAAGTCTGAAAATGATTTATAAGCGTAAAGGCAACTATCACTAGAATTTACCCTATTACTGGGAGAAGCATCCATTTTCTCTCATAATCACACGGTTTTCTACGCAGTACTCTAAATAGTAGAAATTATCAATTTAACCTGTTTGAAAAAGAGAAAAAAAACAAAAAGTTATGGAAAGAATAATAGAAAAAAAAGCGCAAGATTTTAATGTACATTTGCATTTTGAAAAATTTGCTGACGCAAAGCATAGGGTTACGGTAGCTTATCCATGGCACGCGCTTTTTAAAAAACGCGTTGTCTGCAAGGAACACACTCTACTCAGAACACGGGGTAGGCTACTTTCCGCCATTTTATTTGCGCAACAGGGTCATTTGCGCAAGTACGTTTGCGCAACTTTTTATTTGCGCAACAGGGTCATTTGCGCAACTTTTTTTGCGCAACAGGGTCATTTGCGCAACTTTTTTGACGTTTTTAAGGGACGTTTTTTTTAAGGGAGTTTTTGACGTTTTTTTTTGTTGTTTAAAATTCTAGTACGGTTTTGTTTATTTTTAAAAACCATTGTTAACTAATTTTCCGCATTTTCCCAAGAATCCGCATCCATCGTATACTGCGGTCAGACTTTACGAAGAAATGACGCAAATAATCAACCGTTTCAAGCTTTCATCGGCTATCAATCTCACTGTTGGACAAAACTACCCACGGAAGAAAACTGTATTGGCTCGACAAAAGCAACGTTTTACTGCTATTTCTCAATGGTCGCTTGCCCGGTTGCGATTTTGTGCAACATCTTTCTCAGCTTTTGACTTATATTAAAAAAATTGATTTTTATTGTTGTCCTAAATTTCATTGCTATTGTTGTCCTAACTTTCATTGTTATCGGTTGCACTTTTTTGTTAAAGCGTTAAAATATTTTACTAATGGTTATTAGCTCTTAGAAAGGACTAATTTAGATAAATATTGGAAGATTATGCAAAAAATTGGAAGATTTCATAAAAATAGAAGAAAATAAAAAACAATAAAAAAAAAAGCTCAAAAATGAAAATAATGATTAAAAATTCGAGTGCTTAATACAGTGTTAAAGTTGCGCAAATGACCCAGTTGCGCAAATAAAGTTGCGCAAATGACCCTTTTTGTGCAAAAAAAAGTTGCGCAAATGACCCTTGTTGCGCAAACGTACTTGCGCAAATGACCCTGTTGCGCAAATAAAATGGCGGAAAGTAGCCTACCCCCAGAACACGGGTTTTTAAGCGGTAATTGAAGGATTTTCATTACGTATTACGGAAAGTTATCAATTTTTGTACTAAAATACGAATAAATTTAAGAGAAGCGGTTAATTAATAAGTTTTGTAGAGAATTTTTTCACTTTCCTTGTTACAGCTTGACTTTTTTTATTGAGGAACTCATTCATTTTCAGTTTTAAAATTGCACGTGAATTTGAGGAAGAATTTTTTCGAAAGTCTAGCGGTAATCGAAGACAATGTGACCAAGCAAAAGCAGAAAAAACTGAGGAATGCTCGTTTTTCTTTCTTTTTCTTTCCTTTTCTCTGACTCCTTAGGTGTCTGTTGTTGGAATGGGGCCGGGGAATCGATTGATTGAAAGAGGCAGAGAAAAGAAAGAAGCGAAGAAAGGAAAATGGATGAAAAGAAGGGTAAATCTTTGAGACAAAATAGATCACAACAGCCTCAGCGATGCGTGTTCCTCATTTCATTTCATTTCTTTCTTTCAATCCATTCAATCCATTTCAGACCGGATGATGAACTCTTTATCCACATTCAGCCAGTTTTTGAGTTCTCTTTTCTTTTCTTATTTCATTGTTCCACTTCTTTAACCTGATCATCCTATTTTCGGTTAGTTGAATGTTCGGAAATCCATTAAGTTTTCAAATATTAGACTTTCACAATTCTAGAACGTGCTATATTCCTTTTCTTTTATTGCTATATTCCCGTATTTTCTTTTTGTTTAGGAAATTTCTCCCGTAAATTTTAAGCCTATGATTTCTCTGTCATTTTTTTAAGAAAATACTTTAGCTTTTTGATTAATCAAGATTTATCGAATGATTTTAGTTGTGAAAAGGTGTTTGGATGAGCGATACGGTGCGCGACCTAGAGGGGCGTCGCATAAACGCCGTCACACCCCTTCATCTTTCATCTGGTTAGTTGCTTTGTTAGTTGGTTTGTTAGTTAGTTTGTTAGTTGGTTTGTTAGTTGGTTTGGTTTGGAAAATACGAGAATATAGCTGGTTTACTAGAATTGGAGTACGCGATCTAATCTATAACAAAGTATTGAGTCAATAAACTAAATCAGCATATTTTCTATTTTAGGAGAAGGTGGAATGTTGAAGAATCTCTTACAAGAAGTTCAAGTACAACAAAAACAACAACAGCAACATCCAAGCTACGGTAAATTCTTCGAATTCCTCAAAATGTTATTTTAAAAAAAGAATCATACGCGTATGTAGCCAAAATAAATTATATACATCAACAGGATTGAGTCATTTTTTGTAAGTATAAGGAGAAATGCAATCATTTGAAAGTTTTTCTAGGAAAATGTACGATGATTGAATTTTTGAGAGAATTCCTTCTAGTTCACGAAATGAAATGGTTAAATTCAAATCTAATTTATCATGGTATATCTGACGATCATGATTGTCCTTTTCCATCGACTGTTTCAAGCTCAAGTTTAGGTAGCGACTCAAAAAAGTTGTCGTTTTTTAAATACGTTCATTGAATTTTTAAAAATAAATACTTTCAAAAATTTTCTTTTAGTCGATGATGAGAATGAGAAACGAAAGAAGCAAATGTTGGAGCAATATCAGAATCGAGTTCTTCTTCATCAAATGGGCCAACAACAACCACCTCCACCACTCTATCAGACAACACATCAATTTCAGACGACAAGTGGAGCGGTGATACATATTGGGAAAAGGTATTGTACTTCTCTAATGAATTTAAATTTATAGGAATTGATCTATTGTGGCTAGATCAAGTGATTTCAATAAAAAGTGAAATCCGAAGATTCAGAAAAAGATTGCTAAATAGAAAAAGATTGCCAAAATCGTTCTTAACACATTTGCCACGATACAATTGTACTGTTGACGATTATTTTTGATGTCAACTTAAGTTTTTAACGACTTTTATTATTTATTTCGCAAAAAGTTCTTGGTAACTTTATATTAGTTTTCAAGATGAGATCCAGGGCTATCGAATCACTATAATAGTTTAGTTTATCTTTGAATCTTCACCAAATTATCTGTAAAACCATTAACGCGATTGTATGCGCAAAATGCCAAAATTTTTTTAAAAGCTCAAGTGCTTATCTTGCCATATTCTGAATTTCAGATCCGATCCAGGCAGTCAGCCGTCTTCATCTCAACCAATGTCCCACAGTCAACCTTGTCTTGTCGCTATTGGAGATCGAGGAGATCAGTGAGTGATTAAATCAACTTAAAAACTAAATAAACTCAATTTCCCATATGTTTTATCTGTTTAAAATTTGTTTTTCTTTGAATAAAACTCAATTCCAGAGCTCCAATCACGAAGCAACATGCCCAATTCCAACGATGTTCATCCACTGAACATGAATCATCCGGACACATACCGAATAGACATGTAAGTGAGATCTAAATAGCAATTATACAGTTAAATAGCTAAATAGTTACTAAATAGCAACTAAATAGCAACTAAATAGCAACTAAATAGCAACTAAATATTCATGTTATAGATGCTTTTGAAATTATTAAACCAATCTCTTTATGTAACAATATGTTTTCAGGTTGGGAACACGCAAAAATTGGTGAATTCGTTGAGAGAAGAGAATCTATCATTGAAGAAACAAATTGATGTGATGAAAATAAAAACGAATCGATTGCAACAAGTAAAAATATTAGTTTAAAATGAAAATCTTCTTTTTAGTTAGAAGCAGCTCACAAAAGTATTGAGGCCGAGTACGAGTTTTTGATGAAAGAAAAGGAAAAGAATGATACGTTGGAGAAAACAGCATTTCAGACCATGGAGAATCGAATGAAACAGTTAGTTTTTGTTGAATAAGTTGATCTTATAGATTGTTGATCTTATAGATTATATGTAGCAAAAGAGTATAGCAATATATTTTAAAAAACAGCAATTTTTTCAGTTTACATCGAGAGAACGAGGCAATGAAAGATGAAATTGCACGATTAAATGAAAGATTCCAAGGCCACCAATTCTCACTTGATTATCAGCAACAGATAAACAAGTTGAATATCACGTTGACTGACCTCTACACACAAAGTAAGTTGTTTTAAAGTTGGAAAATACCGTAAAGGTTAAAGATGATCAGTCTACAAAGTCGATTTTCTATTTTTTTCTATTCTCTATTTTCCAGATGAATCTCTAAAAGGGACGCTTTCAAGACAAGCAGTCGAAGTGCAAGCTCAACGGAGAAATCTCGAGGAACAGAGAACACATATAGCAATGTTGGAGACAGCTCTATCAAATGCACAAGACAGATTGACGAGGAAAGAAAAGGTTTGTAACAAATACAACTTTATTTATAATTGAATGATCAATTTATCAAGTTCTATTCAAGATGTACGAAGAGCACGCGGCAAAACCTGAAGGAACAGCTTATTTGGAGAATCTCCTACACGATGCAATTGTTGATAAACAGGTAGTTTTTTCTGAATAAACTACAAACCACTTGTATTCTAGTGGTATTGATTGAAAATGCAGAATACAACCTTCAAAATGGTAATGGAGTCTTTTGAAATTGATATAACAAGACTTCAAAGCTGAAAATTCTCTTTTCTGACAAAGCCAAAGCCAAAGCCAAAAAGAGCTTTTTCCAGCAACGAGAGAAAGCTCATGCCGAAGAGAAAGCCCGACTCGAGATGGAGATCGCTCAGTTGAAAATGATCATCAATAAAGTAAGTTTATGCTGTATTTAAGTATTTAGGTTATTAGTATTTTGGTTACTTTATTTAACAACTATCTAAACATATAAATTTCCTTAATTTCCCTTTCAGGAAAACGGAGTCGGCGGAATCAAACTCGGCTCATCGAGAATTGGACCAGATGAGAATTCAGACAAATACAAAAAGGTTCTTGTGTTAACTAAGGAAAATCTAAATCAAAACTTTTAGGTGTTAATCGATAAAGAAAAAAGAATTACGAGATTGGAAAAAGATGTGATGGATTTGCGGAGAAAATTACATGAGGAAGCTGAAAGGAAGAAGGATGCATTGGATGCGGTATCGGGGAGTCTTGAAGCAAAGATCAAAAGATTGGAAGATGAGAAAATTGAGAGGGTGAGTTTAGAAATGAAATGGTGTAGATTTTGACATTTGAATGAAATCAAGTCTTTCAGGATCGACGAATCGCAGAATTAAGTGAAGAAAAAGAACGACTCAATGATCTTCTCATTGATAAAAGGTAAAAGTGTTTTATTTAAAAAGATTAATGACTTAAGAAGATTAAGGCTGACTTAACTGACTGACTTAACTGACTGATTTAACTGATCTAAGAAGAAAAGTAAAGTCCTACAACACAATTCTCACAAATTACAGAGACGAAGACGCGGCTCGTCGTGATCTTCATCGAATGGAAGAAATGAGACAAAAGATTGATGAAAGAAGAAGGAGACATAATCGACAATCAAATGGAAATCATTCTGATATCTCATCGAGTGCAACGTAAGAAAGATTTTGAAATTGAATGAATCTTTTTATAGAATGATGGTTGAACACTCACCAACAGGCTCTCCATCATTGAGAGCGCCCACTTATGAAAGTCTTGGTTTTGATTCGACTTCGCTACTCTCACAGGTAATACCTAAAGCTTACTTGCTTCAGAAATGATGCTACATATAGCATATGCTTTTTATCCAGGTATACTATAGCAGGGCAGCTATTGCAAGTTTGCAGTAGCTCTAAAGAGTCTCCAGCCTAAGCCTAAGCCTAAGCCTTAGCCAACAAAAGCCTACTTTCCAATTCTTCAACTCAATATCTTTTCCATTTCAGTTCTCGAGCTCGAGTCATCTCTCCAATTCATCCAATCAATTCATTCCATCATTTCAATCAAAGTTTGTTTCAAATCTTTTTCATTTTCTTTCAAATAATTCTCAAAATTCTTTATTTACCCAACTTATTCGAGCTTTCTTAAACAAAGAAAAGAATTTGCGGCATTTTGTTTGTCTTTTTCTTATCAGCTTTCGAAATGTTCCCCATTTGGAATTTCAGTTTCAATTGACATTAGGGAATCGAATTTAAAACAGGTTAAATATTTTAACCAATGAAAAGAACTATGAAAAGTAAATTCGTTTTAGAGTTTATAACAAGGACAAAATTTTCAATTTAGATCTCCAGGTGCTCAATATTCGACGATTCTCCCACACGATGATCCCAATCACAATGAAGGGGCCACTGTTTGGAATGTCTAGAAGAAAAGATAGATTAACTTGTCGTTGATTGGTTCGGTTTTTGAGACTTCTGAATTTCCCAGAAGCGCAAGAGATCTAGTGCACAGGTTTGAATGATGAGCATGATTTAGAAATCATTCAATCATCATTCAACTTGCCTGTCAACTATGATCTACTAGTTCCCAACACTCGCAATGTAACTAAAGTTGCCTTTTGTTCTTTGTGCGTAAACTTTCGCTTTCGCAGCCTTGGGTAATTAAGCATATCTGAAAAAACTTTTTCCGCGAGCGACACAAAAAGGCACACAAGCGAATATCTTTACATTAAGATAATCAAATTTTGGATCCTTTTTGAAGGAAAGATTGCATTTTTATGAAGAAAATTTAGCAATCTGCACTAGATTCTCTTGCAATTCCACATTTCCTCAATACATTTTGGGATAGGCTACTTTGCGCGGATTTTTTTGCGCAACTGGGTCATTTGTGCAACTAGGTCTTTTGCACAACTCGCCATAACTTTCTGTTAAGTGGACCAATCTTTATGATTTTGGTTTCATTTTGTAGATCTCAATAAGTGCAACAAAATGAAACCAAAATCATAAAGATTGGTCCACTTAACAGGAAGTTATGACGAGTTGTGCAAAAGACTCTGTTTCGCAAATAAAATGGCGGAAATTAGCCTACCCCTACATTTTTGCACAAACTGGTCTACTCATCTCTTTTTTGTTTACTGTTTACCATCAGTTTTACTTTGTCTATTTGGTGCTTTTCTTTTTAAAATCTTTACTGTTAGTGCATTTATTGAGCTAGTCTTTTATTTTCTCTCTTTTTTTTGCTCGATCCATCCGGGTATTCTTTTTTTTGTTCTTTTCTTATGTATGTATCCCATCATTCTCCCAAATAATTCTGTAAATAGAAGAATTGAAAAGAAATATGATTTCAAAAGAGTACAACAGAAAACAAAGACATAAAGAGACATAAAGAAGATTCTAATTCAGAACAGAACAGAATGAGCATTCTAATTCAGAACAGATCAACGAGTATTCTAATTCAGAATAGATCAATGAGCATTCTAATTCAGAACAGAATAGAATGAGCATTCTAAATCAGAATAGATCAATGAGTATTCTAATTCAGAACAAAAAATGTAACCAAGTTAACTGATAGTATTTGTAAGTTATCCTAATACCTAGAACCCAAGAATAATTTGAATATTGAAGCTAAAGTTTACATTTTCTCATTTTAGAAATCAACATGTCTGTTGATTTCTTCTTTCTCTTTCTTCTTTCTCTTTCTTTCTGCTTTCTCTTTCTTTCTTCTTTCTCCTTTCTTCTTTCTTTCTTCTTTCTCCTTTCTTCTTTCTTTCTTCTTTCTTAGACCTCTAAAGTTTAAAGTTTACAAACTTGTGGATCTCTTCCAAAAGAATCACGTTTCATTTCTCTCTAACTTGCGTGTCAACCCCTAATTCTTGAGGCTTAACAAAAAGAAACAAAGAAATTTTTTTCATTAAACACTTTTTCGGCCAAAATGACCCACTCAAGAATATTCTTGTCTCGGAAAAGAGCTATTTTGAAAAACTTGCTCTCGTTTTTTTAACGCTTTATTTTAGATTTAGCTATTTCGATATTTCGAACTTCACTAAACAAGCAATTAATCTGCATTTGTCACCAATCTTTAAGCTCAAATGAAAGATTTAGCCTTTTCGTCGGTTTGGAACAAATTTTACACTCAAAGAGAGAGAAAAGGAGAGAAAAGATCAGTTTTCACATAAGAAAATGAGCTGAGAGTTGGACTTGAGCCATTTTCACAGGTTCAACCTCACTTATTTTTGCTTTGTTTTGAATGTTTCAATGTTAAAACAAGAGACAACTGGGTATCAAGCTTCGAAAAATGTCAGAGACGATTCGTGTCTCACTTTTTTCCTTACCTCCAAAAGAAGCCCCATCTGTCACCAGGCAATCCATTCACTTCCACAAAAAAAGCATCTTCTTTCCTTTCTTTTGTCTCAAAATCCCAGAATTTCCAACTTTCTCGCAGTTCTTTCCCCCCTTTTTGTGTCCTCTGTCCAAAATGAGACATCTGAGTGTCCCCTACCCTTCTCTTTTTCCTTTCCTCCCCGTCAAACTCATCCATTTCATCCATTCCACCCAATGATTCCCCGGAGAATCGAAACTTTTTGAAGATACCTGTTGCTGAGAGGGATTTCTCCTAAACCATGGGGTTTTTTTTGCGACATCGATGTCATTCTTGTGGAGTTCTTGTCTAAAAAAAGCTAGTCAGGTCAAAGAACTGACACATTTTGATATTTCTTTGTCATCAACTCTAAACATCACAACTTTACCAACAGTTGGCAAAGAAATGTGCTCATTCTTGACTCGACTAGGATCAGGGCTGCATGGAAATGTAAAAGACCAGGCTGTGGATGATCTTGCTGGAAGATCAGGACTAACCAAAACCAAACTAACCAACCAACCAACCAACTAACCAACCAACCAACTAACCAAACCAACCAACCAAACCAACCAAGCCAACCAAACCAACCAACCAACCAAGCCAACCAAGCCAACCAACCAAACCAGCCAACCAAGCCAACCAACCAACCGACCAACCAACCAACCAACCAACCAACCAACCAACCAACCAACCAACCAACCAACCAACCAACCAACCAAGCCAACCAACCAACCAACCAACCAACCAACCAAGCCAACCAAGCCAAAGAGTTGGCTTGACTTTAACCTAGCCTGGAAAATCGTGGTCCAAAGCTAAAGCCAATCCTAGGATCACTTTGTCTTAGTTTTGAAAGATCAACTACTTTTCTAAAAAGATAACTTTTTCTATATCTAAATTCTCTTTAGAAAGAATTTGATAGACATCTCCAAAAATTGGATCCCTTTCCTTTCTTGATGAAGTGTCTCCGTGCAGGTCTCTTCCATCAATTTCTTTTCCCATCTTTTTCCTTTCTTTTTTCTTCCTTATTCCATTTGCGTGAACGCTAGAAATTTATCCGCAAATCCATGACGATTTATTCAAAATTCCTTCAAAATTCCGCAATTTATTCAAAATTCCTTCTGCTGTCTGTACATTTTCGTTACTTTTTTCAAAAATCCCCTTGATTTCTTTTGATTTCCGGTGGCGTTTCTGGGTACCGGAAATCGGCCCATAAAGTTATTCAAGCGAAAATTCATCTCCAAAAATCCACATAGCATTTCTGATTTTTTTTTCGTATTTTGGAAGTAATTCTGTCTGGAGTTTTTGACGATCGCATTTTGGAACGTTTTTTGAATGCAATGATTTCATTTTTATTAGCTTATCCCTTTGCAAATCTTATCGTTTCACATCATCAGGTCAATCCTTTGCCATTCCACTCCAAACCTATCCATTTATGTCCTTTGCCATTTCACTTTAATCCTTTGCCATTCCACTTCAATCCTTTGCCATTCCACTTCAATCCTTTGCCATTCCACTTCAATCCTTTGCCATTTCACTTCAATCCTTGCCATTCCACTTCAATCCTTTGCCATTCCACTTCAACCCTTTGCCATTTCACTCCAAACCCATCCATTTCTGATTGAATTCACTCAAATGAATCTCCCGAAAAACCTCTGTCTGTCCAAATCCAGTAATATAACCTTTGCAAAAACAAAGAGATTCAAAGTTCAATCTATTTTCTTCTATGCACTTGCTTTGATTTGGAACCAAAAGAATATAAACCAAAAGCCGCCATTTTCTGGAGTGCATTTTGAGATTACTTGTCTAGTTTTTTAGAAAAAGTCTAGTTTTTTAGAACAAACAAACAAGCAAACAAACATTTTGAGATTACTTGCCAGAGTTTGTTCAATTTAGACTCATTCAGTGACCAATCGCTAATCTATAAAACTAAAAGCTTAAAAGTTTGCCACACAGAACAGGCTTTTTTTAAATAGAAAATAACTTTATATCCTTTTTTTTGTCCCTTTCCCCTGAAAACCCCTTTTCCAATCTCCTCAAAAGGTCCCTCACCCCTTTTTTTGAAGAGATTCTCCTCGTGCTTTTTGAACTTTCCTCTTTCATTTCTTTTGCTTTCTCTATTCCAAACCCATTTGTCAACCTAAAGAGACGTTTCTTGGTTTATCATTGAAAAACAATCCAAACGTTGAGCTAATACTTTATTTTGTTTATGACTTTGCAGAATGAGTTGCACAGTTTGTTTGTTCTTTAAACTTGCAGTTGAATGAGTTGCACAGCTTGTTTGTTCTTTAAACTTGCATTGCATTGCAATCTTTGGTACTATGTAACTGTTTCAATGCCCAATTCAATATCCAATCCAAGCAAAATACTTGTTTCAAATCTTAACTTCTTTTTCTCGCAAACAATATCGGTGAACAGGATATAGAATTTTTGAAAAGTCACATGTGTTTGGGAAAGGGTAAATGAAAGGCCGATTCTAGCGGCGATACTCAAAAATGCAATCCGTTGATCATTTTTTTGACATTCTTGACGAAATCCCCGTTTCGAATAATACAGAAAAATGATGGATCGACTTTCAAGGTAGTTAAAGCGCATTTCTTAGCCCTAATGAGCCTTATCCAAAAGATTTTAGCTATCATTGCTAGATCTGATGCACTATATGAGGTTAATTACCATATTTATTCCAATAGAAGGGCCCCTTTAAACGAAATTTTTCATTTTTTCGGATTTCTCAACTTTCAGATAACAAAATACAATATCTTTTCAACTTTTTAAAGACTTTTAAAGGTTTTAAATAATAGTTAAAGACCAAAAAAGCTAAATGAACCGGATGAAATGAAAACCGGATGAAAATCAAACAAAAACATCCATTTTTGAGCTCTTGAAACCTTGGGATACTGTAACTAGGACACGAAAAAGAATTTTAAAGAGAAATTGAAGAGAAGAGCTGCTTCTTTTATTAGAATGTTGATGGTAGATAGATTGAAGATCGATTTTTACAGATTTGTCTTGTCTTGTCTTGTCTTGCAATCTAGACTTTCTTGTTGATTTATCCAGCCCCCTGCCTGATTCCAAAATTTCATTAACATCCCAGCTTTGTTTATTTGATTCCTTTTCAACTCCAAGGGTCATCCAAATCCTAACAATTGATCGACAATCTCTTTTTTTGGTCTTTGATTCATTGATTCGTTAAAAAACACAAACTGGTGACCCTCCTTTCTCACTGAAAGACGTCAGTTGTCCCTCCTCTCCCATCTTGTCTAGATCATCTCTCTTTTTTCTTTTTCACTCAATTTTCCATCAATTCTCAGTGATATTTTTGACAATAATGATTACGACGAGTTCTTGTTCTTCTAATCGTTATCTTTTTAGGACAAGTTCTTTGACACATTCACACAGGGCGTTTTTAAATAATCTGATTTCTTTCTTGAGACTGATACCTTGTAAAAAATAATTTTTGAAAAATTAAAACCACAACTCTCTTCAGTATCTCATTAGCTATCGATTGCAATAAAGATCTCAAAAAACGATCGATTGTAGCTCAAGATCTGATTGTTTTCGTCAAGTTACTCCAGGTTAGGGTCGTCGCGAATGGGTTCCCTTGTAGCGTTATTGATAAGTTCATGATGCTTTTCCTTTACTCAAGGCTGTCAGTTGTTGACCAAACTTTCCGATCGTCGAGTTTTTCTCATGGCAAATGGGTATCACAAAAGCACGAGTGGTTTACAATGGGAAATCGATTCACCTGTTGCAAAGTTAAAAGATCAAGCAAATTGCTTTACCTTGATGAAATTCGAAAAAAAACGTGATTTCCGTACAATTAAGCCAGAGCATCCTTTAATTGGTCCTTCTTTGAGTGCTTTGCCGATCCTACGGGCAAATCCTTGGGATGCATCAAGGAATTCCCGGCAGCCCCCTGGCGCACCATTCACGACGCTTGGTCAAAGGAACCAGAATTGAAAACGCTGAACCAGAATTGGGCGACGAAGATCTGAATGGTTGAGGCTGTGCTCACCCCTATGAGGCATATTGATTGGATTGGTTGCCAGATTGTCTCATAGAAAAGCAAGCCGAAGTAGAGAGACTTTCAGGGTATATGAAGCCGTTGGCCAGACGGCGAGCGATTACGTGGCGGCACAAAGAACATCAGTTAACACAGTGATTTTTTGTTCTGTAAATGATTCTCAAATGAGATTTAGTGTTTAAAATTTGTTGTGGGGTTTTCAGGGTGGTAGAATCTATTGGCGGAGTTTATTTTAACTCTCAGATAAGTCTCAAGATCGAATTGGCTTTGGATTTTGCAATGATATCTTTCCTAATGAAAAGATCAGGATTTTCGAGAAGAACCAAGCGGTCATTTATGTGTAAAACTTGATCTTTTACTGCAATTTCTCTGTCTTTTTCCACTTCAATCCTGCTATAGCACTAATGCAAAGTTTTTGCTTTTATTTAGCCTCGATTGGCCTTTCCTTTTCCCATTGATGATCATCGAATCGTGAGATGAGAATCTCTTCGTCCACCATTCACTAATGTCCATTTATAGCCGAACACCAAGTATTTGGTCGTAAAAAAAAAGTAAGTTTCTATGGAAAACTTGTACTGAACCTATTGCTAAGTCTTCTTCATCAATTTCTCATCAAATCCTTTCCAGAGTTTCTTCATGTTTCGTGATGTTCTTGCAGCCACTTCTATTATTAATATTCGGGATTCTGAGAAGAACCTGGGGATTAGAAGGTGAGAAAATATTAAGGAAATAATATTTCTTACCTTCTAATCCTCAGGTGAAATCAATTTCTTTTCAGATAATGAAATCCCGGAACATTATCAAATAGTTAATCACATTTTGGGTGGTTACAATCGAGAATTGATCCCGAAAATGAAAAATCACAGTGTTGATGTGCTTTTCAGTATGGAATTGTATCAAATTATTGAAGTGGTGAGTAAAGAACAGTCTGTATACATCAAATTCAATTCTTAAACGGATTTCAGAATGAACCACAGCAATATCTGATGCTAAACTCGTGGATTGTTGAGGTAGAAAATTGTTGAGGTTCGGGGAAAAGAAAGGATTCTGTTTTTTGTTTAGCGTTGGGTTGACAGTATGTTGGGATGGGATCCGAATGAGTTTGAGGGAACAACAGAGATTATGTTACCTCACCATAAAATATGGTTACCCGATACAACTCTCTACAATTCGTGAGTTTTGATTTTAAAAGGGGGGAGGGTATTAATCGCTGCCGGGTGACGATAAAAACGGCTTTTTCTAAACGGCAACCACCTGTTTTTTTATTTTAATATCGCTGATTTTATTATAAAAAGAATAAAAATCACCCGGCTAGAGTGATTTGATGGGTTTACAAATTTTTGGAGACTTTTGGAGAGCAAGGCTTGGAGAAAAACAAGATCGTCACTCATCAGACACCTCAGCTAAAAGGCACCTATTTGAGAAAACTAAAACCACAAGCGACCACAAATGGAAAAAAGATCTAATTGTGTCAATCAAAGCGCTGAAGACGTCCTACGGTGGAGGAGATCCAGTCACTTCTGGTGAAGATGCGCTGGAAATTGATAAGATAGGAAGCCGATTTGAGGAACTGCTGTACTTGAGCGAAGATGAAAGTGAGCAAGAGGAAGAATTGTTTAGTTCCTATTTAGTTCCTATTTAGTTCCTATATAGTTCCTATATAGTTACTGTATAGTTCCTTCTGGTGAATCATTACATGGAAGCTCGATTTGATAAGCCTCTCGACCTTCACGAGCTAAAACAGCAAAAACCCGGATTTAGGGGATCGACAAAAACGTCGACTGAGAGGGACAAGGGACGACCACTCAAAAACTTTATGAGCAAACAGATAAGGCATTCTTGGGTCGAGTTTTTTGGGAGCGAAGATGAAAGTGAGCAAGAGGAAGAATTGTAGATTAACAATTTCCATTTGTGGTCGCTTGTGGTTTTAGTTTTCTCAAATAGGTGCCTTTTAGCTGAGGTGTCTGATGAGTGACGATCTTGTTTTTCTCCAAGCCTTGCAGTGTCTCCAAAAATTTGTAAACCCATCAAATCACTCTAGCCGGGTGATTTTTATTCTTTTTATAATAAAATCAGCGATATTAAAATAAAAAACAGGTGGTTACCGTAAAAAAATTTTTATCGTCACCCGGCCGCGATTAATACCCCCCTTTCTTTCAAAAGGAGCTTTCAAAAGGATAATTTCATAACTATCACTCATACAGGGTCTACGATTTGGCAAGGTTTACAAAAGAGTTTTTTGAAAAAAAAATAAAACTAGCCTCTATTTTGTTGTGGCAAAATTTTAAGGCATGCTTTTAGATGGAAGTGAATGAGTGAATCAGTTTGAAATTTGCTGATCATTTTAAATAGAACTCTTTTCAGCTTAGTGATGGATGAGGGTGAAACGAGGCGTTTATTGAATGCAAAATTGACGACAGTCGGCAATGGAAGTGGTGCTTTTGTCGAACTTCTTTATCCAACCATATACAAATTGAGTTGTAATCTCGATTTACGGTTTGCTAGCTTAGATAATTTGAAGATATTTCACATTTTTCCAGATTTTTCCCTTTTGATGTTCAAGATTGTACCCTAATCTTCGGGAGTTGGACTTTCGATAACACTTATATTGATTATCATCCGTATGATGAGAAAAAAGCTATTGGAATATCGAATTGTATAGAGAATGAAGGATGGAAAGTGCTCTGGACTGAAGGTGAACTATTTCTGTAGGCAGAAACTAAGACTTCAATACTATAAGACGACATTTGAATTTCTTGTATCACACTATAACACACTACAATATAATTCTTATCTATTACATATAAAAGAACAATTTCTGTTTGTCTGTACGGGCTCAGCCACTTTTTGACCAATAAAGCTAAAACTTCTTTAGAAAACCTTAGAATATATTGTAGTTGTGCCATTTGAAACAAAAAATTAGAAAAGACATGATTGAGTGGCACTACGGGGGTCAAACCCGGGTGGACCGTAGACAAGCGCGCTCCCGACTGTGTCACGGCAACGACCGTTCTCTGTCAGAAAAACCCGCTCTTAGCCAGGTTTTTTGGCTGTTTGCTAGCATATTCCTGTGTCAAGACTGAATAGTTTATGAGCTAATTGAAAAGCTAAATGTTGAAGGTTGTTGGCCGAACAATTAGGTATACTATAGTGGACAAGTGACCCAATTTTTCCAATAGTTTGCTTTATTATGCTTGAATCCTGAAGTACTATTTAAATTGCGATACAGACTGTTTAGACTGTTTGTAGACGCCATTCGAGAATGACTAATGGATACTTTTCAAAATTACCATTGAATTCAGAAAATTCAAGTATTTTTACTTTAGGAAACTCATTTCACAACAAAATTAAAGCACCAGCAATTTTTAAGATGCTGATCTTTTTAAGATACTGCTCTCTTTGGGATATCTTTCTTCTCAACTAGCTCTGGGAAAAATGGGGTCTAAATTTAAAGCAAATAGTTTTGGCAAAATCCTTTTTGGCTAGTTGCTAGAGCTAAGCTAAGAGCTAAGCTAAGAGCTAAGCTAACAGCTAAGCTAAGAGCTAAGCTAACAGCTAAGCTAACAGCTAAGCTAACAGCTAAGCTAACAGCTAAGTTTTTTAATTTTGTTTTGTAACATTTATAGGATGAAAATACTTGAATTTTCTCAATCCAATGTTAGTTTTAATAAATATTAATTGGATCACTTCTAAAGCAACCACTTGAAAACAGTCTAAGAACTTAGACATCCAAAATCTTTCAAGAACGTAGACATCCAAAATCTTTCAGTTACGCGAAAAGAAGTGAAATACGATTGTTGTCCGAATAATTACACTCTTCTCATTTTCGAGATTCATATCCAACGAAAACCCCTCTATTATGTGATCAATCTCATTCTCCCGACAAGTATCATCACTCTCATTTCGATTGTCGGCTTCTTTAGGTGAGTTTCTGAATGGGATTTCTGAATGGGATTTCATTCTGCAATGAGATTCACAATCATATTGTTCAGTTCTTCATCGATAAATGAGGTTAGACAAGAAAAGATCACTCTCGGCATCACAACTCTTCTCTCAATGTCTATTCTCATTTTGATGGTCTCTGATAAAATGCCTTCCACGTCTTCATTCATTCCTCTTATCGGTGAGTTTAACGATTTGACGATATTGATTTGATATTGGTGATTAGAACTAGTTAGTTAGAAGAACTAGTTAGCTAGAAGAACTAATCAACTTCTAATCACTAGTTAGAACTAGTGATTAGAAGATTACTGACTCAAACAACTACTACACAATCAATTTCCAGGGTGGTTTTATACGGCTATGATTCTATTGATTTCTGTTGCTACAATTTCTGCCTCTGTCGTCATTTATATTCAGAAAAGAGTGAGTTTTCAATGATTTTTGGTCGTTTTTCTGGGAAATTTTCGTCTTTTTCATGGCACCGGAAACATGGTTTAATAATTTTGAATCACTTTTAGGGTATTATCGGTATTGCGCCACCACCCCGAGTGATGTGGTGGGCGAGAAGGATTGGAAGATTGGTCAGAATGGAGTTGCCTCTATTGATGAAACAAGCCTATGCACAAAAAGCTCGAGTGAGTGTTTGAAAGAATGATTTGAAGACATTAAGATTGGTGAACTAGCACTGGAGCTAGAACTGGAGCTAGAACTGGAACTAGAACTAGCGCTGGAGCTAGAATTGGAGCTAGAACTGGAACTAGAACTAGCACTGGAGCTAGAACTGGAGCTAGAACTGGAACTAGAACTAGCGCTGGAGCTAGAATTGGAGCTAGAACTGGAACTAGAACTAGCACTGGAGCTAGAACTGGAGCTAGAACTGGAACTAGAACTAGCGCTGGGGCTAGAATTGGAGCTAGAACTGGAACTAGAACTAGCACTGGAGCTAGAACTAGCACTGGAGCTAGAACTGGAGCTAGAACTGGAACTAGAACTAGAACTAGAACTGGAACTAGAACTAGAACTAGAACTAGAACGAGAACTAGAACTAGAACTAGAACTAGAACTAGAACTAGGACTAGAACTAGAACTAGAACTAGAACTAGAACTAGAACTAGAACTAGAACTAGAACTAGAACTAGAACTAGAACTAGAACTGGAACTAGAGCTAGAGCTAGAGCTAGAGCTAGAGCTAGAACTAGAACTAGAACTAGAGCTAGAACTAGAGCTAGAACTAGAAGTAGATCTGTTCCGTTTAGTAAAAGATCTCTTATCATAGAAAAATTGTTAACGTAAAAAGTTCAGGAAGAGAAGCTCCGGAATGCTGGCCGAAAGCAATCTCTCTGGCAAAAAGTGTACAAGATGAGCAAGGTTGGAGATCTTGGATTTCTTTTTCATTTATGCACTTTAATTGCTTGGGATTTCTTATTGGCACTAGAAAGAAATATTAACAAATAACAAGGAAATGGCTTGTTTTTTTAAATGTAGTTAAGAGTTTATTTGTTTTTGATTGAAATTTGAATTTGACAGCCACCAAAAGAAAATCCGATAGAGGAAGAAGATGAAGAAGAGGTAAGGAATCGAGTTGAGCTTTGGTGAACTTTGTGGGCATTTGTGGAAACATCCATCCTGATATACTTGATTCATTCACTATGAAAGATGAAGATTTGAGTGCGTGAGGATGTTTTCATTAGTTGAGCACAGAGAACAATCCAAAGAACAATTCTGAGGAAACGCTATGAAAAGCTAGAATGAACTATTAGAATCGCTTCTTTAGCTTTTTCATTTTGAAATTTTGAAATTTGTGGAGGTAAAGAAAGTCGGCATAGATTGTAGTCGCAGAACGAAAAATACAGAGCGATACAGAGTCAAAAGCCGAGCGTAATAAGAACAGTTAGGTTAACTAAATCTAAGTTTTAACAGGCACAGGATTTAACTTGATAATTCATCAACAGGCTACCAAAAAGTGCCGTAGCTTAGGTATTCAGTTACAGCCTAGGTATTCTAATAGTTACAGTAAGTAAGTTACAGTCACAGTGAGTAATTTACAATTACAGTAAGTAATTTACAGTTACAGTAAGTAAGTTACAGTTACAGTAAGTAATTTACAGTTACAGTAAGTAATTTACAGTTACAGTAAGTAATTTACAGTTACAGTAAGTAATTTACGGTTACAGCCAGTAATTTACGGTTACAGTAAGTAATTTACAGTTACAGTAAGTAATTTACAGTTACAGTAAGTAATTTACAGTTACAGTAAGTAATTTACAGTTACAGTAAGTAATTTACGGTTACAGCCAGTAATTTACGGTTACAGTCAGTAATTTACGGTTACAGTAAGTAATTTACAGTTACAGTAAGTAATTTACAGTTACAGTGAGTTACAGTAACTTGGAGTGATTTGAAAAAACCTCTTGCTTTATTGATTCTCTGTGCAAATTTCAAAAGCTTAGCCTGGAAAGTTGTTTTTTAGATTATAAGGCTATAAGGCTGTTTTTTAGATTATGAGGCTATAAGGCTGTTCTTTAGATTATAAGGCCTACTAAGTAATTCACTAGATAATTCACTAGATAATTCACTAGATAATTACTAAGTAATTCACTAGATAAAGCTAAATCAAAAATAGAAAAACTAAACAATACACAGAATACAGTGATCTTTGCCCTTTAACACTTTCACATTTTCAGAGTAACATATTCTCAAGTGATCACCCTCACAAGGTAACATTCTTCTTCTTTCAAAAACAAAAAGAAAGAAGGCACACTGTAGAATGAATGTCTTTTATTGTTTCGAGAATGTTTTTGTGTTTTCCATTATTTTGCACTCAAATGTTTGTCCCTTTTAGTCAATTAGGCCTAATTTTGTAGCTTAAAAGCCTTCAATCAAAGCATCAACCAAAGCAAAAATCTCATTAACCTTAAGCAATCTTTTTTTTTCTAGAATAGAATGTCTTTACCCGATTTTCAGGTAAACGAAAAGATGGCACTGCACAAAAAATTTGAATCTTGACTTTTTTGAACTTGAACTTGAACTTTCATTATTGCTAACAAGTTACTAAAGCACGATTCTCACCTTTTATCGAAAATTATCGAATTTACCTTTTCTGTATAGGGTTTATCTGAAAAAGTCAAAATTTCACAAACTTCCGAATCAAAGTCATTTTTTCAGATGAACTCTTTACTTTTTATGGAATCCCATTTGAATTTTCAGGTTGTAAACGCTTTTGGCAATCAAAATACAAATGGATCGGTGATGAAACCGACGATCAAACCGAAATCATTCCCAAATCTTTCCATCATCAAATCGGGAAGTGAACCGCCGGTAACACAGAAGAAAAGTCTCGCTTTCTCGATCGATGATCGCGGTGAGTTTTATGAAATCTAACAACAGATTCTGCACTGGTCGTAGCTTGCAAGAATAGATCTTCAATTCTGAAAATTGAAGGGAATCAGGGAATCAGAATCAGGGAATCAGAATCAGGGAATCAGAATCAGGGAATCAGAATCAGGAAGTCAAAATCAGGAAGTCAGAATCAGGAAGTCAGAATCAGGAAGTCAGAATCAGGAAGTCAGAATCAGGAAGTCAGAATTAGGGAATCAGAATTAGGGAATCAGAATTAGGGAATCAGAATTAGGGAATCAGAATTAGGGAATCAGAATTAGGGAATCAGAATTAGGGAATCAGAATTAGGGAATCAGAATCAGAGTTGGTTTTTGGTTTTTCATTGTATTTGGACGGGTAATAGCTTCAATTTTGGTTAAAAAAGCCCTGTTGATCTTGAAAATGTAATCGTTTCTCAAACGTTGATATGATAAAAATGAAACCAGTAATTTTCTGATAGGTATCTAAAATTGAATGAATAAACATCTTCAATGAACATTGCCTTTACCCTTTGCAGACTTTGAACTAGAAAGAGAAGAACCAACCGATAGCCGTGAGTTTATAAAATAAAAACTCAGCATTTCAATGTCGTTAATTTCCTCATTTCAAAGCACGTTTAGCTTCTCAAAAAGCTATGCACTGAAGAAAAAGATTTAGAACTATTGTGAAGTCTGAAATTTCAGATATGACACCAATGATTGATGATGAAGAGACACCGGAAGAAATGATTCGAAATATCAAACCTGCAAAGAGATTACGATACTCACAGAGTTCAGTCTCTTATGATAATGTGTTGGAGAATATGGTTGAGGGGAAGAGACTTGGAGAAATATCGTGTAAGTTTTGCTCAATTTATCATACAGCATTGTAAGTCTTAGAGAAATGAATAAAACAATTCTAGAATGTCTTGAATAAAACAATTCTAACAATTTCCTTCAATTTTCAGCAATAATCTCAAACACAGCTCGACGTGATTTAGCTCAATTGGAATACGATTGGTTGGCTGCAGTTTTCGAAAGGATTTGTCTTATTTTCTTCATTGTCATGTTCATTTTGATGTCTTTTGGTATCAACGGAATCGGGGCATATTATTGGAAAAATGCGGTCAATGATCGAATTATGAAATAGAATTCATCAATTCTTTTTTTTTCTCTTCGATTCGGGTTCTTTTTTTCTGTGTCCTATCTTTTAATGAAGCTTTTCGAACTTTACAGCGTAAGTTTAGCAATTCATTGAGCTTCATATTTTTGATCGAACTTAATCTTGTGGTTTTTAAAATAAAAACATTCAAAAGCGTTTCATGCAGATATTTATTGACAAATATATGTCGTAGCCGCTTACGAAATTCAGCCGCTAACGAATGAGGGTATTTCCGGGCATCCAATCAAAAAGTCACCCACATAAAAAATGTTCATAATACATATATTTTATAATAAATTTTTGAAATTAGCTCATTTGGTCCAGTAGAAAAATTTTTTTGAGCCCCCAAAGTTTAGGTTCAAAAATGCCCTAAAATGGCTATAAAAAAATTTCTACTCAGCCAAAAAACTTGCCTAATAGCTCACTTTGTAGCCAATTTGATGTAGTTTCTTAAAGTAAAGCCATCACAAGCCAATCTATAGTTTTAACGTTTGAAAAGGCAAAACATCCAGAATTCGGAGGATTTGGGAGTGTTGGAATGCGAAATCATCCTGAATTAAACCCCGAAATATCTTTTTGACGCTTGCCCATGTGTTCGTTATAAATTAGAAAAGGGTTTCCACTCGGATTTGATCAAAATAAAAATTTTGATCGTTGAAGTTAAAAACAAACCGAAGAGGGTGAAATTTGGGGGGTGGGACAAATGCGACCTTTTTTTTGCGCACCTGGACATTTGCGCACCTTTTTTTTGCTGGAAAAGGCCTTAGGCAAGGCCGTAGAGCTTCGAAAATATTTCCATATAAGGGAATCGTATGCGTAGATTCCGAATTTCGACAAATCAGACCTCGCTGACACGTCAAATTTGTGCTAAAAGGCAAAAACTACGCAACTTAACGCTTTTCCGCAGTTTTTGCCTTTTAGCCCAAATTTGACGTGTCAGCGAGGACTGATTTGTCGAAATTCGGAATCTACGCATACGATTCCCCTCTGAGAAAACATTTTTGAAGCTCTACGACCTTTCCTAAGGCCTTTTCCAGCAAAAAAAAGGTGCGCAAATGTCCCGGTGCGCAAAAAAAGGTCGCATTTGTCCCACTCCCAAAAGAACAAATGTTTAAAAATCACGAAAGGTTATATAGTGCCCTTTAGAAAAAGATATTCAGCTAATAGCCCAAATCGGCCATCGCGTGTCAGCTTATGGTGTTGGCGGCGGCATAGAAATTTTTCTGATTTTTTCATTTGCAAAATTCAAGCGGTTCCAAAGGTTTAGCAAATTTAGAAGGTTTTTATGGTTTCGTCTCGATTTTGTTGATTTACTTCAAAGTATTCGAAATTAAAAAGCGTATCATCAACCATTTATGTCCTTTCATTTTGCTAAGTCTTTGAGAAAAGTTAACTCTTTGATCTTTTAGGTATATTCTCCCAACGCAAAATGGCCGATTCAGCTGACATCTACAAGGTATAAATTTATTTTTTTCATGTTTTAAGATGAAAGTTGTTTCTCGACGACTTAATTTGCACGTGCAACAGTAGTCAGCTCGTATCTTAGTATTAGCCAGTATTACTTGGTGTGGATGACAGATTATGATAGAGAGGGGATTAGGATGCTTACAGTCATCATTCTAATTCTTTGTTTTAGCTCATCACCAACGACGGCAAGGTTTTGGAAATTTCCAAGCAAGCAGCAGATCGATCGGGAATGCTTGTCGAATTGCTCAAGGTGAGCTTTTTCTTTTTGAATTGATGGTTGATATTGTAATCTGTAATCTTTTCATTTTTAGAATTGTCCAATTGATGATGTGAAGAACATGGATCCAATTGTGCTTGCCGAGGTCAACGAAACCATTGCCAAAATGGTACTTTAATTTATAACGACTTAATTAGCTATTTAGTTTTCAAGAGAGAGAGAGGACGTGGTAACTTTCGTAAAGACCTAGTATTTGATGTTTTAGGTTATCAAATGGTGTGAGGATCACAAGGATCTTCCAATTCTGACGGATGACAAGTCCATTACTCCGTTGGTCGTTATCTGGTGACGTTAAATAGTTTTTGTTTAGCCCTGAACCCAGCGAAGAAATCAAGAACATGGAAAAGGAGCTTCTGCAAGATTTGGATGGAAATGAGCTTTGTGATCTCTATCAGGTTTGTTTGTTGCAATTGTAACATACCAGTGTGGGCTTAGGCTTCCAACTGGATGGATGTTCGCTGCTTGCGCCTGGAGATTTCAAAGATTCTTGCTGCAATGGTCTCGGTGAGATTTTCAAATAAGCTAAGCCATTTTCTTATTCAGGGGAAAAAATACACTGAGATTCGCACTCTCTGGCAACTCGAGGGTGATTTTACGGCCGAGGAGGAAGCTAAACTCAGGTAAAAGTTTTTATTCTCAAGCTAACAATTATGCAAGATCACTTCTTGCGAATTTCGAAGCCAGTATTAGCTTTAAAGACCGGTATTAAATGCTATATTATTTCTTTTTAGCACGGTGGATTCCTTGGAGTACTTGACCGAGTTAATTACAAAGCACGAGGAGAAAGCCACGGAAGACGGGGCGGCAAACCTTGACCCCATGACTGTCGATGAATAATTAGTGTTCCTCTCTGTATTTCCATATTGTATGTTGCAATTCATTTTGTGGTTACTGCCCCTTGTATAATGTTTCAATAATGTGCAATTGATTGAATAAATGTTTCATTGCTAAAACCAGCCAAAGTTGAAATTAAACGAATAAACAGATTTAAAATTGGGCTATCGGTTTTTGCAGATCACTGCATTGACCATAAGATAAATGGGGCTTCGTTTGTATTTGTTCCGAATCTTTGGTGATTCTATTCTCCAGGAGTTGAAAGTCTGTCAGTTAGAGCATCGCCTTTTTGGAGACTAAGTTTCCGAGAACGTAGGCTTTGCTATATCAAATCTGCTCAATTCTTTGTCGTTTTATGTTTGATTTATTGCTTCTAACAAAATCGCTGCCTTTTGTAAAAGAGTGGCATATTGAAGAAGTTAGAATCCATTCATAAAGGCCAGCCGTTTTTTCAATGATGACCCTTCTGGTTAGCCTTTTTGAACGAAAATCACAGTTCATTTTGGGAAAAGAAATGTTACTGTTGATTCTCCCAAAAAATGTTACCCATATTCTTAAAAGCTCGTTAAATGCACGATTTTTTTCAAACAGTAAAGGGTTCATTATTAATTCTCATTGGTTTTGGAAATCTTCTGGGTTGATAGCGCTCAAAATTTCAGAATGATTCTACAAATAATTTCTCTCTTTTGTCTATTTTGCGCCACAGCCTTGACTTGGCCCGATCCGAAATTGAGAACGAAAGGACAAATCCGCCTTTGACGGGAAAGTGAAGAAGACCTTTTGAAGGTGGTTTCACGCCATCAACAGATCAACATCGACCAACGCGGGGATTGATTGGAATTGTCGGGATGTTGGTGGGAATTCTGAAAAGGAGTGCAAAGTGTGATTCTCTCAGCAATGTGGTTTTTACTCGACAAATATTTGCATACACGGCTTAGGCTATCAAAGATTAGCAGATTCAAATCTGTTATCAAATCCAGTCTCTTATCAGTCAGTAATCGGGACTGTTGGAATTAGAGTGAACTTTTAAGGGCAAGCATTCAGAAGGAATGTCAGTTTAAAAAATCAAAATATAGAATCGCGGAACACTTGTGTGAGGGTGTACGGTCTTTTTCAAACAACCTACCGTATTTATTATAATAGAAGCACATGTGCTTCTAATTTTCAACCCCTTCCTAAAATTGCTTCTACTGTGCTTCAATTAGAATAAATACGGTAATCCCCCGAAAAGCCTCGGCGATAGCTTGAAAGAGTTTTTGATCCACAAAAAGCACATAAACCAAAAACGCAGAGCAAGTAAAAACCAAGAAAAAGCTAAAGAAGAACGGATTTTGTAGACCCCTTCTTGAGGCACAAAGAATAGGAGGAAAGTGAAAGAAAAAGAGGAAACAAGGGAGGGTAAGGAAAGGGGAAATAAGGGGAACTAGCTCACTGTCTAGCAGGACTATCTACAGGTTGTTGAATGAGAAAAAGAAGGGAAAAGAAAGGAAAAGGTTCAGCGCTATCCATAGTGGATGTTGAGGGGAGGGAAGGGGTGGAAGGGACCAACACGGGAATTCGAGACCCCAAAAGAGAGGGGACAAGTCCCGCCCTTCCATCACCTCCATCCATTCCGTCACATCTCATTTCATCTCAAACATCTTCAGACAATACATAAACGAGATTTGTGGCGATATGTTTTAAAAGGACTTGGCGAGGAAAGCTACTACTGAATTCGGAGGAATTCAGTAGTAGGTTTCGGTGAATCATTTTTTGGGAGAATCAACAGTGACATTTCTTTTCCCAAAATGAACTGTGATTTTCGTTCAAAAAGGCTAACCAGAAGGGTCATCATTGAAAAAACGGCTGGCCTTTATGAATGTATTCTAACTTTTTCAATACACCACTCTTTTATAGAAGGCAGCGATTTGATTGAAGGCATTTAAAATATCAAATTTCCCGTATCAAAATGGATTCGAATGAGAAAAGGTTTCAATTTTTGAGTCTACCCTGAATGTAAATGCCAAAACTATGATACCAATAATCCCGCAATAATAAACAGTAGTGATTTCTTGGATCTAAAAAGTAGTGTTTGCTTCTTCTTTAGTCAAAAAGGCGATGCTCTAAATGACAGACTTCAACTCCTGGAGAATAGAATCACCAAAGATTGGGAACAAATACAAACGAAGCCCCATTTATCTTATGGTCAATGCAGTGATCTGCAAAAACCGATAGCCCAATTTTAAATCTGTTTATTCGTTTAATTTAAACTTTGGCTGGTTTTAGCAATGAGACATTTATTCAATCAATTGCACATTAGTGAAACATTATACAAGGGGCAGTAACCACAAAATGAATTGCAAAATACAATATGGAAATACAGAGAGGAACACTAACTACTCATTGACAGCGACAGATTTGAATCCTCCTCGGGTTTGCCGCCACGTTTTCCGTCGCTTCTTCGTGCTTTGTAATTAAATCGGTCAAGTACTTAAAGGAATCCACCTTGCTAAAAGAAATAATATAACATTTAATACCTTAAAAGCTAATACTGGTTTCGAAAGTAGCAAGAAGTGATCTTGCATAATTGCTAGCTCGAGAATAAAAACTTTTACCGGAGTCTAGCTTCCTCCTTGGCTGTAAAATCACCCTTGAGTTGCCAGAGAGTGCGAATCTCAGTGTATTTTTTCCCCTGAATAAGAAAATGGCTTAGCTTATTTGAAAATCTCACCGCGATCATTGTAGCAAGAATCTTTGAAATCATCTTACGCAAGCAGCGAACATCCATCCAATTGGAAGCCTAAACCCACACTGGTATGTTACAATTGAAATAAACAAACCTGATAGAGATCACAAAGCTGATTTCCATCCAAATCTTGCAGCAGCTCTTTTTCCATGTTCTTGATTTCTTCGCTGGATTCAGGGCTAAAAAACTATTTAACGTTACCAGATAACGACCAACAGAGTAATTGACTTGTCATCCGTCAGAATTGGAAGATCCTTGTGATCCTCACACCATTTGATAACCTAAAATACCAAATACTATGTATTTACGAATCCACGTCCCCCTCTCTTGAAAACTAAATAGCTAATTAAGTCGTTATAAATTAAAGTACCATTTTGGCAATGGTTTCGTCGACCTCGGTGAGCACAATTGGATCCATGTTCTTCACATCATCAATTGGACAATTCTAAAAATGAAAAGATTACAGTTTGCAATAGCAACCATCAATTCAAAAAGAAAAAGCTCACCCTGAGCAATTCGAGGAGCGTTCCCGATCGATCTGCTGCTTGCTTGGAAATTTCCAAAATCTTGCCGTCGTTGGTCATGAGCTAAAACAAAGAATTAGAACGATGACTGTAAGCATTCTAATTCCCTCTTTATCATAATTTGTCATCCACACCAAGTAATACTGGCTAATACTAAGATACGAGCTGACTACTGTTGCACGTGCAAATTAAGTCGTCGAGAAACAACTTTCATCTTAAAACATGAAAAAAATAAAGTTATACCTTAATGAAGACATCTGAACCAGTCATTTTTGCACTGTTCTGCACAAAGCACCACAAAGCACAGGATATACCTAAACGACCAAAGGGCTACCTGCTCTCAAAGGTTTAGTAAAGTGAAAGAACATAAAATGGTGGCACTTTGGTGGTTGGGAGGGGCCGCTTTTATCCTGGCTTAGTTGGATCTAATATTTTGAGTGGTCGTATTAATACCTTTTATCTACCTATTCTAGGGTGACCAAATATGCTTATACTTTTAAAGCATTTACAACATGTTCCAAGTTTCATATCGCCGTTTTTAATTGATTTTCAAGTGTAAACAGCTTGAAGTAAATCGACAAATTGTAGAAGAAACTATTTAAAACCCTCTAACTTTGATAAACCTTCCGAATCGCTCGAAGTTTGCAACAAATGACAGGAAATTCTTCGCCCTCACCGTTATCATAAGCCGACTCTAGTCACCAATCGATTAAGCATACTTGGTTAAATTAGAATAGATAAAAAGTACCAATACAACCACTCAAAACATTAGGTCCATCCAAACCAGGATATAAGTAGCTGCTCCAAACCACTAAAGTACCTAAACGGTTGACGATAAGCCTTTTAATTGCGAGTACTTTAAAGTAAATCAACAAACCGTAGAAGAAACCACTTAAAACCCTCTAACTTTGCTAAACCTTCGGAACCGCTCGAAGTTTGCAACAAATGACGGGAAATTCTTTGCCCCCACCGTCACCATAAGGCGACTGTATCATTTATAGCCGATTTGGGCCATTAGCTGAATATCTTTTCTCCTAGGGGCACTATATAACCTTTTTTCAAAATTTGTTTACGTGATTTTTTTTAAACATTTTTGGTTTTCAAATCTCACCTTCTTCGGTTTGTTTTAAACTTAAACGCTCCAAATTTTTAGTTCGATCGAATCCGAGTTTAAAGCTCTGTTCCAATTCATAAGAAACACATGGGCAAGCGTCAAAAAGAGATTTCGTGGCTGAATTCACGATGATCTCGCATTCCGACACACCCAAATCCTCCGAATTCTGGATGTTTTGCCTTTTCAAACGTTAAAACTATAGATTTGCTTGTGTAAGAGTAACTTTTTTTGTAAACTCAATCTTCTTAGGTTAAATTCTCTTCTAAACTAAAAGTTGCATCTAAAAGGCTTTGTTAACAAGTCTGAATTGCGGCTCTGACTCCGGGTGACTTCTAAAGTACATAAATACCCAGGTATGTTAAGAATTAGTTCTTATAAATGCAAAACTCGGGGCTAGAGTAGTTGGTGGGGGTGGGGGGCAGTCTGGAACTTAACCCAAAATCAATATTCTTCTACGAAAATAAGCAGATAGGGGTTTTTGACTATGCTGAATCGACTAATAATACTTTTATAACTTTCTATTGATTTTATCTTTGATTTTTACAACATCGAAGAACAAAACGCAACAAGGACAACAAAAATGCAACTCATAAAGTCAAGAAGATTAAGTGAGAGGGTCTTCTTGGCCACTTCGTCCCAGAAAAGGTAAATCAATTTTTCAGAATTGTGTTGCCATTTCCACGAACTTCAAAAAAATCATCGTCCCACAGCTCACCCTTTCTCATCCGAATTTTTGTTTTTAGTTGCCTTCAAATTGACTCAATCGCTTGAGTGCGAACACCAGTAGCTCGATTTTCAAAATTTTGTGAATTCTTGTGAACAAAATCCTTGGTTTCTATTTGCTTTGTTTTTTTTTTTGATTTGTAAGGCGTTCGATCTCGATTTGAATTTGAGACAAACAAGGGAATTTTGAGCTTTGATGATTTTGCTCATGATCAGATTCCGGCTTGTTGAAAATAATTGGGAAAATGACCCTTGCTATGCCTTAATTCAGACTTTTAGTATCAAATACTTGATAATTTTGTTTCCTGGCAATTTCGGCACTGCTGGATTTGGAAGTTTTAGTCTGACCTACGCTCCCATAATGTTTTCGCACCTACCATGTACAAAATCTGGAACGACTTAGATGCAAATTATCTCCGCCGCACCGTCGACTCTGTAAAGAAGCGAATTGAAGCCTGTATCAAAGCGGATGGAGGCCACTTCGAAAATTTCTTGTAATTATTAAATGCTTTTGTTGCAACTATTATATAAATAAATATTTTTACATGTTCTTTGAAAGAAAATTAAATTATGGTGTTTTCTTTGGCGCACTTAATTTTCAGCCACCCTGTATTAAAGTGGCTCTTCACTTCCTTCAGCCGACTCTTCACCGTCTTCCATCTTTCGACAAGTCATCTATCTCTTAAACTTTCGTAAATAAATAGATTGTTTAAATAAATAGATAAATAAATAGACTTGTTCACAGCTAAATTCTGAAAAAGGACGCTCTTTTAGATATAAAACATTGTTAGAAGTTTGAAACTTTCGCAATGACGTTTTCATTCTCACTTTCTATTTCTATTTCTATGTTTCTTTATCTTCCCCAGCTAATAACTTGAAAAATTGTTAGATTCCTTTGCAATTTTTGTGACTGAAATGAATATGAACAGTGAAAATGAAAAAAAAACAGACAAAAACGTTTCAGCAAGCGTTTGAATGGATTGTTTATTTGTTGAACTTTTTACTTCCTATTCTAAACTTCAAATGTTTCAATCATTTCGCTGATTTTGATCAGAAAACATCCAACAATGCTCCAATTGTTCATCTTTATTTTATTAATTTCTTTTACTCACACACAATTCGTGCTTTTCGTTCAAGAGTGTGATTTCGTGGGTAACACTCCCGAAAATGTGGAATGGTTTGAGAGAAATGAGCATATAATTTCGAAGAGAAAGGTAAGAATTGAATTGATCGATGGAATGATTTGATTCTTTTCAGAACTCAAGGTTTCACTGTTATGATATCAATTTGGATGTCTCAGGGACATTTTTGACATTAAACAAGAAGAAAATCTCGTATCTACCAGCACGTTGTGAGGTAAACTTTAAGTTTTTTTACAAAATCTCAATTTATCTGAATTGTCAACGTAAACTTTATCTTCTTTACCAGTTAAACACGGAAAGTAATCTCTTTCTTTCAACAAATCGAACTCGATTCACACAAATTCCTGATCAATTCACTGTCGCTATTGGCCAAAAATACTTTGAAAAACATCGATCGAAAATGATTTGTATGGTAAGCTTAAAGTTTTTTTAAAATTAATTCCTTTAAATCCTAACATTTTCAGAAATCTCCAGCTTCCATTGAAGTTCTAAACATTTTCTATGATGTAAACGAGGAAAAAGAACCATTCAACGAACAATATGAATGTGACATGTTAAAATGTGATCTCAAAGAATTGAAGTAATGATAAATCATTCGAATATGAATTGTGACACAGATACAAATAATTCATTGATCGATTTCTCGCAACTTTCAGAGTTTATCGGCTTTTAATGTCCTCGATGATGTCCTCCAGGAAATGGGATTGTCGGGATGTTGGTGGGGATTCTGGAAATCAAATAAAAGGGAAGAGTACATTAGCTAAAAATTTGAGATAATGGTAAGAGTGCGTGTCTACAAGTCTGTTTTAAACTGTAAAATGAAACCAAACCGATGCCCAACTCACTGCATTTTCCTTTTTAAACCCAGACACAATTTTTAGTCAGTTATTTCATCAAAATTTATATTATAAATAACAAATCAATTGTTTATTTTTGTTCTTTTTGTTAAAGGGAAAACAGTTGATGAAAAGTGACCAACAAAACTGAAAAAAGGCTCGTATACAGGTTAAAGTTTTGTCAAAATAGATCCTTATCACTGTTATTATTTAAATATGTATCAAAATTCATTACTTTTTTGATATTTTGTTAGTCTAAAACTTATATGACAATATGACAAATCAAATTTGTGCCCATTTTTGTTCTGTATCTTTCCTACAAAACTCTCTTTATTCAAAGGAAACATACTTCCGACTACCATCTGTTCCGATCAATGCACCAGTCCATGGCCGAGAAAAAGTTCATGAACCGCGACGAGGTCCAAATTTGGGTGTCCAACTTCTTCGAGTCGCAGCCGGTCGAGTTCTTCAAGAATGGCATCCATTCTCTGCATGAACGTTGGCGACAAGTCATTGATGCAGATGGCGAATACCTTTTGGATTAATGTATTGTTATCTTGTTTTTATAATAAAATAAACTTTTAACGAAAACGCGCATTTCTTTTTTACCAACCTAATAGTTTGGATTAGTTTTAAAATTAACACTTTATAGATTCAGAAAGTTAATTTATTACAAATACAAGTAGCAAAATTGTCAAAACTGTCAAAATTATGTATTCAATTCAAAACTGTCAAAATTATGCATTCAAACGACGCCAAACACGACATTTTTTCTTTGGATTCATTGGAGAGCCAGCCTGAATTTTGTTCATTTTATTTAAACAACATTTAACTTACAGGACACTTGAAGGCGTTGGCAAAATGCTCAAAATCTTTGAGTTGCTGAAAATGATTGTTGCTAAATGATAGATTTTTAAATGCTAAATACCTCATTTGGTCTGATTTGACTAATGGGATGACTGTCGCCGTATTGGTCTTGCAATAAATTTTCATCAGAGGCGGTTTCGCAAAAGAGCTAGAGTGTATATGTTGTATAGGATTTCGATTTTTATCCAATTTCGATTGAAACATTATTGCAAAGTATGGTATTATGTTTGTTAAATTTTTTTAAAATGTTTTTAATCATTTTCTAGAGATTTCATAAAAGTTTAACCTAGAAAAGCCCGTTAGCACCACATTTTGCCGAAAATAATAGTTTATTCACGCGTTTTGATATGCTTTTCTTTGAATTCACAGCAAGAAAGTCTTTTTTGGCAAAATTTGATGCTAACGGGCTGCTCTAGGTTGCCAGAGTTAAACTTTTATGAAATTCCTAGAAAAGATTTTAAAAACATGATACTATACTGTGCAATTTTTCAATCCAAATCAAATATCTGATTTGGATTGAATCTAAATCGGATACAACATATCATAAATACTGTAATAGTACCCCACCCTCATAATGACGGTGCGGAGTGTTGTGTAGTCTAGCTTTGGATGCGTTTTTCTCGACACTGGTTTATGCTACAATGCTCGCTTAGGTATCAAAAAATAGCTGAAATCCAGTGCTATTTTTTGATACCAAAGACAAATTTTTTGAAAGTACGCGTGCTTTGCAAAAAATGAAATACTAAAAAACTTTTGCGACTACGCGACTGTACGAGGGGGGTGGGGTACTATTACAGTATTTACGGTATATATTGCAATACTTAATCCATAAAGTTTACCTGAGCCGCACCCAAGAAGAAAATCTGATCGTTGTTGTATTGATCAAGTCCGGGCAATTTTTGAGATTTCTTCCCATCACGGCGAGCTAATGCCTTTCTGTAGGCCTGTGATTTTCATAAAATAAAGAAAAGCTTAAATCAAACTTTGTAAGCAACTCTGATTCCACCTAGATCAGAAACGTCTTCTCCCCATGTGAAGTGTGGATCTTGCTAAAAGTTACTAGTTATAAAAGCTCTGGTTATAAGAGCTCTGGTTATAAGAGATCTCTGAATTGGATCTTTATTCAAAGATCATTATTTCTTTATTCAATCGCGAGTTTGTTTAACTCAAGTAAACCCACACTAACAGTTCCGTTTGAATGACTCAGTGGAACAGTAACATTCCCATATTGATCCACAACACATTGAACTTTTCTGTCAAAAGCTTTCAAATCCTCTTTCGTTAGCCAATTTCGCTTAAGCCCTATAAATCGTGGAATGATCTTCTGATCGTATAAATGATTCAAATACTTTTTAAAAGCTCGTAGTCAAACGTTTTAGCCGCTGAAAAACATTGATTTCTTTTTAAATAAGATTTTTGTCACATTTAACCTTTAAAGGTAAAAATTTAAAAAAAAAAACCGATAAAAATTTGCCTTCTTAAGCTTTTATGTTCCTCAGTTTTCTAAAAAGTAATTTTTCCAGATCTAGGTGGAATTTCATTTTACCTCTAATATTAGGATCAATTGAATGTGTGATCTCATGTCCGATAATCATTCCCATTGATCCATAATTGATCTCTAATGGATAATCCCATGCAAACATCGGTTCTTCAATTATTCCAAGGTAAATCTCTAAAAATTTGAATGTGGGGAATCAATTAGCAATTTTACGGAATTCCGTTCCTCTGTTTTGAGCATTCACAATAATAGCTGCAGGATCATTCCATCCCTGAACAGGCAATCATTTAAATATACGATCAAATTTGAAAGCCACACTCAAAGAGTTGCAAAAGCATATACAGTACCGAGCAAAAGTCTTGCAACATCACTTTTTCAAAAAAATCAATGAAATTTTTTTATAGAAAATGCCACCCGTTCGTAGCGCTTTTTTGTTTTTAATTAGAATAATACATGCACACTTTATTTACAAAAACAAATTTGAAGTTCAGCGTAAAACAAAAAAGTAAATGACAAAACTACTAAAAAATACCCTAAAAACTGGGTGCAAAAGTCTTGCAACATTCTATGTTTCTCTTTTTTATTGTTTTCAAATTTATTAATTTACACTAATTTTTGTTTTTTTCAGATGCCAGGTACCTACTTGACGACTTCCGAAAGAGAAAAAATCATGAAAGCAAGAAAAAAGGAATTTCTCGAGCCGTTGTCTCCGATCTCTTCAAATGCAATCCGCGATCCTTCGACCGTTTCTCACATTGTTTCAAAAGCAAAAACAACTGGACTTATGCACCGAAGAGAGAAGAAAGGACGGCCAAGAAGAACAAGAGCAGAAGAGGATCGAATACTTGTGATGGCTTCCAAGAAGGATCCGAACATGACATCAACTGAGGGAGCTCGGCTGATTAAGGATGTTGCAAACAAGGATATCTCTCGATAGACCGTTTCTCGACGATTGACTCAAGCAGGACTGTACAGCCGGAGAGCTGTACAAAAGCCTTTGATGACCGCTGGCCACAGGAAACAACGGCTTCTATTCGCCAGGACGTACCAAAGTTGGACAAAGCAGGATTAGGCCGACGTGATTTTTGTCGATGAAACAAAAGTGGATATCTTTTCTCCAAAAGGCAACCACTTAATCAGATGACCCATTGGAAAGCAAATACTTCTTTAATGTGTGCAACCTACAATGCGAGCTGGCGGAGAATCAATCATGTGTTTTGGTAAGCCTTATCTCTAATACATGCATTAATTTGTCTTTTTCTAGGGGTGATGACAAAAAATGTGGCAGGTCCGCTCGTCCTCGTCCAGTCAACCATGAATGCTCGCCAGTATATGGAAATACTAGAAGGATGTCTACTTCCATTTGCTCAGGATCACATGGCTCCTGAATGGTTTCTCTACCAGGACAATTCGCCGGTTTACAAGAGCAAGCTCATGATCGGTCACACGGTGAATCTCTTAATTGGAGGAAAAGCGCATCTCCCTGGATGGTTTGCCCTTAATAACGTTTTGTTGATCAATGTGCCCTCTATGTCGCCTGATTTAAACGCTATTGGAAATTTATGGGCTTACGTGAAGGCAAAGTTACGAGGAAAAGACTTTCACACAAAAGTTGACTTATGGTTCTACATACGAAAAGTTTGGAGCTCAATTCGCCCAGCAATTCTTCACGAATTAGTCGACTCAGTGCCTAAACGACTTAATGAAGTGATTTTGGCAAAAGGTGGACCGATTGAATATTAATTTTTGATGTTTCTGTATAATGTTGCAAGACTTTTGCACCCAGTTTTTAGGGTATTTTTTAGTAGTTTTGTCATTTACTTTTTTGTTTTACGCTGAACTTCAAATTTGTTTTTGTAATTAAAGTGTGCATGTATTATTCTAATTAAAAACAAAAAAGCGCTACGAACGGGTGGCATTTTCTATAAAAAAATTTCATTGATTTTTTTGAAAAAGTGATGTTGCAAGACTTTTGCTCGGTACTGTATAAGAACCAAAAAAGTGTACTCGAAATACGGCAAAATGAAAGATTTAAATATACGCCCAAACCTGAAACTCCGTTTTAGCTTGGAATGAAGAAGCCACGTTTTGATAATCCCAGAAAGTTGGTGCATCGAATGGAGTAAACTAAATCATTTTCGCATTTTCACATACCGTATTCTCTCTAATAGTACACTCTAATAGTACACTCTCTAATAGTACACTCTAATAGTACACTCTCTAATAGTAGTGCACTCTTTAATAGTATTGCGATCCGAGAGGGGGTTGAAAAAATAGTAGTGCACCCACGAAAATTTGAATTTCTGGTGCTTCTTTTTCATCTAAACCTTTTTGACTTTATGTTTATGTGACATTCTAAAGCTATTCAAGCAAGCAAAAGTGAGGCTTTTTTTATTCATTTTTAAACTATTCTTTACATGAAAAAGTTGGCAAAAGAATCTAAAATTGTTGTGCAAAGTGCTAAAACATCTTTTTGTTCTTTGCCAAACACAAACAATTACTACGGTAATTGTCAACTCGCCGACCCACAACTGTATGTCAAAAGGAGCCAAAGGAGTACGTGAAAGAATTGCAAGAATTTTTGGAACAAATCTTATATCTGTCTTACTTTGGTAACTGATAAAACTCTTTAATAGTATTGCGGTCCAGGAGAGGGTTGAAAAAAATAGTATTGTGCACTACTATTAGAGAGAATACGGTAATTGTTATCTACAAAAATTTCTAAACCATACATTTTGATAAAAAGCATCGAGCTTTTGCGAATCCCATCGCTCTTTTGGACCAATAGAGAATTTGATCTCCTTGATCTAAAGCTCTTGATCTTCTTGATTCGATTTTTAGACTCACATATTGATAAACTTTTTGAAGAGCTTCTTTGCTAATCCATTTCTCACTTTTGAGCATCTCCAAATAGTTTTCGTGCACATCTTCAGCTAGTGCCTGAACGTTGAGTTGAATTATTAAAAATCATCGCTAACTTTTAATGGAGCAAGATTCTTTTCCTTTGTGATATGACTCAAGAAGAAATCGTCAATCCAACGCTCACTTCCAGAACTTGCTATTCTCGTTGTACACTTCTCCGCGAGTGACTGACTGACTGAGAAAATTTGCTGTAAGTATTGATAGTTGTTTGGAATATGATTGTGATTACTTCATGGAGTTGTCGATATGGAGCACCAAACATTAGGTCAAGTTGGCGCAGCTTTTCATTTTGCACCGAATCAAAGTAAAAAGATTGTGCGGATTCAGTATGTAGAAGATCGCTTAGCTAAATGTTTCAAAGATCAAGTTTTAAAAGAGCTACCGTAAATACTGTAATAGTACCCCACTCCCTCGTACAGTCGCGTAGTCGCAAAAGTTTTTTAGTATTTCATTTTTTCCACAGCACCCGTACTTTCAAAAAAATGCGTCTTTAGTACCAAAAAATAGCTGAAATTCAGGGCTATTTTTTGATACCTAAGCGAGCATTGTAGCATAAACCAGTGTCGAGAAAAACGCATCCAAAGCTAGACTACGCAACACTCCGCACCGTCATTATGAGGGTGGGGTACTATTACAGTATTTACGGTAGATAGATTGGATTTAGAATTTAACCAAGAGTTTTGGTTTCTACACAGACTTCTGCTAAATAAAATAAATCATCGGTGACGAAATCAAATGAAAGATCAGCGACGTCAATATTCAAAAAGTTCGGCATGAAAATTCGCTTCCAGGGATACTAAATTATTGAAATACAAGAAAAACTACAAAAAACCCTTACAACAGGATACTCGTTTTCAAGTTCAGCAATTGTCATTTGTCTTCGAAGTGTGTTGGTCGATCCTTTCAATTTTAGTTCAAAGTCTTTGGTTACAGCCTGAAAGTGATAAGAATTTGTTTTAAAACTCTGTAAAAAGCTTGATACTACAACATACTACAACTACAACTACTACAACTACAACTACAACTACTACAACTACAACTACTACAACTACTACAAACTACAACAACTATAATGAAAATTTTACCAAATGAAAACTTACTTCATTCAAGCGTTCATTGAATGCTATAAAAGTCAGAATTCGCTGAGCCATCTCTTCATTAATATCCGTCGAATAGACATCATTTGCTAACATTGTCATTAACTAAAAAACAGAATAAAGAAAGCAATAGATATAGATTGTCTGACCTTGACCAAGTACTTGGAATTCTTGTCGAGAGCCTCTTCTGAGACCGCAAAACGGTTTGCCATCAATTTCTTAAATAAATTTAATTTGAAATGACAAAAGAGCTGATTTTAGCTGATTTGCTATATAAAAGATGATATAAACTAGACTTCGGAAAACAAAACTTAACCAAAACCAAAACTACCAAAACCAAAACCATAACAAAACCAAAACCAAAACAAACCAAAACCAAAACCAAAACCAAAACTAACCAAAACTCGCCAATATCTCGCGACTGGGAGGAGCTAGCGAAAATCTCTTTGCAGATTTGAAATCAGCATCCAAAAATCTATCCCATAGGCTATTTTTTGTTTCGAAATTTCGAGGTCGTGTTTTGGTCCTTTTTTCGGCCGCGAGATTTTGTGGAGTGAGAAAAAGTGAAAGGCAAATTTGCATTTTACAATTTTAAATTTACATTTTACAATTTTAAATTTACATTTTACAATTTTAAATTTACATTTTAATTTATATGCAAATTGAGTTTTGGTTTGTTTTGGTTTTGGTTTGTTTTGGTGTTTTGGTTTTGTTTGCCGAACTCTAATATAAACGATTTTTTAAACATACGTAAACAGGTGGATCTTCTGTTATCGGCATTATATAAAGAAACGGCATTTCACCAGTTTCAAAAGCATCAACTTTCTCTCCCAATACACGATTGGGTGTCAGAAAGGGCAATCCAAAATCGTTGGCCAAATACGGAACAAGTGGCCTAAATATTTTTTAAATTAATACAGATTTGAAGAAATAGATACAGATTCAACTTAGACTTAAGCTTAAGTCTGCACTAAACCCTTGTAAATATTGTTTATTCGTGCTCCAGAAATGCATGTTTCTCGGCACAAAATAAAGAACAGTTTAAAGTAAAAAGATTGCAATTAAAACTCTAGACTTTACTTGATTCCATCCTTGTCAATGTTGAGACAAAGCTGATAAAGTTTTGCGACTCGTTTGTCAGCGATTGATGCATTCGGATTGAAGGGCGCTTCAGCCAAATAGTCTAAAAGAAGCAAACATTGTAATAAGATAAAAAGAATAAACATTGTAATAAGATAAAGTATCTTATCACCATGTAAGAAAACATCCATTTTCTTTCAATTAATACGGTTTTTAAAAACAAAAAAGTTCTACAGGGAGTCGAACCCGGATTGTGTGGGTTGTAGACGAGCGCGCTCTCGACTGAGTGACGGAAACGTTACGTTCTAACAGGGGACGGTCCCCTGTCAGAAAAACCAGCTGTTAGCCAGGTTCAGCGGCTTAGCAGAAAAAACCCGTTGTTAAGCTTAAATTTTAAAGAACAGACTTTGCACGATTCCCATTTGTCTCTTCTTTGCGTTCCCGATCACACTTGCTTCGGTACCATCGTTGATTAATGGATGGGTCTTAAATTTTAGGCAATATTTAAAAACAATGGCAATTCTAACTGGCAAATCTAACTGGCAAATCTAACTGGCAATTCTAACTGGCAATTCTAGCTTTTATCTTTTAAGCAATTACCATCTTGTAGCCACCGCATGCAAATTCGTAGAAATCCTCGCATGGATCAATCGCTGGATCAATCGCGTTTAACTAGATTTTTGTGTTTTTTAGTTTTTGAAATTCTAATTATAGACTTACAAGCATACTAGCCGCCCTGGTGCATCCAGAAGTCGTGCAAACTTGCGAGCTTTGAATCGACTTCGAGTCAACGGATAAGAGCAAAACCAGAAGCCACCAAGATTGACCCATCTATAAGATTCATTTTCTTTCAACTAATACGTTTTTTAAAAACAAAAAAGCGCTACAGGGAGTCGAACCCGGTAAACTTGGTCGAACTTTTTGAGCAAATTTTAATTAGAAAATGAGAAAAGCCAATGTGTTTTTAAGCATAAAACGCAAATCCTAAAGATTAAACTTTCACCAGAAAAAATCTAACATTTTAATGAGAATTCTTTCAAGTTAAAGACTTAATCATTTAAAAAAGCTTTCTATTTATAGAGTTGCAAACAATACTTGATGATTCTGCCATTTTAAAATCAAAAATTCTTTAGTTTGTGTTTTGTATGGTTTAAATTCAAAGCTTTAAAAAGCTTTTCTTTAAAACTTTTCAAATATCAAAAGAATAACTTTCTAAAGGTTTTAGAAATGTTTTTCTTTTCAATTTTGAAAAATAATTTAGAGGTATGTTTCTATTCAGTTTTTCTTTTGTCAACTACTTTTTCAAAAGACTTCAAAAGACAAAAGAGAAATGCAATTTGATCAAATTTGATGCTGAAGATTTATTCAAAAACAAAACATATAACGTATTTTCTCTAATAGTAGTGCACCCAGCGAGCCGAGTTGGTGACTATTTTACGGTTTTCAAGTTTTTACAGAAGCTCAATGGTCTAATCCCCCCACTAGATCTCATCGTCAGCTACATTTTCCGACCTCACATCGATTGGTTCTGATAAGCGGTTCTCGAGATTTCGAGGAATTTAGGCAAACCTTAAGGTGAATTCCCTAATAGTGCACCCTGCCGAGTTAGTGACTATTTTACGGTTTCAAAGTTTTCCCAGAAGCTCAACACTCAAATCCCCCACAAGATCTCATCGTCAGCTACATTCTACATCGATAGGTTCTGATAAGTGGTTCTCGAGATTTCGAGCAATTTACACTCAGGGTGCAAAGTATTCGAGAAAATACGGTATACAGATGTCTTGATTGTTCTCAAGAATTGAGGAGAGTTTTGCTTGGGAATCTCTATTGATGTCCGCTTTGATCAGTCGGATCGGCATTGTGGAGAGGCCGGTTGGAAGACTGGAAATTGAATATTTTTTAGAAATTTCATAAATTAAACATAATATGGACAATTAGACACAGTTAGACATAGGTTTTAAACTAAAAGTTCCACATAAAGTTTACGTTGGTGCTGAGGTTGTGTTTCCTTGACAATTCAACGATTGGAGCTCCCGTTGAATGCACGGGTTTACTGAAAAAGATGGGGAATTGTTGGATTGGTGTAGTTGGATCTTTTTTTTCTGTGCTTTGTAACTTATTCTCACCGTTTTCCACAATGATCCATTCTTTCCATTGACATTGACTTCCATTGACTTCCATTGACAAGTTGCATACAACGACTCATGATTAGTTGTCCATGAGATGAGGCTCCATGTCCACCTCCTTCTCCTCCTCCAGTCAAAAGTCGTAAAAGCTTGTGAGCTTGTGTACTCCTCAAATTCCCGTCCATTTATACCCTCCACCAACTCCAATCTACCTTTGTTTCAATGATCGACTAACTCTTTCTATTATCAAAATTTCTGAACTTTCCAGACAAGGCTAAAAATAAAAACAGATAAATAACACAAGAATCATTTATTTTTATTTATTTGCAGAAAGCTAGCATAAACCAAAAATCGATAAAAAAATGTAAATTTATTTCTTTGTTCTAGAAAAGGACTTTACTAGAACTTATTTATGAAAGCGAAGTGAATAGGTTGTCCAGTTATAAGTGCGCGTTCTTAAGATAACAACTCTTTATTTTAAAACCAACAGTTTAACAGCTCAATCAACAATATATTCACCATTTGTTAACAATATTTGTTTCCATCTTCCATGCAAAGAATGAACTCCCTCGGCCTAAAAATTGGCTTGTTTTAAGGCAAAGAAGTCGGCTAATCATTTTTCGACCTCTTGAACATCTTTGAACCTGTTTCCAGCCAAATGGTTTCACATTGAGCGAAATAAATGGTAGTCCGAAGGAGAAATATCCGGTGAATATGGCGGATGCGGGAGAGTTTCCCAGCCCAACTCTTCGAGTTTTTCCTGAACAATCTTTGCAACGTGTGAACGGGCGTTATCTTGAATTGCATTCATAACTGGACAACCTAAATGCACTCATAACTGGATAATGTATAGTTTTTTTTTCTTTATACTAACTAAATAATTGGTTAGTCTGCACTTTTTGTGCTTTTTTGTGCAAAATATGTTTTTTCTAAAGGTCAAAACTTTGAAATAAAGCCTATTTTAAGGTTTCATTGTTTGTTGGAATGATCACTTTATTGGCCATCATAAAATGATCTATAAAAAAGTTAAAAGTTGAACTTTTTATGTTCAATCTACTACGTGCAACATTTCTGTTATGAATAATGAAGATCCAACTTGTCTGGTGTTAATAAATACGCTCCAGGCATCTGAAAAAAAATTAAAACATTACAAAAATATAGGCAAGATACACAAAAAAATAGAAAAAAACGAGTATTGTCGTAAGCCGCCAAGACTTTTGTCCATTTTTTTTGTGACCTTTTTGTCGTTCACGCTTATTTTTGTTGTTTAAAATAAACTTTCAAGTTCAATGCTTGGTCATAGCTAAAAATAGAGTAAAAATGCTTAAAAATACTTGTGACAACTTTTTTCTAGCCTCTCGGAAAGGTTCCTAAATTTGCGTTTGAAAGTTGCCACCCAAGCCGCCAAGACTTTTGTCGATGACTGTGCTGTAATGTGCTGTACTATACTGTAATATGCGTCACTTTTTAGTATACTATGACAAATTCCTCAAATTTCTTTCAGAAAGCGCATTAGAAAGACACTTCTATACTAATATGTAGCCATTTCTATACTAAGATGTACGACATTTCCTCTTAACGCCTTTTCTCTATAGCTGCTTTGCCAAGCCATTTTTTATTTGTCTTACCTTTAAGCCTCTTAAAAATCTCAATTCAATTCACTTAACATTTCAAAAGTTGTGATTATTTTCTAACTTTGATTATTAATTAACATAAATGCTCTCTTTCGACAAATTCCTCTTTTCACCTCTGCCTGATCTATTGAAAATCGAGATTCTTCGAAAGCTTGATACTCGCGATTCACACAAAATTCTTCAAGTTCAAAAAGGACTCCGTAATTGGATGCTAAAAAATGGACCTTTCTGTGGAAATATCTTCAGTATCATTTTTTCAACAACTTTATGCTTTGAGCTATTCATTGAACCGAACTCTGAACAACAAATCGTTCATCGTTTTCAACTTGATGTCTCAAAATCGGAAGAAACACATTCAAATGACTCTTTTGACTTCATTGCTATCAAAGCTCTATTCAAGGATTTAAAAAGTTGCAAAGATTTCTCAATTTTTGCGCGGATTGAATTTGATGATGGGGATTCTCATTCAAGCATTGTAGATGATGAAATAGCAAATGGAAAGATTGCTGAAACATTCCCGAATCTCAAATATGTTTCAAATCTTGAGATTCGATGCGATAATTATCGATTTTTCAAGAAAATTTGGCGAAATTTCAAGTTCAATGTCTTGGATTTGGCAATGCTGAAGTTTGGATCGACTCCGTTTCAAATCGACGAAGAAACAGCTGATTTTGTGAGTGCTTTCTTCGAGAAACACCTAAAAAACTGTGATTCGATAACGATTTTCGATCGTTATAATGAATTCTACTTTGAAACTTTACAAAAAACGAATGCCGGCTTCATTTTGTTTCCACAAGAGTTTGCCGAGGGTTTAAGTAGATTTGATCAAGTCGAGACACAGCTTCGTCTTGTCGCCTCTCGTGGAGTTCCGAGTCAAAAAGCAGCCGCCGAATTTTGCTTTCATTGGAAATATTCACAAGATGGAGATTCAAAAGTACTACAAGAAATGTTAGAAAATATTTATGGAATGAAAATATTTCCTGAAAGAGAAGAGACTTTACAAAATGAGGCCTTACCAACGAGGATTTTCAATTACAGTCGGGAAATTGATGGGAGAATCCTTTGTGATATCAGATTGTTAGTGAAAAATCAACCCGACAGTCTTTTTCTCATTGCGACAAATAAGAGAGTGTAATTTGTAATGTAATGTCTCCATTTGTCTTTATGTGTAATGCATTCTTTAAAGAAATATTGGATTGGTGAATTGAAAACTGCCGGCTATTGTCATATGTAACAGTTTGAGCACTTTCTTCAAAAGAAATCCATTTTGGTGTCAATGGAAAAGTTGTAGAGAATCAAAAATCAAGCTTATATCCAAATTTTCAGAACGATTCGAAAACTGGTTTTCAAGAAATGCCAAATTTACGAATTTTCACAAAACGCAAAACAAAACTTGCATTTTAAGCGAAACTACTAAGTGTATCTTTTTGGAAATTTGGCTACAAGCCTAATTTTTGATTCTCTACAACTTTTCTATTGACACCAAAATGGGTTCCTTTTGGGGAAAGTGCTCAAACTGGGCTGACAGCTGGCATCTCCAGTCCTCCATTCTTGAGCCTCACACTTGTCTCACACACAAACCAAAATCCTACTACGAAAGAGGAATCCGCAAATTGCCTGTAAAATGGGCAGAAGTCGTCAATAATAATGGAAATTATTTCGAATGAATTGATGGTTTTGTTGAATTTTTTATGTTGAATAAATTTTAGTTCAAAGTCCCGAAGTTTTCAATTCACCAACCCAATAGATCGTTTAAGTATACAAGACAAAATCTAAAGGAAAGATTACGATAGCTTTTCAAATTCTCCACTTTTTTAGAGAGTGAGGAGCTTGAGGAGCTTTCTTTAGAGACAATCTTTATTGACAGTTAGATTGACATATCAATAGAGATTGACAATCAAAACTCTCCTCAATCAAGACATCTGTTGATTTGTTTTATTTTTGAATAAATCTTCAGCATCAAATTTGATCAAATTGCATTTCTCTTTTGTCTTTTGAAGTCTTTTAATACATTTACCATTTCTTAACAGCTAAAAGATAAAAAATGTAAAAATTTTGATGTATTTATCATGTCCGCACTTTCATTTTTGATTTCACTTTTGTCTGAATAAAGAATTTATTTTTTTGAAGAAGCACAAACACTTTTATTCCATTATTTTATATGGAAAACATGAAAAATCTTTTAAAAATTCATGTTTACACTTAAAATCAATGGTTTAGAAAAAGAGAAACAGTTTAATACGTTCTGTTAGCTTATTGTTTGCATTCAATTGCATTCAATTGCAATTTCCTCATCGTTCTTTCGTCATACTCGTTTAGAATGATGCCATATTCCAGAAGAATGCTGAAAATTCTCTTTTTAGACATTCAGAAACATAAAAATCCATAAAAAATATATCAAAAATCCAGTCAGAAAGTCGGCTTCTAGAAATAGCTTCTAGAAATACTTTGTTGCATTTGCCTTTCGAACGAGGAACGCAGGTAAAAGCTCAAAGTTGTCAATCAGTAATGAAAGGCTTTTCATTACTGATTGACATTACTGACTTTTCATTACGTTGAGTTTTCGAAGAAGTTTGGTCCTCGCTTCCTCACTTTTGTATTCCGTTCTGGAAGTATAAGTTTTAACCATTTGCAAAAGAGAGAAAGTTAACCACAAGTAGGCATGTCCCAAATTCAAATTTGCCACAATCAAACCCATTTTCAAATTAAGATAAAAATTGAAAAGCCAATGACTATATAAAAAATATAAATAAAAGCCAAATAAAAATGAGCTCCCTTCCCGGCTTACTCCCTTCCACCACTAAAAGAATCGCGAAAATCCGTTGCCCTCCCCCTTTACCAGTTGCTTTGCCCTTTCCGACATCTTCTATGCAACTTACCCTATCGCATAGGGAACTTTCATCGTCAGCTTTTTCAGGATTTTAAAACCTGCTGCTCATTTCCTTGCAAGCTCTCGTTCATCCACAAATTTGTATCTGCAAATCAGTACAAAAAGTTGCCCTTTTATCCCAGCGAGATTTCTAAGGAAGTTTTCTTTTCAGATACGGATTCCACCATTTTATTCGCCATTTTTACGTGCATTTTTACGCTATTTTTACGCCATTTTTACGTAAGATGAAGCAATGAAAACACAATTTATTAAAACAATAAAAAACTCCAAATAAAAACTGGCACCAAAGTGCGCTTGAGACCAAGCATATCGACGTAAACTTTCTTCAAGAAATGTAGAACTGAAAACTATAAGCAGGAAAGTAAAATTTGTCAAACGAAGTGATAAGAACTGCTTTCTATAAAGCCAGATCTTAGTGTTTTGTCGAATCAATGATTGCTTGAGATGAACAGCTAATTTGCTGACATTTTTTACTCGCCAAGATCTCGTGTTTCACACAAAAGCGACGAAAAAAAACCTAGAAAGTGAGAGAGCGTCGCGATAATTTTAACCGATCGACTTGTTGTTTCTTGTCTTACACGATTGGTGTTATTGCAGTTTTGCTTTTCATTTCGTTAACGTTCATTTTGATATGGCGAATTGACAGTTGACAAGATATGGAAATAGAGATCCTTTTGAAGTATCACAAGGGAAAACGACTAGATATGAAATGGGGAAATACACGAAAAAGCTCGTCGACCTAAAAGGATTTAAAACTAGTGCAGAAAAAGAGGAATATGTTGAAAAAGATTTAATAAATATTAGTGTTAAGCAAAAAAAGACAGAGATTCTTTCATTGAGGAAAGAGATTCTCGAAATACTAGAATAAAATACTAGAATCAATTGAGTTTAAAAAGATATTCAGCTTAGGAAAGATTTGAAAAATGAACTGATTACACAAATAGGCTGGGTAGGCTAATTTCCGCCATTTTATTTGCGCAACAAGGTCGTTTGCGCAACAGGGCCAGATTTTTTGCGCAATTGGGTCATTTGCGCAACTAGGTCTTTTCCGCAACTCGCCATAACTTTCTTCTAAGTAAGCCAATCTTTATTATTTTGCTTTCATTTTGTTGCACTTATTGAGATCTACAAAATGACACCAAAATCATAAAGATTGGCCCACTTAACAGGAAGTTATGGCGAGTTGTGCAAAAGACCTAGTTGCGCAAATGACCCAATTGCGCCAAAAAACTGGCGCAAAGTAGCCTATCTTCACAAATAAATAAATTCTGTAATCCTGAGACTATCTGTAGAGTCGGTGTGCCAGAAAATGGTAGTCGGGTCTGTACATAGACCGGGGTACGCACAGATCTGTGTGTGGCACTGGTGGTGCGTACTGATGGTGCGTACTGATGGTGCGAATTAAACGAAATAAATTGTGTACAATAAATTAAACTAAGTAAGCTGTATCGAATTTCTGAAAATGACTTCCAATTGTGCTCGGTTTTGGTTTATGAGTGATTCGAATCTCAAGCGCTTTCTTCCAATCTTTCAGAAAAAGAACCATTTTTCTGTCATTTGTTGGCAATTCTTGACGAAGCTTCGTAAATTTTTCAATTCCAACCCAATTTGATGTGAGCTTCTCGAGAATCCTGAAATTTTGGTGGATTATGATTTTCTGAATGACTCAAAACTCTCAAGACTCTCAAAACCGATTTCTAAAGCTAGTAAGAAACTTTTCGAAAACAAACCAAACTAGTACCAAACTCTAAAGCTAGTACCAAACTCAATTTTTGTCTCCTTACTTGCTTCGACTCTCTACATCAACTGGAAATTTCGCGAAAACACATCCACCGCCATTCATTCGAACTTTTCGAAGTTGCAAACCCTAAAATATTGATGAACCTATTGCTCGATGAAAAAATTACCTCCAAAAATGTTATGAACAAATCGGAGTCGAACTGAACAAATTGTCATTAGTATTGGGTTGTCCAGTTATGAATACGCGTTTTTTACTATTTTGTTTTCACAAGATATTTCTGAAGATACCGAAATCAAGAAAAAGATATATATGAGTATTATTCGAAAGCTGAAGATCTCCTCTACATTTTGATATAAAAAGTTTTTGAATTTGTTCAGCTTTTGGGCAAATTGACTGCACAGAAGAAGAGGTGGCCAAAAAATGGAAGGGTGCCTTTGGATCAAGTTTTGGCTCCGCTCAAATTGAGTTAACCGTTTGATGTTTGGCCAATAGATATATCAATATAACTTTTTTAAAATATAACAATTTCAGAGCATCTTTACTTTTCTTTTCTTTTCTGGGCGGTTATTTTACATCACCATAAAACTTGAGGAATAGCTAAGCTGGAATGGGTTTTTTCAGATTAGGGTATGCAGTATAGAATAGGGTGTTCAGTATAGATTATCTGGATTACGGTATTCAGTCCAGATTAGGGTCTTCAGTCTAGATTAGCTGGATTACGGTATTCAGTCTAGAATAGGGTATTCAGTCTCGATTAAGGTATTGAGTCTAGAAAACGACCTCTCCCTTTGCGCAGTCAATTTCCCAAAAAGTTGAACAAATTCCAAAGCTTTTTATATCAAAATGTAGAGGAGATCTTCAGCTTTCGAATGATATATAACACTCATAAACATCTCTTCGATATCTTGAGAAATTTACAAAATAGTAAAAACGCGCATTCATAACTGGACAACCCAATATTTTGCATGAAATGAAATGAATTACCTGCATCTTCAGATCCATTGTCTGCGATTGATTCATCTCCGTGTATTTATCGATATCAGTCGATGCTTTAAAGAAACACATCTCGAGACACAATGGAGTTGTGATTGAGAAGCTTTTGGACCAACGAAAGGTCAAGTATTTCGGCTTTATACGAAGACTAAAAGTTTTTTGAGATAATGGAGGCAATTCGGTGAAATACTCACAACAAAGTCTCTAGCCATCGATTGAAATATCGTTGTTGATTGTCCGAGAATTTGGGAACCGGTGAAAAATCCAATTCATGAATGCGCAATGTTTTTGGGAATTTTTCAAGAAACGCCAGACTTCTTCCACTTTTCGATTCTTGTAAACTCCCGAAATGAGAGTAATCGACCTAGAATGTTTAAAAGTTATTGAGAAACAAAGAGTAATCTTATTCTATAAAGAATAAAGAATAAGAACTCTATAAAAACAAAATTTGTTTAAAACAAACCGGAGCAAAGATGAACTTGCGAAGGACGGCTTGTTCGTAGAAATCGTAATCAGTTTTCGGAAATGGAATCTCTTCAAGATTGCCTCTCACATTGAGAAAAACTTTTGCAACATCGGTTGAAGTTCCCTAAAGAATTTTGTTTTGTTTTCTATAAGAATTTACTAGAAGCTTCAGCCAGCCACTCCAGCCAGCTCTTAGAAAGTTCACCAAGTATTTACGTTCGTTAGAGAACTAATCGTTGGAGAAATGATCGTTAGAGAACTTGGATACGCTTACCATTTCTTGAAGCAAATATTTCTTGACTTTTGAGCCCTTTCCTGGCTAGAGAGTAGTGAAACTAGCGTCATATGGATACCAATAGGGTTCAGCGTTTTGAACGTACCATACTTTTGAAAGGAACATATTGGAACCATATTGAAACCATATTGAAACCATATTGAAACCATACTTTTGAAAGGAACATATTGGAACCATATTGTTTTGTTTTGCCTTATTGTTGCCATTATTTCGATGCTTTTAACAATTGCATACGATAAGATCTACTAACTAAGCGCTAAAAGGTAACAAAGGTAAAAGGTAAAAGGTAACAAAGCTAAAACAAAGTCTGTGTTCAAGTATTGTCCAACTCACGTATTGTTCACTTATAAAAAACCTTTAGAAATTATAGGTTTAGGTTGCGTAATCCATTTGAGAACTTTAAATAATATCAAAAACTCAAAATTCTTGCCTCAAAGCTGACCAGGTCGATAATCTTGACTAGAGTCTTCGTCTCAGTGTTCAGAATATTGTAATTCTTTCTCGAAGTCTGCTTCAATAACAACATTTCTTTATAGTCGAGATATTCAGCTATTTTAACGATCAACTCTCGCGGTAAAGTTTCCATTTTAACGAGCGAATTTGTGAACGAATTTGTGAATGAATTTTTTCATTCTTGTGAAAATTTCTAATGTTTTCCTTTGTGTTCACAATGTCTCGATGTTCAGAGGTGTATCTTGTACGCGAGTTTTATCTCTTTTTTTGAATAAACATAAATGATTCAATCAGAATTCAGCTTTTGGCAATATTGCGTCACAGAAAAGTCAATAATCAAAAGCTGAAAGTCATTAGAAACAGAAAACAGCGATTGTTTTGTTGATAATTGGAATCATTGCTTTCTCCCTTCCACCATTAGTTGTCCAGTTTTCAGTGAGATCTGTAAAATTCGATTCAACAACTATGCCAATGCTGTAAGTAAATAAAACTCTAGCTAAAAGCTAACAAATCTACTCATGTTGTGAAGAACTCTTCGCAGCCTTTAGTTATCTTTTCTTCAACGCTGACACCAAGAAGAATCCCTTGCGGGAGGATTGTCCAATCACTGTCCAATCATTGTCCAATCATTGTCCATCGGTCCAGTCATTGTCCATCGGTCCAGTCATTGTCCATCGGTCCAGTCATTGTCCATCGGTCCAGTCATTGTCCATCGGTCCAGTCATTGTCCATCGGTCCAGTCATTGTCCATCGGTCCAGTCATTGTCCATCTTCACCCCATGCATGCAATGATAATAGAGAATCCCATCTGAATATGGAAATTAGTTTTGCTCTAGCAATTTATTTTGCTTCACTCCAACTTACTTCAGCATCTCAATATCCAAGAGAATTGCAAGCGACGGTGCATTTTTTGTTGAGAGTTCATGAACAAAATGCTCATGTAAATCGACTCGACTTATTGTCTCATCCATGATTACAATCTTTGGATCAAAGTTGTTAGCAACTTTTCTCAACAAACTCAGTCTCTAAAAGAAGCTAATTTTTGAGGGTAATCCAAATAACGTTCACTACTTGACCATCGCTACAATTTTTGGATACTCTCATTTCCGGTTTGCTTCGACTTGTGTCCTCTTTAATGTACTTTAACCTTGTGTACTTTCAACGAAAACTTATAGAAAAGAGCTGATCCGGCGGCTGATCCGGCGGCTGATCCGGCGGCTGATCCGGCAGCTGATCCGGCAGCTGATCCGGCAGCTGATCCGGCAGCTGATCCGGCAGCTGATCCGGCAGCTGATCCGGCAGCTGATCCGGCAGCTGATCCGGCAGCTGATCCGGCAGCTGATCCGGCAGCTGATCTATTATTCAACTTGAGAAGACTGTCGATGAGAGAAATCGGTACTCAAACTGACCTCAAACTTCTTCTAACTTCTAATTTCGACGCAAACTCAAACTAAACATTTTGATGAACTGGCCGAAGAGGAAATGAAAGAACAATGAGTGCTCTTGTTTCTTTAATCTTTTCAGTTTTGGTAGCTGTTCATTGTCATAATCTTTTTGTTTATTGTGCTCATTTGCGTAGAAATTTATTGCTCACAGATAAAACTTTACAAGAAAATTGGCGGGAAAGCACTGCTTTGAAATCACAGAAATGCAAGCTCATCTTTTGAAAAACACAACAATAATTACATACACATAACATTATGCAAGATTAGGCAGTGGTGGATGGAGCAGAGCTTGAAGCTACAGAACTCGATGAAACTCCTTCTGCTGTTGAGCTCAACTCTACAACAGTAGTCGTGGTTTGTGGGAGAATGACAGTGGATTGAACGGGACTTGAGGAAGCACTTCCTGTTGTAACTCCAGTGGAACTTGTCAACTCCGCAACTGTAGTAGTTGATGGGACATAAACTGTGGATTGAGCTGTGCTTGATGCAGCTGTCGCGGAGCTTTCTTCTGTTGTGGAACTCAATCCTCCAACTGTTGTAGTTATCGATGGGAGATAAACGGTTGAAGTTGATACAGCTTGGCTTGACGCTCCTGTTGAAGTTGAGACAGCAGTTGTGGATTGAGCAGAGCTTAAGGTTGAGGCAACGGTTGTTGTTAATGGAACAACGACAGTTGATTGGGCAGTGCTTGAAACAGAGCTGGCTGAAGACACTAAGGCAGTTGTAGATTGAACAGAAGTTGAAGATTCTTCAGTAGTAGTCGTTGTAGTGGATTGAGCAGGAGTTGAAGAGGCTTCAGTTGAAGTTGAGGCTTCAGTTGAAGTTGAGGCTTCAGTTGAAGTTGAGGCTTCAGTTGAAGTTGAGGCTTCAGTTGAAGTTGAGGCTTCAGTTGAAGTTGAGGCTTCAGTGAAGTGAGGCTTCAGTTGAAGTTGAGGCTTCAGTTGAAGTGAGGCTTCAGTTGAAGTGGGCTTCAGTTGAAGTGAGGCTTCAGTTGAAGTTGAGGCTTCAGTTGAAGTTGAGGCTTCAGTTGAAGTTGAGGCTTCAGTTGAAGTTGAGGCTTCAGTTGAAGTTGAGGCTTCAGTTGAAGTTGAGGCTTCAGTTGAAGTTGAGGCTTCAGCGGTGCTCACTTCAAAAGTGGTGGTAGTTGTGGATGGGATGATCGTTGATTGAGTGGTAGAGGTTGAAGAGCCAGTAGTTTGTTCTTCAGTTGACGTTGAAGTTGAAAATCTCTCGGTGGTTGTTGTTTGTCCGGCAGTTGAGGTACTTCCAGTGGTACTTTCAGTGGTACTTCCAGTGGTACTTTCAGTGGTACTTCCAGATCCTTCCGCAGTTGTAGTGGTTGTAGTGGTAGTTGTGGTTGTAGTCGTAGTTGTAGTTGTAGTTGTAGAAGACGACTCTTGAGTGGTTGTCACTGCACCAGTTGATGTTGAGGTTTCAGAAGTGGATCCAGTAGGGAGACTAAAACAAATATTTAGGTTCGATCAAGTAAAGTAAAGTAAAGTAAAGAGTGAAAAACGTACAAAGTTGATCCACTAGCAGTTGATCCACTAATAGTTGATCCACTTTCTGTGGTTGAGGATCCCTCAGAGGTTGGAGAAGTGAAAGATCCAGTTGTAACTCTAAAATACAAACTTTCAATTCAATTTACATCTCAAGCATTAGTAGCTAGAGTGTTAATGGACTTACGTTGATGGAAAAGCAGTAGTCGATGGACAAGTGAGATTCTCGAGCTTCTTGATCAAATTCTTTGGTACCTGGAAAGGAAATCAAATGTAAGACGTTAATAACTTGAATATCTAGCTGAATTTTTAAATTCTAAACAACCTGCTTCCATTGTGGGGAATTCTTGGCGAAAAGTTGCGTACAACTGGTGGCGGTGAGTTGATTTCCGTTAATAAGATTGCCTGGAAATGCATAAAGTTAGCAATACGTTTTTGTAATCAGAATTCAGAGCAATTCTTACAATGTATACTTTTATCTGAAGCTTCCAAAACCCACCACTCAAGAGATAATCCTTCTTGTTATTGAGATTGATTCCACAGCTTCCCTTAGGGACAAAGAGGCTTGTTGGCAGACTGGCTTCACCCTAAAGATTTAGATAAATCTGTACTATGTTCTGAAATCAATTTAATTGATTTAATTCACATCTATCTAATCTAAACAATCAGATTCAGAAGTGGAACCTACTTTGTAGACCTGGATGTGCTGAAGTGTGTACTGTTTGTACTTGATTCCATTGATGATCACTTTTTTGCCGGTGCCGGTGACTTTAGAGTGAGAGACTGAAATGATGAAAATGAAATGATGAAAATGAAATAGTTCTTTCATTGTAAAGTCTAAGGATCTATTCAAAGTCTATTCAAAACACAAGCATCTTAAACTCACTCCAATCAAGGGCACAGGCTCGCTGGGTGAAATCTCCAAAGTTGAATGGACAATAACACCGTCTGTTTTGTCCATTTCCATGCTCATTGCTATTGGAATCTGAAAATCGACATTGGTATGCAAATTTTTATTTTTCAACGATACCTCGCGAGCTATCAGAGCTATCAGAGCTATCATCCCATCCATTTCCATTCCAATTTCCATTGTTTCCTCTTTGTCCATTTTGTCCCCATCCATCGTTATCATTTCCTTCATGTCCATGTCCATTTTGGCCCTGTCCATTTTGTCCATGTTCCCATCCATCTTCATTTTGTCCGTTTCCCCATCCATTTCCATTTTGATTATCGTTTTGTTCTTGATCATTTTGCCATTTCGAGTCTTGGCTTGGTCGAGCCAATACGAAAATTGGGCCGACGATCAATGCGACGAGGAGGAATTTGTGGAAAGTCATTCTGAATTGATAGCTTTAGTAAAAGAAAGACAAGATGATAGAAATGATAGACAAGATCAAAAAGATTACTGATAGAAAGAATGGACTTATCAAATCATGATTAGAAAAAGAAAAGGAGAAAAATATTCAGCCAACAGCCAAGATAAGCCAACAGTCAACAGCCAATTACAATCTTCTTCCAAGTCTTACTGTATCTGCGTCAGCTGATACAGTAAGACGTCAGCGTCAGCTGACTATGAGATAGGAGCCTTCAAATTGTGATTGCCTTGTTGGTCCTTTCTTTTCCCCAATTCTTTTATACCTTTTCCCCAAGTCGGGGTCGAATTTATGTGTTTTCGATAAAAGCAAATATTTCTCTTTTCTTCCCAAGCGTCCCATTTTTTTTGACATCAGAGACATCGAAAATGTTGTCATTCAGATGAGTGGGTTTGTCTAAAATTGCCTGTATTGCATGTGATTTCCCTCCCACACAAAAATTCGAACAATTTTTGATGCTCTCAAATATTTTTGTTAGCTGAATAAATTTCCGTAATGAGTAAACAAATCAAGAGTTATTTTCAATTTATGAAAACAAATGTGCATTTCAAATTTATTTGTATTGAAAGTTGGGCTATTACTGGTTTTGGGGAAAAGTAATCTAATTAGAACTTTGATGAATTAAATTTAGCGTGAGATCAAGCGTCATTTACTATCAAGTAACGGGTTCATTCAAGCTAAAATGACAAAGAGTTTCAGAGATTTGATTTCAAAGTGCACGATAGTTCATTTACTATCAGTTTGAGTGCAACTGATCGATAATAAATTACCAGAGCTATTCCTAAACCAAGATTTCAAGAGCCAAAGCGAGTCCAAGCCAATCCAAGCAAGCTTTGGTTTGGTTTGGTTTAACTTTTACGGTTTTCCTGTGTCTGAAATGAGAATCTTCTCTGTTCCATTGCCAAGCACTCAAATTCTCCATCTTTCCCTTTCCACGTGTTATTGCTCACCACCCACAAATCTCTTTGTTTACAAAAAGCTGGACACGTAATTTTTTTTGTTTTTATACTTTAGCAAACAAATTCTATGAAAGGGTAATGAATTCAATGAAAAAAAACTGCAAGTATCTCTATAAAAAAGCTCTATAAAACCAAAACAGTCAAACATTGAGACGAAAAATATTTTTGAGCAAGATCATGATGAAAACTCAATTCTACTGTTTTGTCTCGATTTGGGAAAAGAAAGAACCAAAAGGACAAATATTGGGTTGGTGAATTGAAAACTGCGGGTTGGTGACTTGAAAACATGAAAAATAAAGATCTGTGTCTCTGGATGTCAATTCAGAAAGATCAAGGCTAACCTTGATTTCACAATTAGAATCAATTAATTGATTAATATCATAATGGCTAAAGATGATTGCCAAACCAAAGAGCGTTCTTCCAAGTCTATTATAATATTTCAATACTAACATTTTTTATTGGGTTGGTGAATTGAAAACTGCCGGACTTTGAACTAAAATTTATTCAACATAAAACCATGAATTCATTCCAAATAATTTCCATTATGATTGACGACTTCTGCCCATTTTACAGGCAATTTGCGGATTCCTCTTTCGTAGTAGGATTTTGGTTTGTGTGTGAGACAAGTGTGAGACTCAAGAATGGAGGACTGGAGATGTCCCAGTTTGGGCACTTTCTTCAAAAGAAACCCATTTTGGTGTCAATAGAAAAGTTGTAGAGAAACAAAAATTAGGCTTATAGCCAAATTTCCAAAAAGATACATTTAGTAGTTTCGCTTAAAATGCAAGTTTTGTTTTGCGTTTTGAGAAAATTTGTAAATTTTGACATTTCTTGAAAACCAGTTTTTGAATCGTTCTGAAAATTTGGATATAAGCTTGATTTTTGATTCTCTACAACTTTTCCATTGACACCAAAATGGGTTTCTTTTGAAGAAAGTGCTCAAACTGTTACATATGACAATAGCCGGCAGTTTTCAATCCACCAACCCAATAGAAACACTTCTATGCAAAATGGCTTCTCCGTGTCAGAATGAGAAAAAACTGAAGCCATTTTGTGATACTCACTCCATTTCGTGATACTGAAGCTTACTCCAAGCTTTGGAATTTTATACTAAAGATTTATAAAGTAAACCCAGGCATAAACATAAATATCTTTTTGATTCAGCCGTTCTCGTGTCATCTGATGCTGATATTTGGCTAAAATGTGAAGATCTCTGCCCTTCACCATCTCAGCATTATCAAAGAAAATTCAAGAATTCTAAATTCTACAGAGTTTAGCGACTTTTGTTCGTTTTTGTCATCTATTCCAATTTCCAGGGAGTTTCACTTTTAGTCACAATTCATCCGCAAACAACTGTGGCAATCTACAGCCCGGGCAAGAGTATCTCATTCTAGGGTATCTCAATCTAGGGTAAGAAATAACCTCTGTAAAGTTCTTCTCTTTTGTTTCAGTTCAACTAATAAACGGTAATAAGCCAGCAACTCAGCTCACAACTCTCGACTCAGCTCTCAACTCCTTCTTCGGTGCAAATTTTATTGTTTCCTAAATCTAGGCACGGTCCATCATACCCATCGTTCAACTCATTTCGTTTCCTCTTCCAAATAAAACCTTGATTGTTTAGTGACAAATTGAACAAAGCGTCATAGCACAGCACATTTTTATTGAATCCAAATAAATTATCATATAACGAAATAAGTTATCCGTAAAAACAAGTGAAAATAGACGCACGACTGGCAATGATAATCTTTTCCCCAAACTCTCTTCAATCCAATGTGACAACGCACTTTTCCAGTTCTGCTTCCAATTGAAGAATCTGAATGGTATTCCTTAAGATTGATCAAGTTTTCAGTCATAAAGTTTCAATTAGTGATTCTCACCCTTTCCTCAAGCATCTCGATCACGGTGACCCGTTGTCCAAGCAGCCTTTGAGCCTAAAAAATGTCTGCGTAAAATTTGTGACCTTTAGTTTCTTTAATCTTTAAAGTTTCAAATTTTTGATTAAATATTTTGTTTTCAGATTCCCCCACTTACCATGTCTTTCTGCTTCCTTTCGTCGGCAACTCTGGTATTCAGCATTTCATTCTCGGCTTTCAATCTCCCAACTTCTTGAGTCAATTGCTGAAAACAAAGAATTGATTTGAGTAAATCTATTGTTAAACCTGAATTTGTAAACCACTGTCTTGTTGTTGAATTGCTTGAATTCTTGGAGAGCTTTCATCTTTTACAAGCGACAAAGACAAGGTTGGAACATCATTGGACTAAACAGAATTCTTCAAGTTGAGAAACTCCAAAGCCCTTGCTTATAGGAGGATTATGGAACTTGACTAGTGCTGGTAAAATTTTACCTGTGGTGAAGCATTTCCCGAGGTTGTTGGATAATCCAATCGGCGAACATCACTCATTGATCGTGAGCGCGGTAGAATTGGTATCAAGGGAGGCTCTTCAATCTGTCGACGACCAATCCTTTCCTCCGTGTTCTGCTAAAATTAGATTCTTGATTTGTTTTAGCATTCAGTACTCGAAGTTGCTTGAATTACTTACTGTATTCTCATCGTCAACCTCAATTGTTCTTTGTTGCATAAAGCATGATCTCCTTAGCGGACTGGTCGGCCTTGATCTTGGAGAGACATTCGCTTCCGGGAGTCTTTCTCTCTGAAATAGATTAAATATAAAAATGAAAAGTTTGATTTACACTTTAGTAAATATCTTTAAAGACTAACTTCTGCTGAAGAAATTCGCGCGAAGAGCAAAGCCTCCAAATCTTCGTTCTCGTTCTTTATAGGAGCAACTCTCGGCTCTGGCACCACTTGAACATCACGACTCTATAACAAGATTATCGGACCAATCAAAACATTTGTCATTGTTTATCACTAGATATATATGTCTAAGCTGACCTTTGCTAGTTCTTGTGCGAACAAATCGCTGAGCTCTCTGACATTGGGAAACGTTGGGAAACAAACAATTGCTAGATTACTCCATTCATCAATCATTGTTTGATCGCTGCAAATAATAGAATAGAGCTGAGTCAAGAGATCAACAAATTACACGGAAATTAGCAAAAAGTTAAATAAATGACAAACATATGATCGATGATTTCCCCCTGACATCCAGTATTTTTCTTTTTCTGGCAATGTTGCTCGATCTGATCGAGCTGATGCGCAGTGAAATCACAATCTTAAATTGATTGATTTGATAGGTTAAGGTTTATAACTTAAAACACTCACATGAACAAGTAAATCTCTTTGGTCCATGGGTTATCAAATGTAGGTAACATTTTTTTTGGTTGTCGTGTTGCACTTCAGATCGACAATTTGGAAACTGAAACGATAGCTGACTTTGAAGAACGGAATTTCAATATTCATTAGTCTCTCGACTTCAACTAAAATTCATTTGCACTCACCTGACATTTATTTGACTTGTTCCGTGATTCCTCATTCATCTCTTCCGTTGCACCCTGATCGGTTTGGAGGTTTGAACTGGCAAGGAGCTTAAGTTTAACGATTAGCTTGTCAATAATCAAAACTTCACAGTATTAGGCTGGTGAACAAGTCTTTTCGTACTTCCATTTAAAACCAACAAAGGCACCAATTGAACTACGGCTTGTTTCATTGGAAAAGCCAATCATTTTTCTGCAAAACGGGTTTAAAATGTCTGGATTTTTTGGGAGCATGAAGTCCAAAAGGGCGACGGCTCGATGATGCTGTTTAGACACTTTAGCTAAGGAAACCCATCTTTGTGTCAATAGATAAAAGGTAAAGCATAAAAAAATTAGGTATATTGTCAAAATTTTCAGAGAAATTGAGTCCGCCAATTTCTTCGTCGAGTTTTTTAGAGATTTTTAACACGTTTTCACTCTGAAATTTGCTTGAAAGCGAACCCAAATTGATTTAAAAAGATGGGGAATTGAACAATTAACACATTTTATATAGAGCAAACCATAAGTTAATTGGTGAATTTGTTATGTTTCAACGGAAGTATGGAAAGGAACGAAAAGACTTATTCACCAACCTAATATATCTTTTATAAATGTCACACGCAACGTACCTTTACTTCTTTCTTTGTGATGAATGCATTGATTTCCTTCGCTCGTGTCGGATAGCAAATCCTTGACAATTGACGCCATTCGTCGATCATGCTCTGATCTCTGCAAAACCCATTTTTCAAACTGTTGCTGAAAACATACAGTTTGTCGACACTTTTTCCTCCACAATTTCCTTTTAAATGTTGAGCAACATTGTCGTGTTGATGGGTTGTGAAATGACACTCTGAAATTGGATAATAGAAAATTACGGAAAGTCACAGAAAATATTGGTCAAATTTAAATATACTCACTTGAACAATGAAATCTCCGTGAACCATGGATAATCATATGATAATAGCATGTAGATGGAACTCTTGCTCGACAATCTGATTGGCAATCCGGGAACTAAAAAGTTTAAAATTCTCAATTTCTACACTTTAATCCAGTTGTTAAGTCTCACCTGGCACTTATCCTTATTCCTATTCTTATCTCTCTGTGAGGTTTTCATAGGGGTCCATAGGGGATCCTGAAACCAACGGGTAAAATAACCAAAAGTTCAAACTATTCACCTCATCTTCTTCTGTTGGTGGATCTTCAGCGGGAATTGTGGACTTATTATGGAGACCATCTTTGACAAGCGACAAGCCTCTTGTGAATGTTTGCTAGATATCAAAACTTGAACCTCATCAGTGTTATATTAGGTTGACAAGAAAGTTTTTGGAACGATTTGAACTGGAATTTCTTACAAACGGATCCACTAATTCAAAAACACTTTTTCTATTATTTAAAGTCGACTTCAAGAAATTACTCGTAAAAAATGAGTGCAGCTTTCCCTTAAAATTTTAGAGATTTTCGAAAATGTATTATTTTCCAGCTTAAATTCAGCCTACTTTTTGCACCACAAAAACGATTCCTTATGGGGCAAACCTAACATAAATGAGCAATATGCTCTATAATCTTGATTTCATGGTCAAAAATTTAAAGAAAACCTTTGGAAAAGAAGTCGTTTCTTCCGGATCAGCGTTTGCTTTTCGTTTCATTCTCGAAGTTGCGGAGTTATTCAGACTTTTAGATCGATTCTTTGCATTTCCAGCCGCTTCTCGATTCTTCACCCGATTCTCTTCCCTCCCATTCAAGACAGTCTATAAAGCAACAAGTTTAAAACTTCAGATCTGTGAATTTAGAAGTTCAAATCGTTTTCTCGAGTTTGTCTTTAGGCTTTGGAATTTTCTGGGCTTCCGTGGAAAAGTGTCATGCCTGTACTGTTGGTGTGGATAACATTCGATTGATCTCATTGAGGAAAGGTTGATTTTACGAGAAATAAGTTAAATTTGAATTGGTCATCAATTTAATAAAGTTTCTGCGGTATTTTGTGGGTTGGGGGCCACCTATTAGACCGGTCGATAAGTTCGAAGCATTTTTTTATCAACTTTAAAAGTGTAATTCCTTAAAAACCCCACCATCCATTTTTCTAAAAAAAACAAATGAGAGCAACTAGTTTCGAAGCCTTCATTAGTTGCTTGGTTCCTGGCGCTTTTTGAGGGAACTGTCTTCAATTGAACTTTCCATAGTCCAGTTTTTAGATAAAAAGCTGAACCCAAAAACAAAATGAAGTGAACAAAACTGGAGATCTTTCTGGTGGAACCGTTTTCCATATAAAGCTTTAATTTTAAAAAACGCACCTTTCTTTCGAAAAATGTCAGGGTAAAAATGGAAAACTCAAAAAAAGCAAAATCTCTAACTCGACTTCTTTATCCAAAGTCTGGCTAAAATAATCATAAAAATTCTGACATGGGTTTGTCGTGACCGACTTATTTGGTATGTGGTTTTTATGCTAAAAAAATGAGTTTAAGTTACTGTCGAAAATCGTTTTTTTCAATTTCTATAAAAAGTAATACGGGAAAGGAAACCTCATCTTTTGGCAAAAAACCTTCTAACTTTATTAAAAGTTACTATAAAATTTTCAGAAAGATTGATGGCGGGGTTTCGGAGAAATTACGCTTTAAAAGTTAATAAAAAATTCTACGGACTAGTCGGCCAGCCCAATATAAATTTTAGATTTTTTCACTTTTCTAGGAGTAATCGAGGGCGCCGAGCACGACTTTGACAGTTTTAGAAAAAGTTTTCAACCGAAAAACCGACATTTCGGCACGTTAAAAATTACACTTCTATTTCTTAGACCATAGCCCTGCACACCCGGAGACCTGACTGAGCATGGGATACAGCCTGATTGACCAGCCGCGTAACGACCCACCTGAGCCTCCGGGTGTGTTGAGCCATAGCCTACCGTAAATACTGTAATAGTACCCCACCCCCCTCGTACAGTCGCGTAGTCGCAAATGTTTTTTAGTATTTCATTCTTTTTCAAAGCGCCCGTACTTTCAAAAAATGCGTCCTGGTATCAAAAAATAGCCCTGAATTTCAGCTATTTTTAATACCTAAGCGCGCATTGTAGCATAAACTAGTGTCGAGAAACACTCGTTCAAAGCTAGACTACGCAACACTCCGCACCGTCATTATGGGGGTGGGGTACTATTACAGTATTTACGGTAGGTAAATAGCAATGACTAGAAAAAGTCACACAAATTTAAAGTGCAAAAAGTGTAATTCCCAATGTGTCGAAACGTCGGTTTTTCAGTTGAAAGCCTATGCTAAAAGTGTCAAATTCGTGCTCAGCGCCCTCAACTACCCCTAGAAAAGTGAAAAACTAGAAATATAGGTGCGCCCCAACCCACAAAGTACTGATTATGCTGTACAGGCCAATATTTTCAAAACAAATACCTGACTGCGTGTTCGTCCCATCGTTGGTTGTTCGATCCAAATCTAGGTCGAGTAGACAAAATATCGCTTCAAAGATTTTTGAAAAGATCTGAAATTTGGTTAAATAATCAGAAGCTCCAGGAAATAAAGTTTGGTAAAAAAAGGGAAAAGGGGATGCTCCTAATGTAATATGGCCGGAAAATAAGCAAAAAGTCCGGCACAAAAGGATTTGTAAAGTCTTAAAAAGTTAGTAACTAACTCCTTTACCCAACACCTTCAGAATTACTAACCCTTTTCTAAAATGATTTGATACAAAACCCGAAAAGAAATAACAAGAAGATCGTGGTAGTCTATTTAGATTTGCGTTTTAGTTAAAAGGCATTGGTTACGTTGAGTCTATATGGCATTTGTGAGCGGATTCGAAAAAATGAAGTGGAAGGAGCCGAAAAGAAAACGAAACAAAACCGTATTAAAATTTTAAACAAGAAACTAAGGGCAGGCAATATAAAAAGGAGGGAACGAACGAGGGGAGAGAGTACTTTAAAAACGCGCCACAAAAACAGTAGACTTTACGAAGGGGAAAGAAAACTTAGCGGAACGCGACATCAAAGCCGGACAAAGTTTCCGATTCCATCATGAAATGAAGGAAAATGAAAAGAATGGCAAAAGGGAACTTTTGTGCGGGGTACGGTATCGCGTGCGGGGTACGCGCATCCACGCTTTAGAAAGCGTCCTGCGCCGCTTTCGCGCCAGTCCCTTAAAAGTTTATTCAGTTAAAGCAGAACACACTCCAATACAGGGCAAGAATATATAAAAACAAGGCTAAAAAAGTTAACAAGTGCACATAATTAACAACATTAACATAATAATTAAAAAATTAACAAATGCAAATAAAAGGCACAAGTTGATACATTCACAAGAGAAAACCAAGGCCAACTTTGAAGCACAAAATGGAATGAGCAAACAAAGATGAGCACACTCATCATAGCCATGATAACGAGGCTTTCTGAAAATGCATCAATAGGGAAAACGAAGAAAACTTAGTGATCTTTACCATAGAATCGTCCTTGCGTCTTTTCCTGTACTTCCTGGTTGGCTGATGATGAACTCCTAGAAATCGCAGTTGAGTTCATGCTTTGTGCTTCAATCTACTTAATGTATTGGCTTAGAAAGCCAAAAAGATCTAGTAAGCGCAACAATTTATATGGAACACCCTGTATAAGGCTGTCCAGAAAGTCTTTTTGTTCCTTTCTTTTGCAATTCTGTTGAAAAATAACAAATTCACCAATTAACCGATGGTTTTCTCTAAATAAAAGATTATTGTTCAATTTCCAATCTTTTAAAGTCAATTTCGATTTACTTTCAAGCAAATTCGAAAGTGAAAACGTGTTTTTTCTCAATTCTTGCTCGTTTTTTGTCCTAAATCCTTTTGTACATTGTGTGATAAAGCTTTTAAAACCGAATGGATGACCAGAGTTCCGAAATCGTAAACCACATTTGCATAAAAAGCTCTAAAATACATACTAAAACCTTTTTGATTTAGGTAACTGAATGTCCACAGCAAATAAGTGATCTCTGATAGTAGAACTGTACCAGAAATACTGTAAAGTTCAGGAGATTCCATTACAGTACACATGATGAGAGTAATTAACAACAAGGCTCAAGATTCTCCGAATTATTCAAATGAAAACCAATATGAGAGAAAGCTGAAAGCTTAAATTGAGAGATCTTACATTATTTCTCTAATTTTACGGTTTCTCATCAAAAATTCAACAAAAATAACATTTTCAATCGATCCATCAACCTCGAAAATCCCCGAAAACAGGACCCATGAAGTGGCCAACTGGCCGTGTGGGGATGTCTTTGGCAACCCGCACTCCCTCCCTCTGGGCCGACCATTAGGCCCAGAGGGAGGGCGCTGCTCGATGTCCAGCCACCTTCGTGTGGTGAGCAGTGGGCATCCCTGGAGAAACCGGGGATGGCTAAGAGCTGGACAAAGTAGGTAGGTTAAAAAGAGCTGGTCAAGGCAGGAAGTATAAACTCCATGACTAGGGTCACTGTGGCAATTAGCATAGATCATATTGCAACAAAAGTAAAACCGATTTCCTCTAAACATCAACCATATCTTCTCTATTTCAGCCAGCAACCAGCAATCGAATTTTCACTAATGTGATAAAAACGAAGGATAAAGTCAAACCAAAAACTCCATACATAACCGTTTGAAGATAGTTGACGATCCAATAGTATTTCGCAAACATGATCAGGTCAACTAATTAGAATGGGCAAAAGAAATGTCCCTTGTATTTTAGTGAATTACATGTGTAGCTATATGCTGAATTTGTATTTAGATCCTACAAATTAACTATGCAAATCAGTTCCAACAAAAGAAAGATGAATTCTAATGGGAATCGAGCAGAGAATGAACGAATGTGGAAGAGAGATCAACTCCATTATGTGATACTAACGACCGCGGAAGAGAACGACGAACAATCTCAAATAAGCATTGGTCGACTGGCCTTGTTACTCAGATTTCAAAAAGCGTTTATCTTATTTTAGCGTTTATCTTCATCGTTAGACCATGCCCAATCAGTTGCGTCGAGAAAATCATCCCGAGATTTGTTCCGATGAGGATTTGATTGACAAAAAGTCCACACGAAGGTCATCCATCAACAGCCACATTCCCATCTTTCAATGGTCATACTTGTAAGGGTTCTCACGTTAAGACACACTGCCTTGAAGAAAAAAAGCGATTTCCTTGTGAAAGCGGCAGAATGTATCCAAAAGGAGATAGAATTCGACAGCCCAGCCACAAGATCGATTTGTGAAAACAACTCTGAAGCAATAGCCGTAGCCAAGAGCGATGATGAGAAAACTCTTCTTTATATTTCCGTAAACAGTTCTTCACTCTTTCTCCTCACTAAATTGTACTCTTGAATTCTTCCGGGAATCAACTTGTTGACAACACCCTCGTAAATAAGATGCAAAGCTTTGACTTTGAAAAGTTTTCTAGAAAAATTTCACCGTTTTTAGCTCGAAAGGGGTAATCAAATGCAAATCGCTATCACGCTCTATAAAGACAAATGAACAGTCGAAAATAGCTCATTCGCAAACTTTTTGATCCGATCATGGAATTGCGGTTCTGGTGTCTATTCGCTGGGGTGGTGATCTCGACTGCTTCGCTTGATGCAGCCTGCTGTGCATCTAACACAAATACTGATATTTGTTCGAATACTGATACTTGGAGTAAGTGTTTGAAGTCTTCAAAAGAGAAATTATAGTTAAATCTGATGGAATTTGTAGATTAAAAATTATAGACTTTATTTCTTATAGACTTAAGATATTTAGAAAGCAGAAGTGGCCAGGGGGTGGCTATCTTAACAAGTGCAACAAAATGACAATACGAATTTGAATTTGAACAATACGAAAACCGATTTCAGTCAGCAAAGCTCATGTCGTATCGGTGATTTCTACAAACTTCTTCGGACAAAACAGCTATTACATTTACCATACAAGCATTATTAAGGTTTATTAAATGAACAGAAAAAGTAAACCGGTAAGCCAAAGTTTCAGGGAGGTTTCTTCTTGCCAACTGTTCTCAAAACGCCGACGAGCTGTGGAGTCGATTTGAAAGTTGGACAAGAATATTTGCTAGCTGGTTGGTGATCAGAAGAAGAATATTACTCTTGTAATCAGTTACAATAAAAGCTACAACATAGCCAATTCCAGGTCAAATGGGCAGTTTCAACCGAGAGCTCTGGGCTACTCAATGTGATCAATTTGAACACAAGACAGCCCCGCTTTTGAGCGAAGTAGGCTTTAAACCAAAACTGCAATATTGTCAAAGTTTAGATCCCTGAAAAGACTATCGACAGCCTTCTTTGCAATCAAAATCATCCGATGGGATAAACAAGCTTTGGTTCTTAAATTAAGTCTGTAACATGGCGTTTAAATTCGTTGTTGTTGTCATTTTATTGTTTTTGTTGATAATTTTCATGTTTGTAATTTTCAGATACATTTATGTCTAATAAATTTTGATTATAAGATTTTGATTTTTGATAAGCAAAATATATGCAATGTTTATTCAAATATACAGATAAATTTTTGTGAAACGGTTGTCAAGATTAGTGAGTCAAGATGACTGTTTGAGACTTATTTTCCAACGGGAGCTGGGGTTGGCATCCTGAAATTTCTATTTTACTCACTGTCAACTTTCGAATGCAAAAGATAGACTGAACAGAGCCCACGTGATGCTTGGTGGGAAAGTGACACGAGGCTTGCGGGGGCATTGAATGTGACGAAGTCCCATCAAAGTGCAAGGGGAAACCTGTGAAAGAGTATAGTACAACAAGTAGAGTATAGTGAAATGAAAGAGTACAAAAGAAGTAGTACTTAGTAGAGTACAAAAGAAAAACAACAAGAATCGTTTAGTTAGAATTCTCAAATGCCTACCTGATTCCAAAGCCCGGGCTCATTTCCATCAAAAAGAGTGCAACGAGAAGAGAAAAGCTGAGTGGGCTTTGATCCAAAGAATAAACCTAAATAATCAAATTCAGTCTTCAGCTTACTATTAGAGCTAATTGAAGCTCTTCGAAATGTAATTTTGATCAACTCACCGCTAAGAAGATAAGTCTGCTGTCTTTGAAGCGTGTATCCGCAAGCACCAGATGGGACAAGTAGGGTCCTTGTCAAGGAACGGGGGCCCTGAAATCTCTTTGTTAACAAATTTTTGAAACTATTTCTTACCCGATAGATTTTCTTGTGGAAAAGCGAGTATTTAGTGTAAGTCGCTCCGTTGAGAGTAACTTTTTTGGATGAGAGCACTTTGGCGATTGAGACTAAATATTGAATGTTCGCTATTAAGCTGTCCATCTATGAAAAGGAACGAAAAGTCTTTTTGGACAATCTAATAGTTGATAAACTGGCAATAAGACACGGGAAAGTTGAAAAACTGACTCCAGTTCATAGCGCAGACTTGATCATCAAAATCTCCAGGGATCATTGGGCAGAAACAAGTTGCCGATGAAGAAGCGGTAGTTGTAGATGCTCGAGTGGTAGCAGTGGTAGTGCTCAATCCACCGCCAACTGTAGTCGTTGTAGTGGTTTGTTTAGCTGTTGTTGTTGTTGTTGTTGTTGTTGTTGTTGTTGTTGTTGTTGTTGTTGTTGTTGTTGTTGTTCTTGGAAATCCACCAGGTGGAGGGCGTCCTTCACCAGATCCATCCGCCAAGATTGGAGAAGCAATGAGGGAAAACAGAAAGAGGCAACGGAACATTTTCTGGAATAGTTATGTAAATAGAAACTAGAAAGATCAACTAGTAAATTTAAAAAAAGAAAAGGTTACTGTAGTCTTATTTATCTATTAGAAAGCGCTTAAATCAAGCGAGCCAAAGGAAAGTTGTTGATGTTAATGAGAAAGGAAAGCTGTTGCTGTTAATGAGAAAGGAAAACTGTTGCTGTTAATGAGAAAGCAAAGCTGTTGTCGTTAATGATAAAGGAAAACTGTTGCTGTTAATGAGCAACAGCTTTCCTTTCATGAGCATGAAACGAAAGCTTTTGTGAGCTGTCCTCTCACAAATCCACCTCCTTTTTATACAGAAATTTCTCGAGTACTTGTCAAACAAATCTCGTTTTCAAGTTTACCCAAACCCTGATCATCTAATCATGTTTGAAATAACAACTCCAAAAATAGCCTAAAATATTTGCAACTTTCAAAAGCCTATTCAAACAGTTTTTACTATAAGGGCAAAGCACAAGGGTTGTCCAAAATTTTTGAGCCAAAATTTGTGCCTATATTCGTGCAACTTTAAACTGTCTACATAGAATTGTATCAATATTTTCAATTTTCAATTCAATTTCAATTCAATTTTCTTTATCTTGTTATTATTATGCTTTATGGAATCGAGTCTGGTCTTTTCACGGCCAAAATAGACATTCAAAGCTTTCAAATCAATATCGGAATGACCAATGAAAGGTTTGTACTTTTTCAAATATTGTTTTTAATTTTAAAGTTTTACTATTTTTAATATTTATGTTTTAATATCTATATTTTAATATCTATGTTTAACTTTTAAAAGTCAGCATAATATTTTGATCTCTTTCATGCTTTGGTTTGTCCTTTTTTTGGCTGACTTTTCATGTTTTTATGGAACGTTTATATATAAAATGGACATGAACGTTTGTATATAAAATCGTAAAATTTTGATTTTCTAGAAGATGTTCACTTTAAAATCACTTTTTGAAACTTTCACTCCACTTTTTGATAATTTTGGTTTACCATAAGTCTATATGAAGTTAAGCGATAGGCAGGCCTTTAAAAAGTATACTGTTTTCTGTATTTGTACTATTTGTTCTATTTGTACTATTTGTACTATTTGTACTATTTGTTCTATTTGTTCTATTTGTACTATTTTTACTATTTGTTCTATTTGTACTATTTGTACTATTTGTACTCAAGCTTCAGTTGCAAATTATTGTTGGATTTTTGTTTCAGGAAATGTTTTATCAGCTTTTAATTCTTGCCATTGGTTTGGCTATAATCCTTGCCCAAGAAGACAATCAAGATCACTTGGCACCTCAAAGTCTGACATCAATTCAGCCGTGTTATTGCCCAATCATCCCAGGAGACATCCAAAATCAAGCTTGTGCCTTGAATTGGAGTTATTAACAACTTTTGATTACGATATCTCATTTTCAGTCTCGAAAGCTCAAGTGTTTTCCTCGAAAACTTACAATATCAATGGAACTCCGGTCACCAAGTACTCGATCTTTCACAAAAGGATTTATAGAGTAGAAAAAAGTTCCTAAGATTCTCAAGTATGATATGAACTTTCTAGGGTGTTCGATCTTTGCCAAGGACCCTGATAGTTCCCGGAGGAGCTTGTGGATTCACTCTTCAGAAACATCAGACTTATCTCCTCAGTGGTGAGTCGTTAACTTGACTCGAGGAGTAGGGAAAAGCCACAAGAATCAATACTTTTAAGCTATAAAATCTAAATTTCAACTGGATACTGTAGGATTGTACTATGGCCAACGTCCTTCTCAACTTTACTCATCTCGATGTCTTCTCTTGAAAGAGGGAGATCCTCAACTTTGGAATCAAGTGAGTTTACATTATTTTTGACATGACGCAAAGCTTTAACTTGGTTGGGGGAGCAAATTTTTCTTCAAAAGTGCTTTTTCTAGAGCAATTTTTTACGTAGATTACGAATTTTATAGTGGAAGCTTGAGAAAATGCGTTTTAGATTGACTTTCGGGGACCAAAAGCTTAAGCTTTAAAGGCTTGAAGTCGCCATCTACTATAGTCTCTTTACTGTAATCTTCCTATAAGAAGAGCTCAAAAGAAGTTTAATGAAGCGAGCTTACAAAAGGAGCTTACACTGTAGAGGTGACGGCTTTGGGTCCCCGAAAGTCAATCTAAAACGCATTTTCTCAAGCTTTCACTATGAAATTCGTAATCTAGGTCAAAAACTGCTCTAGAAAAAGGCACTTTTGAAGAAAAAAAGTACCGTACCTCAAAAGTACTTAACCTCAAAAGTACCGAAGACTTAAGCAGAAATATCAGCTGTACCTTAACATCTATTCACAACAAAAAGACAATTCCAGGTGTCTCCATGCACTCAAATGGATTTGAAAACTCTTCGATGCCCCAGGAAACCGACAACTTTCCCAGCAAATGTCACGTAAGTTCTAGTTTTCAAATAAACTCTCAACAAGACCATTAGACTCCCAACTTCGGCACCTTCTCCTCGCAAATAGAAAGCAATCTCTACGAATCAATAATGTTTGTATATTTGATGATTAAAAGATTGCATACAGTTTCTAAAAAAAGCAGAAAACCTGAAAGTTCCTTTAGAAATTCAAAGTCTATCATCTATCTTCAGACTTTGATTGATTCTTTTCCGTTTACAAGTAATTAAAATTGACTCAAGGGAGTAGACATCTCCAGAAGAATTACATTGTACTTGTTTTCTTTGACAGTACACAAAATGTGCTTTTGATTTTTATGATTTTTGATGTTACTTTTCTTGCTCAGTCTACTCTTCATGAACTTTCCATTAATGAAATGTCATTCTTTCAAACGAAACAAAATCAATCACAAACTATTAGATTGTGAACAAAGAAAGTACCAGACTGTTTATCTATCAGAAAATTGCTAGAGCTCAATACTTATCACATCACCAATATTTTGCATAACTTTGATGAATCAAATCCAAGTCCCCGTAGTTGGCTCGAATCAAATCGATTTTCTAAAATTAAATCGATTTTCAGTGTACAATGAGTATCGATAATGTTCATTTTTGTTAGCTAGAACGTTTAAAATCTACCGATCGTCTTTTTGTTCGAATCTTCTTTAAAATCCTTGACAAACAAATGCAACCGATCACTGTGTAAAGTGGATAAATCTGAAATTTTCAAATCCGTTGCCCGTTTAAGAATGTGGCGCCAGCGAAGCGAAGCGCACATCGGCGCGAAATAAGGCAAAAATGCGTTTTCTATAGGATTTTTCTGGGAGTACGTTTTTTAGATGCAAAAAATTGTGCTGATTCCGAATCTGAAGGAATTTTCCAAATCCCTCTGACAGAAATTTTTAAAATTTAGTTTTAGCGATTTTTTGGTCATTTTGTATGGGAAATTTTGTGGTACCCTGCAGTTTGGGGCTCGTAACTCGACAATCAGGGTCTAGAACAAAAAACGAGGTGATAAGTTTTATTCTAGAGGCTCTTACGAACATTTTGATTAAAAAAAAATCATCAAATTTGCTCAACTCTACAAAAAGTTATAACATCTTTAAAGAAATTTTGGAAAATACACTAAAAAAATAAGGGGAAACCGTGGCCGAGTGGTCTAAGGCGCGCGACGTGAATCCCGCGCAAAATGATGGGGTTGTTGGCTCGGCTCTCCCACGCACTTGAGCTATTATTTTGCATATTCCTTAATTGTTTTGAGTGAATACGATACATATTGGGTTGGGGAGAATGAGTCGGCGCCGAAAATCAAAGAAATTTCTAAAACTTATAGCAGACTTTGTCAAATGATATGCGTTTGATATCCGTAGAAGGGTAACTAATTCTCTACAAAATAATATTTAAAAGAGAACTCAAACAGCGCCTCAACTCAACAAAAGGCCATTTTTTCACAAAATCTATAAACTGTGACCTAGCGAAAACGGTTGGAGGGATCTTCCTGTAAATTTGGCAACTTATGCAATTGAGTATACTCTATCTTTTTTATGTAGACATCAAAGAAGGTTTATGTGGAAGAAACTGTTCAAACGAGGAGTCGGACACTTTGCCATTTTGACTAGCTGTGTTTGGGAGTCCATAAACTCCACGAAAGAAAAGCTTTATGGAATCTCTCAAAAGTCATTTTGTAGAGAAATAGTGGACCTTTTTGATGAAACAAAACGTGTATTTAAAGAAGGTTTTATGGGTGCAAAAAGTTTCTTTAAATTTCGGGGCCGACTCATTCTCCCCAACCCAATAGCTACATTGTTCTTTTGGACAGAACAATTGTGCAATAGAGAATTTTTTAAATTTTCTCATTTCTTTTTTTTTATCTTTGCTACGGGAACGTAGTTCGGGGTGGGGACACATTCTTAAACGGGAAACGGAGTTGGGGTGGGTGGGGAAAAGATTTGCATTTTAAAAAAATCACTTCTTTTAAAAACAAAACCCAATCCTCAGACTTGCAGAAGAGATTGTCAGTGAAAAGTTTTGAAAAGCTTTTATAAATGAAACTTCTTTCAAAAAAAGTTACATAAAATGCAGACATCAACGTCTTGATGAACATTGTCGACCAATCTTTCGGGAAAAACTTTGGCAGTACAGAGCATAGGAAAATAAAGGAAAGAGCAATGACGAGATGGACAACTGAAAAAGAGAGCAGATTTTATAGAGTGGCTATCCATTAATTATTATATTCCTTTACCTGTAAAAGGCACAAGCAAAAGACTTGCATTACGATTCTCCGCTGTTGAGAAGCTAACATTCAAATCATAAGATCTAAATGGATATTTAGATCTTATGCATCTTAGATTTGAATCAAATCTATTTTATCTCAAACTTTTTTGCTTTCCCATTCCGGAATGCAAGAATTAGCATAATCAGCAAACAACTGATATCCACAATTGGAGTGTATCGAAACCAGAGATCAAGATGTGGAAGAGTATATTGATTGCCGAGAGTACAATATGGAACCATTGAAGAGAAATCTTCTTTCTCGAGAATGTAGCTGTACGTCATAAAGGCGAAAAGGGTCTGAAAGCTAGAGTTGAATCTAGAGATTCTTAATCTAGCTTTGAAACACAGACTAATTTAAACTCATAGCTAATTGAAATACTCATAGCTAGTTGATCTTCAAAGTAGTCCTATGGACTCTAATTTGCCAACTAGAAGTCATTCTTTCTAGTCACTCATTCTTTCAAGAGTAAACAATTCCTTCCAATCTTTTCCTTTCTTTCCGTTTACAGATAAAAACTTACACAAACGACGGCAAAGATCCATCCAATGGATGCTTTTCTGGAATTCATAAGTTCCTCCATAATATTTAGCGATAATTCTCTCGAGACATAAAGCTACATGAAGAGACGAACAAATCATTACAGTTAGATTAGCTGGACCTCGTGAAATATCACAGAAAAGTGAAGAGACAAAGATCTCACAACCACTCTTTGTCCAATAGAGAAATACGTGGTAACCCTAGGCAAAGTCTTTGGAAAGATAAGTGTTTTACATACCATGGTGAAACCCATGCTGAGTGCGTGAAGGATAAACCAAATGAGGAGGTAGATGAGAAGAATCTGAAGAGGTTCATGAAACAAAACTGCAAGGTTAAGCCAGGTTCTGTCAACTAAGTCAAAATCCAGACAGAATCCAAGTCTGGTCCTGGGCTTCAATTAAATTCTGACCTTGTCTAGCCTGGCCTATATAGCTAAGGAACATTGGAGTGAACAATTCTATACAAACGATTCAACAAATATCTCACCTTACAATTTGGATGAAAGTACGACTTTTTGACCTCTTGAATCACCGGAATGATTAGAAATAGCGTAACTCCACTGACAATCACATGAAACGAGAGAGCCAATTGAAATGGAGTGTATGAAATGAAAAGATTCGCCGTCGGAGCACAAACCGATTCGTCCATCTGTATCTTGAAAATTGAATTGAAAATTATTGGGTTGGTGAATTGAAAACTGCCGGCTATTGTCATATGTGGCAGTTTGAGCACTTTCTTCAAAAGAAACCCATTTTGGTGTCAATGGAAAAGTTGTAGAGAATCAAAAATCAAGCTTATATCCTAATTTTCAGAATGAAGCAAAAACTGGTTTTCAAGAAATGCCAAATTTACAAATGGTGCGCCCTCATGGTGCAAAAATGACTCGCTTTAAAATAAATAGCCTTGTTTGGGAACCTTTAGCGCATCCCCCATACTGTCCGAACCTCGCTCCTTTTGATTCCTATTTATTCCGGGTCATGAGTAATGAGCTTAGGGGAGAACACTTCGATTCGGAAGAAGCAGTCCAAAATTGGCTTTGGAAGTTTTTCGATTCAAAACCAAAATCCTACTACGAAAGAGGAATCCGCAAATTGCCTGTAAAATGGGCAGAAGTCGTCAATAATGATGGAAATTATTTGGAATGATTTGATGGTTTTATGTTGAATAAATTTTAGTTCAAAGTTCCGCAGTTTTCAATTCACCAACCCAATAGATTGCAAAATGTAAAATGAAAAGGTAACATTCAGCTTGAAATAGAATTTGTAAGTACAATCTGCTTCCATCCAAAATGAAAAGGGCAAGAAAGAGTTTTTGCACAAAAAGCGAGAAATGGGAAATTGAAATTGAATTTTCTCATAGTACTGTATTATTATAGTCATTTCTAATGAGTCTTCTAAATAATTAAAGCTAAAGATATTCAGATTTAGCTTTTGGATACTGTAGATATTGGATTACAAGACTGAATGAACCAAAAAAATCCCTTCCAACAGACTACATCCATTTTAAAAAGTAAAAGAAATTCAAACTTGTGCAAATAAGTTTGTATCGAAATCTCCAAAGAACTAAAAAGCCTTTTTGAGCTTTTTTTGTGAAAATTGAATTCGAAAGTGATAATTTGAGATGTTTCCCCAAGAGGATTCATTTCTCTCTGAGGATCTCACCCAAGAGGATCTCACCCAAATTTCTCCCAAAAAAAACTCGGCATCAATTTATTTCGCGACCATCAAAAACAAAATCTCCAATCTTCAATTAACAATTTTCTGTTCTATTTGATTTTTGGACGCAATTTTCAGCTGATCACCAATGTTGAGAATAGCTTTGATGGACTAGTTTAACGTCGGTGAGATTTTCGCGGATAACATTGATTTTCTGAAATACATATTGAATAGATATTGATTTCTTAATCAGGAAATGAATGTTTTTTCTAAAACTATTCCGGGAACGCTTTGGGAACAGAAGGAGAGCTTTTCAACAGGAAAAGATTCTGAGGAAAAGATTCTAAAGTAAAGATTTTACTCTTTGATTCTGACTTGTGCGCAAAAAGGCGCGCATTTGTGGGGTGAGCTTCTCGGTGTAAAAATGCTCACACCTTTTCTATGAAAGAAGTACAAACTGTCTGGAAAGAAGTACGAACTTTTCCTGCTGAAGTATGAACTTATTTTCCCTGCTTATAAATAGATTAAACAGGATGGATGATTGGAACCAAATCCCCATTACGTAAGCCCGCTAAACCAGTTCAATCAAAGGACCTCTTATAGTTGCAAAAAGCTAAAGAAAAACTTATCAATAAAATCTAATACATGAAAGTCAAAGTCGGAAATTAGTTCGTTTTTCTTTGAAGAGTTCAAAGTGGTCATGTGGCTCGTTGAGTTATGTGCGAGAAAAGGGGAAGAGAAGAGTGAAGAGATCGGGAATAGATATGGATGAATATTTTTATGCCCTAATGAATGCTTGACGCTTCATTAAAAATCCTTCTCGCTTACTTGGTTTCTATTTCTTTCTTTTTCCAGTAATTTATCGATTCTAAGGCCAAAATTGAACGTTGCCTTGGTGGGTTAGAAACGGAAGAGTTTATAGAAATTTTACTGATAAACAGGGAACTTTTAAACCCTAGCTTTGCAGTAATGATGATCTATTTTCCAAAAATCAAACCATTCTAGACTAATCTCAGCGCTTTTTCAGTTAAAACCCTCAATTTTATTAGACTCTTAGCATAAAAAGAGCTGAAAGACAAGCCAATAATTAAGATTGAAATTTTAATTATTGGCTTGTCTTTCAGTTTCGAGGCATAGATCATTAAGATCGATGCCTCGGAAATTTGTAAACTCCAGTTTTGTTAGTTTACTTGGAGAAACAATCAGGAACTTTGTTTTCAATTTTCCTTTACACACATTTCTTCGTCTTCTCCGAATTTTCTTTAAAATATGCCAAATCGTGATAGCGCCGGTGATTGTATAAAATGGAATGATCTAAACATGTACTTTTTCAGTGTACTGTGTACTTTGTCATCCAGTAATAATAAACTTACATAAAAAGCGGCCAAAATTGTCCTTATATCCATTAAGTTAAAAACATTTATAAGCAAAATAGGCAAATAAGCCTGGATCAGGAAAAAGGCAAATTGAAAAACGAGATGAAGAGCTGGAATTTGAAAAATTTTGCTATTTGTTAGAGATTACATTAGACTTATAACGAAAATATCTGTCGGTCCTTTCTTTTGCCGTTTTCCTCAGCACAAACCCTTCGATTTTGACTATTTTAATTACCATTCGACGCAGAATAAAATTGCGCGTCGAATGATACCAAAACCAACTCAAAATACAATATTCACGCAAAGTTATGGGGCAAAAACCTAAACCCCGCTCATTATAGTCAGGACATAACTTTTTGCCTCATAACTTTGCGTGGATATTATATTTTGAGTTGGTTTTGGTATCATTTGACGCGCAATTTTATTCTGCGTCGAATGGTAATTAAAATAGTCAAAATCAAAGAGTTTGTGCTGAGAAAAACATGAAAAACCTTAAATTGCCAATGAAAAAAAGAACCGACAGTTATTTCCGTTAGAAATCAAGATGACAGTACCTGAAAATGGTAACAACATGAGATTGGCGTTCTGGGATTCGGAAACGATGAAATTCACAGTCAGATCATAAGATCTATAGTTTTTGTAGGTTTTTTCTAGAAATTCTTCTCACTTTTCTATTCGCTTCCTTTTGCAGGTTAAATATATCATAATTATTAGACTAACTAGATCGATTATAGGAGAGATTAGGAGAAAAATCTCTGTTGGAATAGCTGTAGCTATCGTACTGCCAAGAGTACAATATGGAGTCATATAAGAAAAATCTTCGTTTTGCAAAATCAGATAATAAACAATGCAAGCGTACACAGTCTGAATAAAAGATTTGTCGAAAAGACTCAAAAAGACTGCTGAGCTTTCAGTTAACGGTTGTTCAAGTCTTTTGGGTCCTTTTGGTCCTTGTCATGGCCGACTGGGACCATAGGTCGTCATGGCCGACTGGGACCATAGGTTGTCATGGCCTACTGGCTAGAAACCTGGTTTCTTGCTTGACCATTCGCTGGAAGCCAAAGGGTTTGGTCCCACAGGCTTTGGACCCACTAGATTCTTGTTTTTTCCCTTTTTATGGGCCTTCCCCTTCCCTACATTAGGGCTTAGGGCCACTTAGGGCCATTTAGGGCTTAGCTTAGGACATTGTTTGTCCCAAAGTGGATAAATCTATTTTTAAAAGTCTTTCAACCCACCGATACGATGATCAAACAAAATCCAATTTTATTATCCTTTTTATCCCTCCAATATCTTTGCCCGTAATATCTAGCCAATATTCTCTCAATGCATAAAGATAAATGAAGTGGTGAAAGAATGACAGTTCCCATATTGGCCGGTCCTCTCACTGTATCACAGAATAAATTTGATACAAATAAGTCACATCCACTTTTGAAGAGATATGTGTAGAGGTTATAACCCTGAAATGGGGTTATAACCATATTTCTACCATAACCATTTATTTTAGGGCCATATTTCTTTACACAAACCATGCTCATTATGAGGCCAAGTGAGTGGAGAATAAACCATATTAATATGTAAATGAGAAGAATCTAAAAGGGGTTATTTTATTGAAAAATCCAATTTCCCATTGTCAACAGCTCAAGTTGTTTGTCTGAGGCAAGAGGTTCGATCAATTTTAGCACATCCTTTTAGCATAGGCTTAGGCTTAGGCTTAGGCTTAGGCTTGGGCTTAGGCTTAGGCTTAGGCTTAGGTTTAGGTTTAGGCTTAGGTTTAGGCTTAGGCTTAGGCTTAGGCTTAGGCTTAGGTTTAGGCTTAGGCTTAGGCTTAGGTTAGGCTTAGGCTTAGGCTTAGGCTTAGGCTTAGGCTTAGGGCTTAGGCTTAGGCTTAGGGCTTAGGCTTAGGCTTAGGGTTAGGCTTAGGCTTAGGCTTAGGCTTAGGCTTAGGTTTTAGGGGCCAGCTCTGTGGCTGTCTTACAAATATTTAGCCTGCTTGATTCTTTAGGCTAACTCAAATCAATACAAGATCTTTTCTTGCCTCAAACTAATACAAGGTCATTGTTGATGTTGATGATGATCAGGTTGACTTTTAGAACAAAACTGGGCCATCTCATGGCCAACCCGACCAACTTACCCTACAATTCGGATGAAAATATGATCGTTGCACTACTCGAATTAACGGAATGCATATAATTGTCGTAATTGTTGAGGCGATAATGTGAATGAATAAAACAATATGGAATGGAGTGTGAGAAGTGAAGAGAAACGCGATTGGAGCACATTGTAGCTCATCCATAAAGGTAGATCTGTAAAGTACAAGAATTTCTTTAAAATGAAATTCAAAATCCGACATAATTTCTATGAAACAGAAGAAAGTGCGAAAGTTCTCGGCAATCCAATTAATTAAAATGAGATTTGAAAAGACGTAATAATTTAAACAAAACTGCGAACGGACAATTAGAAACGGAGAAAAGGCTGTGCTCAACATTTATAGAATTACAAGAAAATGAACAAAATGAATAATGCGCAAAAAATTGAGGGTTTCGAAGAAAGAGCCTAACCAATTTGAATACAAAGTTTAATTTGATTTTCAGCGTTGCATTTTTTGAAAATTCTTTGATTGTTGTTCTGATCGTTGATCGCATTTAATCAAATGCAAAATTTACTGAGATTTGATCTAATAATATTTTTGAATAAAAGAATTTAATTGATTAATGTTCCTAGTTGAATTTTTGATATACAAATCATAAAATAAAAAGCTAAAAGGCATGCAATAAATCTTGCTTGAAAGAGTTGTTGTTTAAAAAGTTCCAGACAACTAGAAAGTATTTATTTTAAGGCTAAGGCTGAGACAAGCGTCACATTTTACCTAACCTTTTTGACAAAATCTTTTTTAGGTAATCCAAGCACGAATATCATTGGTGAGCCTCTTGCCTACGAAATGTTTCGCACCGATTTACAACGAAGGGTTTGTTGCTATTTGTTGGATATAAAAATTTTAAAGTACATAACTTTAGGTATGTGAAAAAGTAATCCACGTTTTTAACGTTTAAATATAAAAGACCATAAGTTTCGTTAAAATAATTTTTATTCAACGAAGTAATCACCATTCGAAAGAAGAACCTTTTGCCAACGTTCTACAAGTAAGGACATTCTATGATAATAAAAATCTTGGTCCTTAGATCGGCCGAAGATCAAGCAAAGAAAAGATCAACCTCGGTTTTGACATCTTCTTCGGAATTGAACCATTTATTGGCCAAAAAGTTAGACAGAGACAAAAATAAATAATAATCAGATGGAGAAAGGTCTGGACTATAAGGTGGATGTGGTAAAACCTCCCATCCAACACTCTGGATTTTTTGTCGAGTCTGTAAAGAGACATGCGGTCGCGCGTTATCATGGAGCGGCAATTCATGCGGTATCCATTTGTCCAACTTTTTGATGGCATTCAAGCGTTTCCTTACGGTTGACCCATAACAATTTAATGTAAGGCCTATTTCTGAAGAGGTTGAACGAGGGTTTTCGAGAAGACAGCGTCTTATTTGGTCATCAGATAAAAATAATTACTTTGGATTACTTTTTCAGACACCTAATACAAATCATAAAAAAGAAAGCTTTAACAAAAAATGCGGAACTGATTTCACCTGTTCGATCTCATTTTTCATTTTATTTTAAAAGACGATTGAAAACTCAATATCAATATATTAAATAAACTTTGGATTTATAATTTTTTGATGATTTTTTCAAATTAACACGTCAATAGACTCTTTTCTTTAATTATTTTTATCTCCCAAAAGAACTTTTTGTTCCTTCTGAAATCAGTTAATCAGTTTGTAGCTTTGAAGGTGAAATGTCAAGAGATTTCCTTTTCATTTCCTCTAAACAATTTACTTTTCAATCAGTTCATAAATTTGTACCATATTTTGACTACAACTTTTGATTAGAGATTGCTTTTTTGCAGACATAATATGGAGTGGACATCGAGCTACGACCAGCGAGACCCCAAACACAAAATGTGTACGGATCACATTTGGCGCGATTGATCTGAATTTCGATTTATCCTATCAAAGAATCTCATCCAAAATATCAGTTTAGTATTTGTGTCACCAAATCATCTACTATATATAAAAGAGCAGTGTCTGTCTGTCCGTCTGTCTGTCTGCCTGTCCGTCTGTCTGTCCGTCTATCCGTCTGTCTGTCCGTCCGCCTGTCTGTCTGTCTGTCCGCCTGTCTGTCTGTCTGCCGCCTGTCCTCTGCTCCCCGCGCCCGCCGCCTGTCGCCCGGTCTTCGCGCGTTGTCCGCCTCTGTCTGCCTGCCGTCCGCTGCGTTGCCTGTCTTCTGTCCTGTCTATCGGTCTGTGGTCTGTCTGTCTGTCTGTCTGTATGTCCGTCCGTCTGTCTATCGGTCTGTCGGTCTGTCTGTCATTTTCTCGATCGTGTTTTGACCAATAAAGCTAAAGCTTCTTTAGAAAACCTTAGAATATATTGTAGTTGGGACATCTCAAGAAAATTTTTAAGAACCAGAACTGGCTGAAACAGCCGGGAGTCGAACCCGGGCCCTCCCGGGTTCGGGAGGCCCTCCTGACTGCGCAAACGCCCTCCCGACTGCGCCACGGCCGCAATCCGGCTCGGGCAGAAAAACCCGCTGTTACCCGGGTTTTCCGGCTGGTTTACCCATAAAAAGAATTGATCCGGATCCGTTATTTGGTGGTTCGGACTACAAAAAGGCTTGTCGAAATCGTTGAATGGCGTTCCATCGGTCCACACCCATACACCGGTTTTCTTAACCACATTTGCCTTTAAACCTTTAAAATCCCTACATTTGTTGCTCCAGTCATATAAACTGCCGTCCAATCATAGAAGCTTCGACTGCAATCACTTAGACAACAAAGTTCTAAAGTTATTCAATGCTGAAACAATGATTCAATGCACCTTTCACAAAAGCGAGCTCTTCATCGCTATGAATTGAAACAAGATCTCCTCCATTATTCAAGCAGTCTTGTCTAGCAAGTGTAAAATTTCTGTTGAAACGAACCTAGATTTGTTTATGAGATACCAAGACTAAATTCAAACCCAATATGCAAAACCATTAAAGTACTGAGGATCACTTTGACAAGTGTAAAGAAGTTCATCGGCTGAAAAGTAGAGTTTAAAGGTGTTAGAAGCGTTTAAAGGCGTTAAAGGCGTTAAAGGCGTTTAAAGCAAACTCGTTTGTAGCTTAAGCTTTTACAATTCATGAATAAGGCTTACATGGACAAATGAGAGACGGTGGGGGTGGATATGTGATAGGACTCTGCGTTGTCGGTGTTGTTGTCAGTGCTGTCGTTGAACAACCTCCATTCACGATTGCTGGCAGCTCGCAACTAAAAAACTAGCTTCTTCCTCGCTCTTCAGGAATAAGCTAGTTCTCCTCTTTACATTTAAGTTTGCAAGTAAAGAATACAAAACCAGATTGACTCACATAAATTGATAGCTCGATGAGCAATTTGTAGTGATCCAATTGCCAGTCTCTTTCACCAAAAGAACACAATCAAATCGTGGTTCTCCTGAAAGCTTTTTCTAAGTAATTCTTCTAAGTAAAACACGATAAACACGATAAGCAAAATCCTTATTTCAGAACAAATATTTCCAGGATCTTGTTTCACCTATACTCCATTTAGTGTATGTAAAAGGAGATCCATCCATCCATTGATAATTTCCACCATTCCTTCGCCCGCCAATGTAAAAACTTTTGGCCGAAGTCAACCCTGTAATAAGATAATGATAATGATAATAAAGCATTCAAGCAAAGTACCCAATGAAAATCCAGTCAAGTAAGCGTCATCTAAAGCATTTGTAACTGAAGCCAAATGTCCATTAGAAACTTGGCAATATTTCTCTGCTAAATCGAACGAAACAGCTAAACAGTCAACAGCTAAACAGGCAAAACAAAAGAGTTAAAACCGTTTTGATTTGCTAACAAACAAGTGCCTAATTCGGCTGCATATGTTGCTCCTTTTGGACATGTTGTGGCTAAAAAAGGTTGTACATGGTAAACTTTGATCTTATACGAATTGGAGTTGAACTTGTGCAGTCAGGTGGCTGGACTTTTGGTAGATAGCAAATGAATGGTAAAGAGTTCGAAGAATCGGTTGTAGACCATTGAAGAGCATTTGATGATAAATAGATACAGTCACCAATGGACGAGTTCGCTAAATTGAATCGTATGTGTTTTCCTTATTGTTAAATGTATCAGAAATCCTTCTCTACAAAAAAAACACAAGATTCAGAGTTCTCTTTTATGTTTCTCTTCACTGTGTAACTTTAGAAACTTCACTGTAACTTTAGAAACTACTTTATCCATATTCTTTCTTTATGTTTCTCCAATTGAAATACACTAAACTCTATATTCCTCGAATACAAACATTTCCCCAATATTTCGGACAGTTCAAAGCAGCCCTTTGAACTGCCCGATCTCTCAACTTGAAACTCTATTCTCTCAACTTGAAACTTGAAACTCTTGAAACGGAGTCCTACCCCTTTCTATCGACGTATTTCTCCATTCTATTTGACTCACTAAAGATTATCTTTACTCATGTAGATAAACAAGTAACATAATCTCCCGAAATGCAAGACAAGCAGTTAGTTTATTCCTGAGGCTCTGACTTCGATGGTATTGAGGCCGGTTGTCGATTGTGTGGCAGAGAAAGTCCACTTACAGAAAGTCCACTTTCATTCAAATACACGTAAACAAACACAAATATCATTTCGAAAAACACACCCAAATTTAACCTACCGCTACACAAGTGGAAAGTTATATTTTGTGTGCGGGGCCAATTCCATGCCCCGATAGACTCTTTAAATTGTCAAGATCCATTGTTTTTAGATCAAAATCCCCAGATACCTTTACCTGGATTCCATATCTGATAGCTGAACTTTGTCCCATCACTCCATGTCCAACTTCCATTTACTTTTCGTCCGCCCACGTAGCATCCACTTCCATTAAATGCTAAACTGATAGTGAAGGATTTTCAATAATCATCCAACCGCTATCTTTGACTCCATTCAAAACACTATTCATCATAAGATTGTGAATCGATGCAAGATGTCCTCCAAAAGCTTGACAATAGCTTTCTGCGTAACCCCAAGGAGCGGCTGTAATTTAAACTGTGATTTATAGCTAAAAGAAAAATAAACAAATAGCTAAAACGCTAAAGCAAAAAACTAAAACAAATAAATTAGGCCTTTTGATTTAAAACCGACCTTCTTTAATCGCTTGTAAACAATATCCAAGTGGCTCAAAATATTGTGAACCGTTTGGACATTGTGGCTCTCCTTTTAGTGATTGACAAAACAATAGAATGCTTGTAAATTGAAAGACTTTTAGCATGTTTGTTAGCGTATTTCAAATGATGCCAAAAGGCCACTTCAACAAAAGTTCTTATCTCGAATAAAAAGTCGGATTCCTTCATAAAAAGCCGATTATTTTTTTTTCAAGAGGATCCGTTTTTGCCAATAATTTTATCGTAAATTCTTTATGTTCTGCTCAAAGTGCTTCTGCAATAGAAAATCTGCAATTGCTTTTGCAATTAACCGTTTCTATTAGCTAAGGCTATACAGAATATTTTAACAATTTTATTTTAAGACTACTGCAACAGTTAAGCAGCAATGTACACCAATTCGTAATCATTCAAACTGTCCAATCAAACGTCTTTTTCTTAAAGCTAATTTGCAACGAGTGTTTCGGTTTTTTAAAATAATTATTCAATAATTTATTCTTCACCAAAACTAAAGATAATTAAATACTTGAAACAATTTTGATTGTTTAATCATTACATAAAAGGAGTCATGAATGAGATCAGAAGCGAGTGTCAGGACGAGATTCGATCCAAGCCTTGATTTGAGGAATAGCATCGACTCTCTTTTTCAAAGCGACCACTTCGGGGAATCCAGTGAAAGCATCAGGCTTGAGCTTCTCGATTGTTGTCATGTGATCGGTCCAGAAGAGATCGGCCCATGTCACTGAGTCTCCAACCTGTAATTTCAAAGCTAATCAATCTTCACTGTCTTCTACAGTTCAAGCTTGGTTCTTTATCATTAACTATTCATTTTAATCATTATTTAATCATTAACTATTCATTTTAATTATTATTTAATCATTAACTATTCATCAGTTTGTCCACCTACCAAGAATCCGGTTCCTTGGGCCTTTAGACGATCGTTAAGCATTCCGAAGTGCTTGTCACGAGCAGGCAAAAAGACAGTCTTGTATAGTTCCTCCTGAAATACTTTCAGTAAAATTTAGACTATTTTCTCGGCTCAATTTCTCAAGCTTTAGTTCCATGATTATCTTTCATCAATTCTTACTGCATCTCCTTTATTGAGGAATCCGAGTGCCGTGTAATAGTAGTCGGTGATCTCCTTGTAGTAATCCTTGAATCCATCAACCAATGCATCGGCCCAAGCCATGTCTTCAGGAGTCTTTCCGGCAAATCCTAAAATATTTAGTTAAAGACTATTAATACCTTCAAATGTGCAAGCAACTGTACGAGTAACGGGCCGACTGGGCCGACTTACCAAACTTGCGAGCCACATATCGAGCGATGGCCGACGATTGGGGAATCTTCACTCCGTTCACCTCAAGCACGGGCATTTGGCCCATTGGCATGGCTGTAATATTTTGGTTTAAAAGTTTTTCAATCCATCTACTGCTTTTGTTCCATCTACATCTACTGCTTTCAAACTTACAAGCTTTGTGATTTGGCCAGTCGGCGGACTCAATGCGGACATCCTCGAATTCCTCTCCAGCTAATTTGAAAAGCATCCGCGTTGGCTCACCAAATCCACGTCCAGCGAAGTAGTAAAGCTTGTAAACCATTGTTTCTGGAAATTGGAGCTTTTCTGGAGCTTAGTTTATCTAATAGAATGCAAGAGATTCAGATTTCAGAGAGTTGTTTTTAAAGGTAAGAACTAAAGTCACAAAACAAAAGGAAACTGTTATCTTGTTGGCCATCAAAAACCTGAAAACTCAAGTGAAAACGAAGACTGACATCGCAATGGGGCAATCGGCCCGTTTTATAATTGCGGTTTTTGAAAGTGCCACAGAAAAAAGCAAAAAGAGTTGTATTGGGGGATTCTTTTCGAGTGTTTGTTTGCACAAACTACAACTTTTTCCGAGGATCCGCCCCTTCGAAAGAAATGGCCTTGAATTCGAGAGACGATGAGAAATCGAGAAAAGAATGCACAAAAGGCTACAATTCGAAGAAATACTAGAAATAATAGAACACAAAATTTTCAGCACAAAATGACAGAACTCGGTGAAGTTGTTGAAGTGGGAAATTTTGAAATTTAATGATATTTAGACAAAAAATTAGACACAAAAGTCTATGTTGGCCTAGAGAAACTATAAAATTTATTGAAAATGTAATTATAAATTTATTATTTGAAAATTGAAGGAAGTTGGATTTGAAGGAGGTTGGGTTTGAAGGAAGATGGCTTTGAAGGAAGTTGGATTTTAAGGAGGTTGATTTGAAGGAAGTTGGATTGAAGGAAGTTGGATTGAAGGAAGTTGGATTGAAGGAAGTTGGATTGAAGGAAGCTAGACTTGAAGGAAGCTGGACTTGAAGGAAGTTAGATTGAAGGAAGTTGGCTTTGAAGGAAGTTGGATTGAAGGAACTTGGATTTGAAGGAAGTTGGATTTGAAGGAAGTTGGATTTGAAGGAAGTTGGATTTGAAGGAACTTGGACTTGAAGGAAGTTGGATTTAAAGGAAGTTGGATTTTTGGATTTAACTTTTGACCAAGTTAGCTCTCTTTTATACAAGAAAACTTTGAAAAAAGAGAAAAATTACAGAAAATTTCCGAGGCAGATGTTGAATTATTACGAATTGTCTGGAAAAATGACTAACTGGGCTTGTTGAAATTGAATTTTTGATAACATTTTGCCAGTGGCAGGACAATTTTTGAGAGAGATCGATCGGTTGATTAGCGATTGAATTTAAACGGAGAAATGTCACTCGCAAAAAATACGATCAATCTGGGATAAACGAAGGTTGCAAACTAGAAAAACGTTTTTCTAGTGAACCTAAAAAGTGAACCAATTATAAGCTATTTACAAGGTGGCTAAAAATCTCGTTAAACAAAGTATTGTCGTTTTTCAAACGCTCACAACTTTTCATAAAATTGCTTTAATCACAAATTTATTGAAGTAAACAATGTAAAAATATCCAAAAAACAGAAATTATAACAAATTTTCTTGTTTCCGCTTCAGAGCTTCAAAAAAAATTCCGCTGCAAAGCTTTCACTAGCTTTCAAACGGGGAAACTACTCAATCAACGGTGGCCCGCAGGTACTTGGCATTAAGATTCGCCGACGCAGCAATCAGTTCCTTCTTAAGTTCAGCGAGATTTGTGATTTTCTTGCTCTTCAGACTTTCCTCTAAGCAGGCCTATATCGAAAAATTCAATGGATTAAGATCCAGCGAGTTGCTGGGTCATTCTTTCCTTGTGAGATGAGAGGGCAATTTTCGTCTCATCAGATCCATTGTGGATTTGGCTCTATGGAGTGGTGCCCAGTCTTGCTTAAAGATCATCTGAGAATTTTTTTAGCTTCAAAGGAATCACAACTTTATTAAGAACCGCATTTTAATAGGCTTGGGCATTGATTTTAACTTTAAAAAAAACATAAAGCCATCAATTCATTCGAAATAATTTCCATTATTATTGACGACTTCTGCCCATTTTACAGGCAACTTGCGGATTCCTCTTTCGTAGTAGGATTTTGGTTTGGTTCAAAAATGGAGGACTGGAGATGTCCTAGTTTGAGCACTTTCTTCAGAAGAAACCCATTTTGGTGTCAATAGAAAAGTTGTAGAGAATCAAAAATTAGGCTTATATCCAAATTTCCAAAAAGATACACCTAGTAGTTTCGCTTAAAATGCAAGTTTTGTTTTGCGTTTTGTGAAAATTCGTAAATTTGGCATTTCTTGAAAACCAGTTTTTGAATCGTTCTGAAAATTTGGATATAAGCTTGACTTTTGATTCTCTACAACTTTTCCATTGACACCAAAATGGGTTTCTTTTGAAGAAAGTGCTCAAACTGTCACATATGACAATAGCCCGCAGTTTTCAATTCACCAATCCAATATTTTTTTTCTTTATTTATTTTCAAATCCAAATTGTGGAATTCTCTTCTTCTTTTTTCTTTTCTCTTTGTCTTCTCTTCATTTTCCATTATCTTATTCTCAAATTTCAGCGGGAAAAGCAAAAATCCAATCTGAAAAGAACAAAAGTTGCAACCAGAAGCTGAAAAAGATCTAAAAAATGTAGAATTGTCATCCAACTACGTCAAAACCTTTCCAGTCTTAATCTTTGCTCAAAAAAGGAGTTAGTTCCTTTTGAAAATCGATATTAATCATAGAAAAGAGTTTAAATTAATTAAGAGAACACGTTTTGCAAGGACTTTTTAAAGAAAGAAATCCCTAGACAATTGAAACAATTAACTAGTTTCACGAAAAATAACAAACAATTTGAATTTGAAACCATTCAATTTCAATGAATGGTCTTCAATCCCTGCGCTTTCCTTTATATTCGAAGCAACTCTATCAAAGTTAAAACTTTAGGGGGAGATCAGCCGAATTTCTTTCAATGGATCAGCCTCCAATCGCTCCAGTTGAATACCGCTTGGTTTGTGGCTGTATCTATGCAATACTTTCGATCTTTGGTCTCACGGCTCACTCGTTTATTATATGTCTCTTCATAAAGGTTCTCTAATCTGAACATTCTGCGTATTGCCCTTTTCAGCGTCGAAAATCTCTTCTCAAAACAGCTTTCTATGCCCTCGCTCTTCAGATGTGCATTTGTGATTTAATGCTTTTGATTGTCCAACTTCTCATAGCTGTACCATTAACAATAACGGCAAACAATGTGAGACTCAATGTTCTAGGACACTCTTTGATCTTATTCTTAGTCCCAGGGTATTATAATCTAAAAACTTTCCTTTAAAAAGTTCCCTAGAAGCTTGTCCTTGGGATTTGCTACTTAAAAAATGGTTTCTGGTTCAAACTGCAATTCTAAATAGTTTTTGTTGAGCTTGTGAGAGAAAACTAAAATGGTGAGCAGTCAGACAATGATTAGAGACACGAGACTGTGTGTACCTTTTGTATCTCTTGTACGAAAAAGCAGCATCTAGCACAATGCATACTTGCACTTGGGTTGGGCAAATAAACCGTTCTCTTCGGTTTAATTACCCAAGTTTCAGGTTAGCATTAACCCAAAGATCTTTCAAAAGTTCGAAGAGATTTTGGCTTAGGTTTAGGCTTAGGTTTAGGCTTAGGCCTAGGCTCAGGCTCAGGCTCAGGCTTAGGCTCAGGCTCAGGCTCAGGCTCAGGCTCAGGCTCAGGCTCAGGCTTAGGCTCAGGCTCAGGCTCAGGCTCGCGTCCCGAGGATGCACAAATGGATGAATTGAATTGAATAAGAATGTAAAATGAAGGTTTAGATCTACACTGATTTGAACCTGATTTTCATATACAATGCTGGGACATTTTGTGAAACTCTTTTCTTCAACGCACTCTCTTTCATGACATTATTGATGGCCATCAATCGATTAACCGTTTTCTCAGCAACAACAATCAATCGACTTATCTTTGAGAAAAAGTTTCTATTTGGGTAAAACTCATAGCCTTTTTGCTTAGAGATCGATTACAGATTAATTATATTGACTTATCTTTTATGTTTCTCTGGTGCAACAGTTAGACACTTTTTCGGGTGTACTAAGGATTTTTCGACAAAAGGTTTCTACTTTTACTTCGTTTGCATTGAGGGAACGCTTGGGAAAAGTGTTTATAATGTGAGTTGAGTGAAAATGACTGGACTCTATGCCATCTTTAAACCTTACACTATTCAGATAGCTTTCATCAAGGATATGGTTGTCCCTGTAATCATGTTTCTCATTTACTTTGGCTTATTCTTCTACTTGAGAGCTTATCGGAGAATCGTTGACAGAAAATCAAATGTTCTTAGTCAAATTGATCATCCTGAGTACAAACTACTTATTCAAGTTAGTGCTTGGCTTTCCTGAATACTTTAGAACAATTAAAATAACGCAGAGGTCTTAGAGGTCTTAGTAAAATCTCTAGTACCTAGAGTTCTTAGTAAAATCTGAGATCTTTGATTGTGTAAAGTGTGTGTTCCTGTTGGGATAATTGATTGAGTTTACAAATCGGGTACAAAATGATTCATTTGTGTAATTGAATTGAGCTCAATTAAACTGTATTAGTCTTTAAAAATGATCTCAAACTCAATTATCGAGAGTTTAGGGTGCGATTGTGTGCTTTTTTCTCGAAATGGAGGTGCTGGCTTTTGATTTCTTTTCAAAGATTCCTGTGACTGGAATGGGAATTTATTATCTAACATTTTTACAAAATCTAATCCAAATTATGAACAATTGTGTGAGGTTTGAAAGAAAGAAGTGAAAGAAAGAAGTGAAGGAGAGAAGTGAAAGAGAGAAGTGAAAGAGAGAAGTAAAAGAGAGAAGTGAAAGAAAGAAGTGAAAGAGAGAAGTGAAAGAGAGAAGTAAAAGAAAAGAAACATTTTCAGTCCAATCATCTATTTCTATTTCAATAAAGATATTCGTTCGTATGCTTTGGAAACATTAGGAATTGGTTTGCTTTCAAATTTCTTCTGATAAACCTTTCTAATTGCTTCAAATCAAATTTAGAATCAAGCAATCCAACGAAAACATCAAGAATTTCGGCCGTCTCAATCAGTCGGATCAGTCAATTTTGAAATAGAGAATCTTTAACAAATAAATAAAACAATTAACGTTCTGACTTGAATTTGACGTTACGAGCAGTACACTATTCTATTCTTTAAATACATCTA